TCATGAAGTGCACATCTGAAGCAACAAGCTCATATTGCATTAATCTTGGTGCCTATCCAGATATGGTAAACATCCGTAGTTAATGTCGGAATACAAGTATAAGTCTATAGTGCCATCCATGTCCGTGGTGCCATCTATAGCCTATATCTTATATAGTATGAATCTTATAGTACTAGCGTATCTGAAGTCCATATCTTCTCATGATCATAGTATAAATCGATATCGTACATCTAATCCAGTGTACATACAGTTTATATCTAAATCTGGTAACTGGATGAACTGTCGGAATGCAGATCATAGTGGATGTATTCCACAAATCTAATTAATAGAACTTTTATCCATTGTTATAGTATATAAGTAGGATCATCTACCTGGCCAGTAGAGAGACTTCAGTTTACTTTACACCTGTCAGTTTGATAATAAAATATGCCTTTATCAAGTTGACTTTACTGTTTTTTTATTCTTTTTTTTTCCGTGAATTTTAGTCTATAAAGCCTCAAGTTCCACAAAAACAAGAACCATTCAATAGTTCTACGTTGGGCCTATTATGCTATAAGAGCTTTAAATTCCAAATGTACGCTCTTTTTATAATTTTGCTCAAAATTCTGTACTTTATGACTTTTAGGCAGAAGGCTGCCCAAAAATTCCAAATAGACTTACTTTAGCCTCGTAACTTTGTAGAAAACTAAAGTGAGCATCAAGTGAGATTACACAAGCGATATATTATACTGTATAGCTTGTGCAAAAATGCGTCTGTTTTTTAACGTTTCGAGAGCTCTCTGAGGGGGCTAGTATGTATTCAGTCTGCACCACTTTACCTTTTATAGTATTTTTTATTGTGGAAACCAAAGAAAAAGCTATCGCGACGATCGCTCAAAGCTAACCTTTGCTGTAATAGCGAATGTACTGTTTCATAAATGTCTGTTGGGTTTTCTTTGATACATAATTTTGTTTGCGGTTCCCATCGTACTGAGGCCGACTTAGCGCTAGCGTATCTAGTATCTATCGTTTTTCCTTGATCATCATCATGAGTGCTCAACATCGTGAATAGATTTTAATAGTCTAGTAGTTCTACGGCTAGATATGATATCTGTTAAGCACAAAGAATAAAAGGATTATTATTTGTAGCTTATAAAAAATGTTCGATATTATAAAAACAAGAAAAGACTTATTTGAATAAGATCAGACACAAAAAAACTAAAGATTTATTGATGAAGACAAGAGTTATTTTATTTATACTAAGTTCTGAATGCCAAAGTAGCAATTTATCTTGTACAATGCTTATCACATCTGGTAAACCTCAGTATTTAGATAGCTGAGATGCACTTCACTTATCATAGCTTGTCCGTGTTGTTGCAAAACACGGACATATCTACCCATCAAGAATACCTTAATCTTTATAGACAGTTGTAGCCCTTCTGGCACAACAATATCTCTTCTATTATAGCCGGTCATCAATAGCGTCCTGTCAACCTGATGATCATTTCATTTCAAATTTGCATAATATTATTGACTCTCAAGCCTTAGGATTACTGTAATCACGCATTTCAAATAGCAAGATTTGAGCTCTAGAATTGGAATGAAAGCGTCCATCACTAAGAAATTGAGTTCCGTAAAATACAGAATATAAGGGCATCAAAAAGAGTTGTAATTTACTTACTTACTTAGCAACGTAGCCTACTAAACCTTATTTTTAGGTCGAATTCTGTTCAAATTTAGACATTTTCAAGCTCGAATAACTTATGCCACAAAGCGTTTTGAACGCTTAAAAATAGCGCCAAAAAGATCTTCTTTGCTGCGCTTTACTTATTGATGCTTTATCTCAGTTTTTTTTAGGCCATTGTAAATTCATAAAAATCATCACTTTTACATGAGTATTAGCAAGGGAAAATTCTTGAAACTCAAATGATCGCGTTTTTCATCCCAAAAATGAAGATTTTTTCTATGATGCTTATTAAATCAAATTGATTGTAAAGACGAAACGCAACATTGGAAACTCGTTCTATAAGACTTGCGTATGCTAAATTTTGACATTATCACAGAATACCTGTTTTTATATTTTTGCAAATTGCTCATTATTTTCGGTCTGAAAGCTGAAAGTAACCAGCATCATCCGATGCGCCTTTATCGACTCTTTATAAATGAATTAAGAAGTAAAATATAACAACGACAGTTTTCATAATCAAATTTAGTAAAAACGTCTAAAGGATGTGAGATCAAGTCAAATTTGATCACAAAAATGCCATTACACAATGCCAAATTAAAGTACAGCAGTTGCGGCTACCACGGTAGAAGAATGAGACCAAATCTACTGGCCGTGACGTCGTGTAGGGCGCCCTATCATTTTTCCATACCACCGTTGTTCCCCCTTTTTTCAAAACGCGTTTAGTATCAAACCATTGTGGTTTTGGAAACCGTTTGACTGATAATAACACTCTAGCTTCTGATAACGCTGTATTGTACTGTTAGAAAAATTTGATGCTGCTTCTTTGAAGTGAAATATATTAGGTACCATTCGATAACGAGCACTGGAAGGCATAGAATTAACACTAATTGAATTTGTTTATTACGCTCTGAAAACCTTTTTGCCTGTTTGGCGTAGGTGCTGCTGCCATTACTTCTCTGCTATCTCTGCTGCTGCCTGCTTCTTTGGTTTATTATGCCTGGTAATTGCTTCTTCTTTGGTGTTTGTCTGGCCTCTGCTGGTGTTGCTGCTGCTGCTGCTGCTGCTAATTTGGTGCTTCCTGGTCTACTATCCCTGGTGCATGCTCGCTCTCTAGCCTATACCCGATGATTGTGTATGCTCTGGTCTATCTGTAGCTGTGGTAAGTAGTAACTTTTTTCTTCTGGTTCCAATGATATGAAACTTCTCTGGACGTTTGTATTATTGCTTCCTTTCTCGTAATAATGCTTTCATGATGTTTGCTTTGTTGCGTTTTCTTTTTTTCATTGGCTGTGATATGATCAGCTCAACAGTTATCCGCAATACCGTTGCTTCGTACTATGTACGAACAATACGCATGATACAGTGCTATATGTCTGTATTGCCCTGGTAATACTTTGTTATATATGGCCGTGGGTTGCCGATTGTGTTGCCTCTGTTGCTTCACATGAAACAACGTTACTTATTATGTTGTATTAAACACTCATACTACTGTTGCTTCTGCAGTTGTACATGCTTGTGTTGCTTTACATCATACTATTATCATGCACGTTGCTCATGTATGTGTTCTTGTTGCCACAATAAGAATATAACGAGAACATCATTGCGGTGCATTGAATATAACAACTTTTCTGTTGTATTCGTTATATTCGTTTCTTTCATTCATTTTATGTGAACATTTTATCCTTCATGCCTACATACTGCTATACTCCTATAGTAGTATGTTGTTTTCTTCTTTTCCTTTTTTCTTTTATTGTTTCTTTCGAAGCATACATCTTTATTACGTTGTGTGGATGTGCCTATCCCTGAAGCTCAACAAGACTTTATCCGAGGCTAGGAGGTAGATAGGCTGCCTTTACTTGGTTATCGCTACTTACTTTAGTGATGATTGAGGATCTCAATGCCTGAATTTAAAGCTAGGTGGTGTAAGTAAGGCATGCTCTAGCACCTGGGGGAAGTTTGATGATAGCAGCGGCTATATTGCTATTATAGCGGCGCTTAAAATTTTGCCTCACATCAAAACAGAGGGAAACCCTCGCAATTTTTTTTTAGATCAGCGGAGTTTTCAAGCAATCTGATTGGCTAAGAGGTTGGAACAACGAAGGGTTACAACTAGTTAATCTCCTATTGATCTGTCATTTAACATTATAGTATGTTCGTAATAAAAGTATGTCTAAACTGTCACAATTTAAATTTTTCTTTATTCAAAATAACATAAGGTGCAATAATTATTAAATATGGCATCCATTACACAGCTTTATGTGAGAGATGTTTATTGGATTTATAACGTGAGGAAAGTTATTTTTATATTATAGGTAAAGTAGTACACTCGGTACTAGATCCTCCCAGCAGTACCAAGTGCTTCGTCAAACATGTGCCTTTTATCATTGATTTACAACATGTGGTGTCAATTTCAAGGTTTGCCAACTTTTACCTCATATCAACAAAGATTCTGGATGTATAAAAGTGCTTTCGGCTTTGAGGTTTGGGCCCTCCAAAATCGAGTTTTGAAATTCGATTTTGAAATTCGGATTGAAATTGGCAAGTTCTTATAGGGAAAATTTGCGAGGAAGAAAAGGATAGTGTAGTTGTTGGGTTTGAGATTGGAGGATGGCGAGTTGCTATTGAGAGATAAATGTTTTTTTTTTCTTGAAGCAAGACAATTTTGAGCAAAGTAGGTATGATGAAACCTATTGCAAGATGTTAATGTCAAGTGATGGCGAACCATGAATGGATAGACTAGGTGTTACGAAATGTTGTCTATTGAAAGCCGCTTGGTGATATCATGCTTTTGTGTCATTTAACAAAGGTCTAAAGTTGCGTTGCGTATTTCAGCAAGAGGGAAAGGGACGGTTTGCTTTTTCACACACCACGTTGATTCTGCAGACTGTATATTAGGACCATTACATGCCTAATTTGAGGAGTTGCTAAACATAAATGAATTATTCAGTCGCTACCTTGGTTGTCAATCACTTACGCAAGGAAAGTGTTGACGGAACCACAATAATAGAAAGAACAATAATGTTTGAGCGATGTTCCTTATTCAACTGACAACTCAACCTTCCCTCTGTATTAATTGAATTCTGCTCCTCTTTGTTTGCTCTACAAAATGAGACGGTGTCTGGGCACCTACGATGATGCTGCCCAAAACAAAATAAATGGTATTGGAAAGCCAATTATCGATCATAAGAATGGTAGATCTGTATTTTTCTTCAATTATTTCGGAGTCTATGAAAAAGATTGACTAGAAAATTGAGTACAGAATGAAATAAGTTTTAGGGTTGTTCTTCCTCAAATTCCTTTTCAAACAATCCATAACTACATATAAACAACACTGATGTACCTTATTCTCTGGGTGCTAGCGATACTGATATACACTCTTGAATCAGCAGCGTATGAACAGCATTGTATTGACCCCGCTAATTGTCAGTTTTACCCTGTCCATGGTTGTTACGCTTCAGACAATGGTCTTGTATGCAAAAACAGAAGTAAGAACTCATATACATAACAAGTCATCTTGACATTGCATAGATATCTAATTGTCAAAAAAAGATAGAGGAGGATTTGAAGTGAGTATAGATCCGTTATACACAATCTTTTATTCGCCTTTCAACATAAAAAACGACACTGGATTACCATGTTTTACAGTACCTATCACGGACGAATTGATTAACTATGTCGACTTTCGAGGACCAAAAGTAATGGATGTTTATGATTTGGAGCTAATCGGCAACTGCAGTAGCATGTCATATTGTGATAAACATACGAAAACTTGTCAACCAAAGCAACCGTTAGACAGCCCATGTCAGTACAATATGCAATGCTACTTTGGCATTGACGGTATTCCTGGCCATTGCTCCAACAACACCTGTTCTATCAGAGAAGATATACCACAATACTATTATAATACACCAAGATGGACTATGGGCGATCAGTGGCAATCAGCTGTCGTCGCTGTATTGATTACAGGTGCAGTGGCTATTGGATTGCTGATAGGGCGTGCTCAAGTCAAGAAACTTGTGAGCAAATTCAAAGAGATGATGGAAAGATGGCAAAATCCCGATACAAGTGTGCCAACAAGTATGCCGTTTGTAGCAACCGAAGAAGCATGGAATCAGCACCATAATCAACAAAAGAGATGGTGGAAGCAAGTGCCTGGCATGAATTGGGTGTATAGTCGATTAAAACGTGGAGGAAGTGATAATGATCAGTATTATCAACTGGATAATAGAGGAGAAGAACCACCCCCATACAGAGCTGATTGAGACAATCTTTGGCACAGCATTATTCCCTCTTCTTTATATTATTATCATTAAATTTGCTAGCGTTTCTTTCTTTATTATCGACATCTATAGGCATGAGGTTTCATCATCGTCGAGGCAAACATCCCATGCCTTATTGTGTGATTTCATATCATAGTTTTTAAAGCTAAATGTCCTGTTTAGGGTATCTTCTATTTGACTCAGAGTCATATCTTGAAGACTGTGCCCTTTGCTACCGTCGCCTTTTGTTGAGGGCAAAATAACGGTAGAGTCGCCTAAATGAAGCAGACCAGATGTTCTCGGTGGTAAGTGTGCCATCAGATCGCTATCATCTGTGATTCGAATAGTGTCGACCCTTTGATATGAGAGTGTCTTTAAGAAGGACTTGTTGCCTACCCTAGGAGAATGAACAGCGCACACTGTGATGGATCGATTCATTAGCAATTTGGTCGACCGTAAAGATGAGGCACATAATGCTGCAACAGCTGGAACAAAGATTTGCATTAGTTTAAACGCTTTTTCTTGCGATATTACTGCTTACCACCGCCCAGTGAATGCCCCACAATGACCACCTTGTAATGGGATGGCAGAGCTCCACAGAGTCGCATCAACAATGTCACTACTCTCATCTCACATCGGTGCCAAGCAGTTAACGCACAATCCAAAACCCAAGGCGATATGTCTTCTTCAACCTCCTGCTGCTTTCTTTCGTGCATAGGTGGCCGTGAAGTGATCGTTTCAATTTCAAGCCATGGAACAGCTGCAAACGAGGCATTTTTGAACAATGTGTGCGACAACGAGGACATTCCTGGAAACACGACTAAAATCTCCTCGTTTTCAGTATCTACTGCAACGTATCCGTACTTTTGTGGAGCACAGTTGGCTGCATACTCTTCGTCTTCGTTGTCTTCCATTTCCTCCTCATCATCGTCGTCTGCTTGCATCTCTTGGTCAATGCCTGAGAACTCGCTGATGCTGCTAATACCGCTAGATGACATTGTTCGGTCAGGGGGAATATATTGAAATGCAGAAAATGCATGTGGTTTCTGTCTCTTGGCGATTGAATCGAATAGAACTCGCCTATCAGGTTGGATAGCAGATGACATGAGCTTTTCTTCGTTGTCCCTGTCCTTCAGCAACATTTTGGCTTCGTTGATCTGTGCGGCATGTGTTAGGCTTGAGTTGTATTGGACGTAAGAGACTGGAAACATGATGGACTGACTGTTGTTTTGGAGAGATGTTGAAGCATGCGGGAACAACCTTGCTGTAATAGAGCTACCAAGGATCTCTTCTTGCTGTGGTGATCTTGCCTGCTGAACGATGGTATGTAGACCTGTAGTGGCAGGACAATCAGCGCATTGTATTTGCACTAATTCACCGCTCATGCTCTTTGTATGAACAAAAGAAGAAGGTGGAGATGGCTCTTGGTTTCGTTGGTGTATCACCAGCAATTCATGTGTACATAAGGGGAGATAACGACAATATCGCTTTAATCGCAAGTAGTAAGAGTCGGGTATAACTTCGTAAGGGGACTGAGACAATGCATTGTAGTCCACAGGACCCTGAGGTGGGGGAGGCAAAGGCTTGGCAACTGGAATGTACGCAGCGGCTTGTAGTAGCAGCGCTTTTGGTAACATGAAAATGCACTGACGATGTGGTACCACCACAGATTTTCGCCTCTGCTGTACAAAGCGAATTAATCTCTTGCCAATGGATTTGGTTGTTTGGGTCAAGCTTTGATGTGTCAACATGATGCCCAACATGGGAGAATGGAATAAGCTGGCAGCCGTATAGGCCAAGAGACCTTGTTCTTCCTGTAATTGCTGTATCAGCCAAGCATATTGTTCCACAGTCAAGTGGAAAATTTTCGTGTGCTTCGCATCGGGGTTGGTACCTAAAGCAACCTGTGCTCTCTTGGGTTCATAGTGGACATAGGCCTTCTCTTGTTGAAATAGACTAGTGGCATGCATGGATTGGCTAGGCAAGAAACTGAGATTAGGATGTAGCAAGGTGATGGGGCCCGTTTGTTGCTTGTTGTAGATCTCTGTTGTTAATGTCACTGCGATGCCATCTTTTGAATAGCTGCTTTGTTGCTGTTCCTTATTGTTTTGTTGATCCAAAAATTGCTCTTTGTTGCTACTGCTGTTACTACCCCTTAAGAAGGATTTAACGCCCCTGAAGAAGCGTTTTGGCGAGGAAGAATGGCTGTCTTTGACCATGCAGTGTGGAGATGATTTGAGGTGAAGGAATAAAGAGAAGAAAAAGACATCGTATAGTTGCTTTTCTTGTGCTATTTATTTTTATCCTCAAGTAGCAAGTCGTGCCATGTTTTTTTGTACTCTTTGTGTAAAGTATCATATTTTACAAACACGGAAAAAACTTGTTTGGGCGCTCATTTAATAGATCTGAGAGAAGCCAATTGTTCAATGCTTGATCTGCCCCAAGTATCGCAAGACATGCCATTTGACACGAGGACGCCGTATTCGAACGTTATTCGCATACATCGATTGGAACATCTTATGCCAAGCAAGATGATTGTCAGAGAATTCATTTGATAGTTGCTTTTAGAAGGATCGCCATAAGTGGTTTGAGCTATCGACTAAGGAATAGTGAGCTATCCTGTATTGAGGACCAAGGATTACTTCTTGGCAAAAAAAACGGCTATGACATTGAGCCACAAAGGTGTCTATTTTCGAACAATTGACCGAGTATAGCAGAAGACAGAGATGGATCATCTATCTATATATATTTATATCACTAAAGTGGATGCTGCTTCTTCTGCGCCATCAAATAAGGTAAGGGATGTCAAAACAATCAAGAAGCGGGATTATCATCTTTTGCCATCTCGTATAGGAATTTTAAGACCACTGATCGAGCCTCTGGATCTATTAGACTTATGGACCGGTACTCCATAGCATGTCAAGAATAGCATCCCATTTTTTTTTGTCTCTATATATATATGTCGAAACGAGGCCAGCATAGCGTGATTTTATGTAAGATGTGCTCTGGCCATTGATTCATTCTTCACATTTGCTTCTGGTAAGCTGAATACAGTGCTTTTTGAAGGTCACATTTTTTTTCACAAATTTTATAGAAATGGGCCAAAACTTCTAACGCTTCATCTTTAGCTCATTCCTTATACCAATCTCCAAAATTACATTCAAACATGAGTACTCTGTCATATGTCACAACCGCAGGAAGCAGAAGAAAGAGAAAGAATGCAGGTAATACACCGATTGTGCAATTTACAATCCTTCATCCAAATGCATGTGGACTTATTCTATGAATCCAGTTGATATGAATTTAAAAGAAGTTGTCGATTCTGGACCTCGAGGCAAGGGAAGACCTTCAAAGGGCGGTGCTGCGCTTCGTGCTAAAAGATACTATGTGAAGAATCATCTCATGGTGTTGGAAAAGAGAAAACTCAAGCGTTATATTGTCAAAGTACGGAAGTACATTGATGATTACAAGTGTGATTCATCCTGCATTATGGCTAAACTTAAGGGTCTTTGCGAAGTTCACATCCGACGCCATTTCCAAGGGCTGAAAGAGTATGTTGCACCACGTCTCTTTGGTAAGCTTGTCTAATTCAATTGTTCGCATAGATCCCACTTGCTGTACTTTATCAATTTATCCAGAGAAGATCAGTATCTGGCCTTTTTGAACGTGGAGGGACAGTTATTTACGGACAGCATATACAAGGATCCAACCGATATACCTCAACCAAACGAGCTTCAGCAGTTGCAAGCAAAAATCATGCAGAAGCATTCCATGCTCTTGTTCCAGTTCTGTACGCTGCTCTCAGCTTATTTGCTTGCACATCATGTAGAGAAGTTACTACAGGACACGACATTTGAAACCAGTGAAGCAAGATTCGAAAAAATGAAGTCTGATTGTCTTGCATTATACGTTGTACGTTACGATCACATCATCGCTACGTATAAAGACGACGAAGATCAGAATCAGGAAGAGGAGGATGAACAGAACGAGAGCCCTGAAGGGACTGAAGAGAACGGAATCCTTGAAGAGGCTGAGAAGAATCAACCCCCCAAGGAGAATGAACAGAGTAATGAGGAAACCAAACAACAAGATGAAGAGACTGAGCAGCAAGAAGAAAGGCTTGAAAAGCAAGGTAAAGGCTGTGCAAAATGGACAGATGTAAACGAGATTCCAAAGGAAGAACTGCAAGAGGGAGGTTTCGAAAGCAGCTCAAACGAAGAACCAGCGGCAAAGAAGCTGAAGACAGATCATTAAAGTGCACATGCTCGAGGCGATTTGCCAAGGCAATTTAATCATGTTAATTTAGCATGTCGCACCATGTCAACTCTCTGGCTTTCAATAAAAACACTCATCAACCATCATAAATACCTTCAAGTTTTCCCATCTTTTTCTTCTCTTCTTCACTTGTATATTTTCACACATAGAAAAAAAAATGACCTATTTCGATACTCTTAAGCGCTCCTACGTTGATGTTGATACCTCCAAGGGTATTGATACCGAGCAGTTCCTCGAAGCCACTGAGGGTCTCGTTAAGCTCTTTGGTAAGTGCCAATCTAGTTTATTTCTATAGGATCTTCTAGACTCAACTTATGCACATCAGATTTGCTCGGCTCTGCTGCTTTTTCTGTTGTCCAAAATGATATGAACGGTAACATCAAGGTGAGTTTCTGCGCGAGGGAAAAAAAATGGAAAGGCAAGGTGATTGACGCGCGCATTGGCTGGAATTTCCTTTTGTTCGTTACAGAAAATCAGAGAGCGTCTCTTATCCAACCCTACAGCCAATGCTACTCTCCAAGACTTGATGGCCACTGAAGCACCTGAAAAAAAGAGAGTTGCTACTGAAGGTCTTCTTTGGTTGACTAGGCAAGTAAATTGCTGTGAAAAGTGGTACTTGAATTAATTGCTGACTGTCCTAAAAAATAGAGGTCTTGATTTCACTGCTCAAGCTTTGCGTCGTAGTATGGATAACCCAGCTGAGGAATTGAACATTTCGTTCACCAAGGCCTATGAAGCAACTTTGAGAAAGCATCACAACATGCTTGTGCGTCCTGTATTTTCTGTAAGTCAAGTGTTTATCTAGTGAGGGGTTTTGTTTATATTTACTGACATACTGTGATGAAAAAGCTTGCCATGAAGGCTTGTCCTTATCGTAAGGACTTTTACGAAAAGATTGGTGTCCTCTCTGACGCTGCTCTCGCTCAAATGAAGCAATGGGTTGACGCTCTTGAAAACATCATCCGTATCATTCAAGATGTCTTCAAGGCTAATCCTGCCTACATCAAGGGCATGTAAATAACAATACCCATTTTTTGCACTGATTTCTAAAAAATAATAAAGATTTTACCAAACACATTGCACTTTCTTGATTGCTTGCGAATGTCGGGTTCATTATACAAGATCGTCAGGCACTGATGACAGTCGATTCAGTCAGAATTTTGAGTTCATCAGTGAGTGATGTATTAGATACTACATGGAGAATTTCTATCTCTATGCAATTAAAATCAATTGCGAAGCATGTATCAAATACCTTGTATCAAGCAAATTTACGAGTACTAAATATTGATTTTGATCCACCTTTCAAGATTCTGAAAATAAACAAAGCAGCTAGTCATTGCAAAAGTGTTGATCAACTAAAGTGTATATTCTCAAGGAGATAGATTTCACTTTGCGTGCCGTTTTTGCAGAATAAAATCAGGAGTAACGCGAGCGTCAATATAGATCCTGTACCTGAATGCCTTTGAGGGGCATGTAACATGGCTCTCTCCCGGGTTTCTGATCTGCTCAGGAAGGATAAACGGACGTTCACCTTGCTAGCATGAATGGCATCGCAATGATCTTCATCCAATGTTGATCAGGATGGACTATCAACAACTCGTTTTAGTCCATCCCCTATTGTCTGAAGGATAAAATATCCACGGCTATCAGCTCCTTCAACTACAGCAAGATGGGTGGCTAGTTGTATATGCAAACTACGAGTAAACAACTGCAGGCTTTGTAGATGTACTACGACACATAAAGGATTGGCATGATTCTGTGAGAGGTAGTGGTTAATGCAAGGTTATCAAAAGACAAGAAGTTTAAATATAGTAGCACATCACTTTTGTATTCAATGCATCACCTGCCTGAGCTTTTAATAGCGCTTACTTGCTTTAATTTACTCTATGATCTAAGAGAGGAATTACCAGGCAAATGTGAAGCACACCATGTAATGCAGAGCCGCCCCTTGATTTTTTTTTGCAAACAGGAAAATCATGCTGTTTTATATGTGTAATGGAGAAAGAAATATGGTTTTTATTTTCATTAAAAATAGAATCAAGAAGAGAGAAATAAGAAAAAGAAGAAGAAAAAAAAAGGTTGTTGAGGCCCTGAGTATTATTAATAAATGACACTATTTCCATTTTTTTGTTGGTATTAGAGATGAGGAAAATGTCAGCTACCTGGCTGAAGACGGGATGATGATGAAAATGATGATGATGAGAAATAAAGAGAGTAAAGAGAGCCTGAGTGGGCGATGCGGCGAGCAAGAGAAATAGAGGGAGGCATAATGTGTACATAAAAACAAAGACAGAAAATAATAGCTGTAATATAAACAAATAAATAGCATAGTGGGGATTTTTCATAGTGGCATAAATTGTTGGTTCATATTGTTCATCATCATACTGGAGAATAAGGAAAGTTACATGTATAAAGGGGATAAATAGGAGCAAAATGGATTGTTGATCGTCCCTTTTGTCGGATTAATTATTGTTTTTGGGTTGGTTTTCTTTGGTATCGAGAGTTAGATTCCATGTTGTTGCTGTTTCTTGCTGTTGTTACTGAAATCAATGGCTTTCCAAGGTCTTCTGAAATGTCTCATATGAGTGTGATTTGGATCAACCATGTTTTTGTTTTGTAATGTCTTGAATCTACCCCAACAACAACCTCTCGATCGGTGAGGAAGATAGGTTGAAGAGATCATGGCCCAAGATAATCCTTGGTCATATCCTTGTTGGAGCAAATGATCCTCGAAGGGCGTCCAGGGCGTTCTGGTCTGCACATTGCTTGTATTACCTGCAGATTCTGAGCGTGGTCTGCGATTTGGATGACTATAGATGAACATATGGTGTCTTGTGAGGCTTACATCACTTGCAGTACGACGTCTGGATTGCTCTTGTTGATGCTGGTGATGGTATTGTGAAATAGGAGCACGTAATGAACTGAAGCTGTTGCTTCTTCCGGGAGTCGCAATGTAATCATCGTTGCTACTGTTGGAGCTGGTGCTACTACATGTGCTGAGGCTGCTGCAAACACTCTTTGGGCTACTACTTAGAAGCTGTTGCTGATTCCAATCCTGCTGCTTTGTGATCACAGTCGAGTACATTGTAATGGAGTGCCAATCATGGTTTTGTTGTTGGTTTGTTTGATGTATCAAAGCAGCTTGTTCGTTTGCCTTGACTGCCAATTTCGATACAGGTTCGCATAAAAGATATTTAAGATCCATTTTTCTGAGATACATCCAAGTTAGGATATGGGGATTAGATGTCGACAGTACTACTTTACCAATTGATATAATACAGATAAATTTGATTTTACAAGAGATTGTTTAAGAAGAAGAGTGGAGAAAAAGAATTGTCATCAATGTTTTTTTCGATGATTGAGATGGAAATCTAGAAAATGAGGGTCTATTTAAACAAAATTTACTTTGAAGAATCAAGGGGGTTGTGAGGTACCTTTTTATATATTCTCTTTATATGTATACAATATAGGGGTTATCACTTGTATAAAAAAAAATGTTCCTACAGCATCCAAGGGAGAGTAGATGGAGAGGGGGGAAATGCGAACAAGAGAGAGAGAGAGAGAGAGAGTCTATGTGCTGAAAGGGGCTATAAACCTATATTTGGTACTTAAAATGGTACTTTATCAAACTAATGTATGCCGCCAAAATTTCAAGAAGGCGTCTCTTATGTATGATGAACCCCCTTTATTATTACTTGTTATGTTCAATTTTGACAATCCATATTTGGTGAATTTATTTCGTTTTTGTTCTTTTTTTTTTTTTTTTTTTACAGCATAGAGATAGCGAAACATAGATGCTGCAAGCAGGGTTATGTGCATTGCATCTCATTTTCTCTCTTTCTGCTGTTCTTGCATCCTCGATTCTTTGAGATACATTTATATATCATATTAAAACCAAAGGGAATCCATGTGTATCGTGCTGCTATCCATGGTATTTCGATTCCTTAAAGGACCAAGCATTTCATGCACATTTCCAGCAAAATCTACTACGTACATATTCCAGTACATTATCGTGCAAATATACATGTGCATTTATAAATGTATATTTAAAGTATATTTAGATATATAAATGAATAAATTTTCATGTACACCTACATACATATTATATCTTGAGTCTGCAACCATATGCATGATATACTAATGGCTCACGGCGAGACAAGGCACTTAAAATTAAGGAGATGCAGGCTTTACTTTTCTTTTGCTGCTCCACAGAGATTAAGTGAATTCGCATACATTGAAATTAGCAGCATGCATTGTAGTTATTCTGTGATTGGATCCGCATCGCTTTAATATTTCGAGAATTGAAAGTATAGGGAAAACGAGTTGCATGTCTTACGTGTTCCAGAGGCAAGAGTTGGCTGGATCATAATGCTATGGACTGGCTATGTTGTACATGAGATCAAAATATAAAGGGGGGAAACTCAAGATTATTGACTATTTATACCATACATGGTAAAATTATAAAAAGTAGAATGCTGAAGCGAGATGCAACGTACTTTCCAGCATCATGTGAAAGAATCAGAATCAATACGCTACCATCATACAGTTTCTCTCTCACTGTCTTTGTCAGTTTTCGTGATTCTATCATACTCCATACCAGCAGAATATGACCTCACATTGTCAATGGCGAAAGAGAAAATCGTGAAATACACCCAATATCAGCATATTCAAATTGATGTATACACTGTAATGCTACATGGTCATGCAGTTTATGTACAGTCATCTCAATCAAAAGACATACATACACACGCACACACGCTTACTGCTCTCTCAACAACAGCCAGCATAAATTAATGAACAAGATCATGTAGTTCATCACAAACAGAACCAACACGGCATACCCTACCTCATACAGCACTGCATTCTCAACCAGACACTTCCCAAGATAGGAATTATAGCTCCCCTTTTTTATTCACGCTAAAAAGGCGTATGTATTTGCTCATTTGATAGAGTATCATCATCTTACCCAGGCGAAGCATTGTGAATGAGGGTGCGTGTGTATAGATGATGCGTGTCGTTACTTTTTCTCCTTGCAAGACCCCCCCCCCTACCTGTTCGAGAATTTAGTACAATACTATGCATGCTGTCACTGCGCACACTACTGTATGCCGTGTTTACAAAAGTGTCATTTCTACATTACATCAATCAACATTATGTACCATTGTTGTTACAGTCAGTTTTCCCCAGGTAACATTTATCTTTGCTTTGTGTTTTTGGAATCATAGATTCCTTCAAGTACATTGATATGTTGTGATACAGCACCTTTAGGTGACACATATCCAGCTCAATCTCCATTACATTTGCTTGTGGTCAGAAAGCAAATTATTTACGATGATCATCATATATATATATTTATGAATTCTGCATATTTCCATCTGCACATTATAGCAATTTTATCCCTTGCTCATAACTAGATTGTAGCAGAATTTGGCTACGTTGAGACCTTGATGTCTTCAAATATATGAGCTTTTGACAAGGACTAGGAAAGGGACATCTCCAGGTTTTATTCTTTCGCACTTGTCACCCCCCCCCAAGGTAGTGATTTGCATTACGAAATGTATAAAAACTTTCATAAAGCGAACTGTAACTAAGAAACCAACTTTTCTAAGATGCCCTTCGTCTTTATTAATGAAGATACTTTGTAGATTAGCAAGCAGCATATTTACATCGCCTCTAATTACTCAAAACTACGCAAAACACAGCATAATTTGGATATACTTGAGCAGTGGTTTCTGGCGTTAGAAGCCATTCTAGATCATCAGAATAGCACCAAACAGTTGCTCTCAACTAGCACTTATTTTCTCACACCTTTGCTCAACTTTTTTGGGATCATCGAAAATCGACCAAAAATCGACCAAAAAGCATGAGTGATACCTCATGATTTTCATCGAAAATCAAACGATCGCGTTTTTGACACCAAAAATGAAGACTTTTACTAAGGTATATATTAGATCAAAACGTTCCTCTCGATTCAATGCAACCTCTGAAACTTCTTTTTTGAAATCGCCATATGTAAAATCTCGACATTCCGGCCAAAAACCTAATTTCATATTGTCAATCATTGTCCAATAACTTAATTAATAACATATATTTTAATTAATACCACTAGATGTGCCTTGAAAAGTACTATAACAAAGCTTAATGAAGTACAAGATGATCATCACAATTCCTATAGTCTAATCTTGCAAAATAGACCAAACAAATCGATATAACTAAAATTTGGCCAATCTTGGGAAAAAATGTAGAATCTGAATTTGAATCAATATTGGCGGCTGATGGCAAATTGAAAGCCTCTCTCAATTTGAGGGCAAATGTTGTTCGTGAGGCTAATAAGAGAGATTGCGACAGCAAAATGCCATAATTTAGCATACCCACTGTCTTTTGTTTCTATTTCACGCTTTTATATCTGGTAAATTGAGTTGGTGTACAGTAATATGTGAATACAAATCCTAATACGAAATACAGAGTGTGCTGTTCATAAGATAAAGCAAGAGAACAAGGCCATTGTTTAATGTGATATCGCTTCCTTAAGCATTAAATGTCTCGCTACCATATGTAATCGTAGATTTTCAGCAAATCATTCTCGTAATCTTTGAATAATCTAACTACATACAGGATAAAGCAGTGTCGGATGGCTCGTAGTATTAGAATTCTCATATCTGACGACATGCAGTAGTGCCATTCCAAATATTCATAATCAACCACATTTGGCATGCTTAGAATGATACGAATTCAAGCAAAGAGTTGGATAAGAAGCTTAGTAAACTACAACGCTCCAAATAGGAGCTCGTCCCCTCATCAAGTAGTATCATCATCATCCATAACCAGATTTGAAAGTACGAATGAAAGGATCTTATCAAACAGTTTTGTTTACCAGGAGATGATTGGAGACTTGGATGATCAATTTCATGTGAGTGCGATCATGGGGACCAGAAACTAAACTTGCGCCGTTACACACCTCAGCAACTTTAAATCATAAATAGGGGTTTGGATTTAGCAATCATTTCCATGTTTTAACTCTTTTCTTTCTTACAATATATTTTTCTACCTAATTTATAACAAATAGCATGATGCGACTTTCGCTTTTGCCTATTATAGGCTGTATTTTATTAACACCATTCATTCTTCTAGTGATAACATGCTTGGCTTCTCTAGCCATCATCACTAGCACAATCACATCTTCATTTCTATTTCTCCGACTTGCATTGCTTGCCATCGAAATGGTCTCTGGGCTAACGTTGGAATCTACAAACTGGCTGCTCTCAACATGTATGACAAGGATTTCAAGCTATTTACAAAGGGCCAGTGCAAAACAACAATCAACACCGGAAATCATGCTCAACAATGGATCAATTCATGTGAGACGACGAAAACTGCCACCATCATCACTGTCGTTGAGTCGATTGCCCTATAAAGCAACCTTGAAGTCAAAGTATTCTGTGTCTGTACCAGCAACTCCAGATCCAGAGTCATATCATCATCAAATGGCAATGTGAGTTTATTAGATGTTGAATAAACCATAGAATTATAAAGTAGCCTCTTCTGCTACGACCTCTTGCTCTTGCTGCTGTTGTTTGTTGGTTTCCCACGGTTTTGGTCTTGCTGTCATTTTTGCTTTACTGGGTGTACCTTCATTTAATACGTTGGGTATTTGTTTAATACCTATCAAATCACCATTCAATAAACATTTACCCCAGAATTAACGCATAGTTGATTCATACCTGGAATTTCAATGCCTTTTTCAATCATGTCCACGAGTTCCTGAAATGTAAATCTAGGCGGCTTGTCTACAAATTGATTGTTTACTAGCTGCATGACCGAGTAAAGCGCTTTTATCTACCATCACTATTCTTTCCTTGTTCAATTGCTGGTTCCTGATTTTCATTTTTCCAAGTCTTGTATGCATCTGCATTGAAACTTGTATCAACCACCCTATTCAAATGTTGTTAGAGCACATCATCAGCTGCTTCTTTCAAATTGCTTTTACTTTGTATAGTAGAACAATTTTGCTCTTAGAAGGAGGTCAGCCTCATTCTCTTGTTTGTTATTCAATAATGACGCAACGCCTGACTAAATGAATCGGCCATGTCTTTGTTAACGGTGCCTATCGCACATGCAGTGTATACGTGTATACCTGAAACTGGCTATCCTTGTCAAAGTCATATTGATCGAATTGCTTGAATTTGGCGATATTGTCGTTTGCAGTAGTCATTTATGAATAAAAAGAAGAAAGCAAAAGCAAAAAAAAAAAAACACACTCTTTCACTCACTCACTCACTCACTCACTCACTGTGATTTTTTTTTTTTTTTTTTTTATTCTTAAGCCAATCAAATGGAAATCATATGAATTGAATTAGCTCATCACAAAAGGGGCGGACAAGGCGATATCACAAGGAGATGGACAGTCTGCCAGTTGCGTTTCACCTGCACAGGAGAGATATAGTGATTTATTACTGATACATGTATTAGATTTTGGCAAACGGCTTTCGATTCAACGAAAGCTTGAAAAATAGAAGCAAGCCTGCACCAGCTAGATAACATATGCCTGTAAAGTATTTGTAGCTATCATACTCTTTTGCAAATGAGGAATTCGACTCAATTGCGCTAGCAAGATTAGGGCCAAACATGGACACCACGGTAAGAACTAGAAACAATGCCATTCCTGTCTCAAACTTTTCTTGTCCTGTAACTAGTAATGTGATAGTTGGGGCTATGAAATGGAAATAAGCAATCCAGACATCATTATTGGTGATTTATAACCTACTTAATGTGATGAAAGCGCCACCAAAGAAGCCAAAAACCATAGCAAATGCCATTAGTGTACCAAATGTATTGGCATAGACCCATAGCAGCAAACATGATATTCCAGAAATAATAACATAGATAATGACAATATTAACATGGCCAACATGATCCGCTACAACACTAATCATGAATGTTACGGTGTTGTATAATGTCTCATTTTATAAGCAATTACCCTGAAACCAATCTACCAACTGCATTCATGCCGTAACTCGTTGACAGAATCGTTGCTCCTTGAGACGTGGACAGACCCAGAAACGTTGCGTACGCTGTTTACATGTATAAGTGAATATGTCTACAATTGCCAAATGTAAGAATAGTACTCACATGGCAGGAAAAAGTAAGGCACATTGTATCCTGCCTCTAAAAGAGTATCAGTAAATACCCACAGTAGAAACCGCCAGTTTCTTGCTATGCTAAAGTCGAACATTTCCTTAAAAAACAGCTTGGTATCGGTAGACTCGTCTTTTTGATTTCCTTTGCTTGGTCGTTTATCCTGAAATAACAGACATGAAATCACACCGATAACAAAGCAAACCAAGCTCATGATTCTATAGCACCTAATATAAGATCTTTGTCAATAGAGTACTATTATCAATAATTCCCAAAATTACCAGCCAGCACCCAAATGAGTGTTTAAGGGCTCCATGACTTGAGGCATGACTAGACCACCGATACTTATGCCACTCGAAAGAATACCTAATGCCATTCCTCTGTTTTTAACAAACCAAAGAGGCACTACTGTCAAAGCCATCTATGCAAAGCATCAGTACTTTGTTTGAAAAAAAAAAAAATGGTGGTATGAAACTTACATAAAATAAAATGGAAGATCCAATACCGTAAATCGCTCCCTGTGTAAGGTACAGTTGCCAGACCTAGATATGCGTTTAATATGCATATTATTTGCCTGATGCCCATGAATACCTGTGTGCTGAAGCTAGCCAAAAGAAGACCAGTTGAACAAACAGTAATCGAAATAAATAGCACCGTTCTTGGAAGTAAAAGAGACAACAGTATCTGTCCAAAGGGTCCCAATAAGTTTATGAAAATGTTGAAAATGGTGCCGACGAAGCTTAGTTGAAGAGATAGGTTGCTAGTTGCTTGGAGTTTCTCGTCTTGCTCGAAATAATTTTGCATGATGCCTATAGCATATCATTGAGATGAAAAATATCAGCACAAGGAGGCGGTATAGTCTGCAATATATACGTATTTACCCCTAGATAGCACATCAGTTAGCATTTTATTCACTCAACATGCTATTCTAAAATGTATTTACCAGCCTGAAGCAGCACCCAAACCAAATATCAACACAAGAAACGTACCTAATACTACAAGCCATGGATAGATTCCATTCTTTGCTTCTTTCTCTGAATCAATCTTTGGCTCATAGTACATGTCATTCAGCGTTTCTATATCTGATTCTTGAAAGTCATTTGAACCTATGTTGAAATACAATCAACACATGCAAGCCTGTCATGGGTACCAATTGATGTGTATAGCTTACTATGATTATGGGCATTAGCAAAACCACTTTCAGGGACAAAACAGTTTGCATCAATAGATGTGGTGCAACTATGATATTTATCATCAACGTCATTATTCAAAGTGACGGAAGAGCTTTTGTAACTCGCCCTACTGCTCAATACGGCTTCAGTAGACATTTTTTCAAGGAGTAAAGGTCTATGAAAAGATGAAGATGACGAAGAAGAAGAAGAAGAGTAAAGGCATATTTGAATATTTTGTGCTCTTATTCCACTATGAAAATTATTAAGACAATGTGTCCAATACAGTTTGAAATAGTGCATGCACCATATTAAATTATTTTCAAATAGACTGTTCTGAGGACCTTTCTTGTTCGCAGTTATTCTGCCTGTGGGTATTACCATCGTTGAGGCTGATTTCAATCGCAACTCATGAAGCTATCCATAAAGCAATATGAGGCACAGATAATTATATCGCATTCATTCTTGATCAATATAGCGGCTCCCTGTCATCAGGCCAAAAAAGCATTCTGAAATGGTGCGCCTTTTGCTGATAACAAACCGAAACATGGCTACCGATTATACCTTCAATACGGCAATCGATTCATATTGGGCATCACATTACAATGACATACAATGCTGCTTCAGCTATTCGTAAATCTTGGTAGGTGGAGCGCTTAGAATATATTCCTGCCATAAATTTAGTAGAAAACACAACGCATCTATTATTCTGTACCTTGTTCAAGTTATAGTGAACATATGCTCGTCCTGATCGTTGCAAATAAACCGCAATCAAGCCGTCAATATAACAATTGCATTCGGTTAAAATCTATTCATGGCATTCCAACATTTAGGGCAACTGTGAGTTACTAATAAAGGCCACATATGTTTCGATGAAATATGTAGCGCATCATTTAGGGTACATCTACGCATATAACGGATCCTCTTTCTCAGCAAAATGCTCTTATAATATCTTGTATATATAATAAACCTCTACGATATGTCATACATTCTAGACATGTTGAAAGGAATCACTGTATACTTCATATCCATGGTTGAAATTGAGGCCCTATTTACTGCATTGCTGTAATTGCAAAAGACACAATATCTTACACAAATTTACTTTGTCTAGACCGTTTGACACTCGACTTCCATTACGAACAAGTAATATCCAGGTCTTGGTAAATTGCATTACAGCAGCAGTATTCTAAGAACCCAAAGAGCACGCACTGGTCTTATGGTCTCTTCCGTCATTCTGAGGCATTCTTTAATATACCGAGCCAAGACATGAAATGAAGTTTACTAGTGCTCAATTAAACGAAATCACTCAACCGTAACTTGAACCTTGTTGATAGGATTACGCATTCGTAAGATGCAACTTATTAGAGACATTTAGCTAAAGAACTTTACTATCATTACCATGGCGAAATGCCTTTCCGTTGTAATCTCTTGCTATTAGCATCATGCAACTCTCAGTCTTATGGTCTCTAAAACGAATTGGATATGAAACAGTGCAACTTAATAAGAAACCAGCCGAGCAATGCTACACTACTTGAGTCGTTTTGATAGTTTGCATTTAGAAAAGACAATAACTTGACAAGTGTTTGGGTTTTACCGAGGCGGTTGGCGGGCACTGTTAGTGCGCTGTATCTAGTTGATTTACACTTGGGAAACTCGAAGAGGACGCTCCTACATATTACCTTGATGGTATACATTTGGCTTGTCACTTCTCCAGCAGCAAACAAGGTTCGGTAGTGATGATGAAGCTATTTTTAACATTAAATTGATTGGTCGCTCAATTTGGTTGGCATAAATGACCCTCTAGATGATCTAATGAGACAAGATCTTTTGTGCAAAATGGTGGAGCAGAGCAAGAAATACACGATTACTTAATTCTATGCTCAAGTGGTTCTGTGTCAGTCTAAAATATCTATCTTCTAGACCTGTATTTGGGTAAATAAATGTTCCATCATGGTTTATTTGCGACATTTGTGATGGCAAAGTGTTTCTACCCATGACGATCTACTGTTCCATTCAAACATGTATGTAGCTGCAATATATACAATCAGACATTGAGCTTATCTACAGGTTTCGATACATGTTAATAAGTAAAAGATAAATAATCTCGGTAAATCTCTTCTACCATTTTTTTTTTTTGGCTGATTTGATCTTTGCAGTATAGGGAAATATAAAGTGGGGTCGGGGACGGGGTAACTTTATGCCTTTCTGACAAAAATGCAGTAAGGCAAATGAATTTAGGCAGAGGTATTGATTGTGCGACAGTTATCTTTACTACCAATTGAGTTTTATAATATGAAAAGCAAAGGCAAATTAGAGTTTTGAATAAAGCCCAGCTTTCGTATGATGGATTACCTGAGCAAAGATTTGACAGAGATACAGCAAATCAAGATGTATTTTCGAGGGTAATTCAGGTCCTGCCCATGTTAATATCAGGTTTATTGTTGAGAGAAAAGGAATAGCTTATAGATTTGAATTTGGAGGGAATAGAATACAATATACACTTTTTTTCTTTATGGTTTAGCAAGCTCTAAATTGTCCATCATTAGGTCTATATGGGGTAGATATTGAGTACGTTGTGATTGACATGTATAGTAAGCTACAAACTTACCGTAGTTTTGGTGCGATGCGTTGTCCGCTGAGGTAGCAGCGGCAGCAGCATTCACATCCACTAGTAATGTATCCCATGGATCAATTGTTGTAGGAGTCTTTTTGCTTTCAGACGACGGTGAATGATGATAGGGGTGATGGCGTTGAGTTTTATGGTGTTGTTGATGATGGTGAATACTATGATGATGATGAATTTTAGATGATTTCTTTGTTGCTGGTGGTGTTTGTTGGGGTTTCGAGAATGATGAGAAAGAATAGCCGTTTGTGAGACGAACGGGTTCAAAGGAAGAAACCGGGTCATCATCAACAACAGTGGTAGGCGAAGTTGGTGCTTGTAAGGGAAAGGAGTCTGTGTTGTATGAGCAATCCGACGATAACGATGAAGCATAGGAGGCATTTTGTTCATTTGCGGCTCTGTTGGTAGTTGTATCTGTGTGGTTTCGTTGTGCAATCTTCCAAAAATCAATACCCAGCAATGCAGAGATGTCTGTGTGGTTCAAGTTTTGATGGTGCGTTTGTTCCAGCAATGGCTGAGTACGAGTGTCATTTTCTGCTGCTCTCTTTAGCTCTTGCTGTTGTTGCTTTTGCTGCTGCTTAAAATCAAGTTCGCTGAGGCCCTGTAGTCTTCTCCAATGATTTGTGGTGCGACGAAGATCGTAATCGATGGTCAAGAACCAGTATTTTTCAAAGAATTCAGGTGGTAACTGCCAGTTTGCAGCAATAGCAGGGTCACCGCCATGAAAAACGGAATGTCCTAGTAAGCATCGGAAGCAATCATCCAAATCAAATTGGTCTCTAAACAGGATCATTCGGTCGCGCATGTGGGGTGTTGGAATGAGGTCAATACGAGGATCATGAGGTATTGTCAACTATATCGAATTTCAATTAGATGAGATTTTTCCCCACGATTTTTGTGGAGGTATTTTTTTTTTTTTTTTTTTTACCTGCAAAATAGTAGGTTGGATAGCAAATGGTATCGAATCCATACGGACACAGGCTGACTGCAATCGAAGACGCAGACGCAGGGTTTGAATAGCAGCAAGATTGGATGTGATGGGCTCTTCTGTCAGCATGACAGGACGAGGTGTTGCTTGTTGCTGTCGTTGTTGTTGCTGTGGATGATGTGGATGGTGCGCATCTGCATCCGAAGCGACCGAGCCAGGCGAGAGAGGAGGAATGCCTGCATCTTCGTCTTGAGCTTCCAGAGGGTGCACAAGATCCTCAGTGGGAAAATCAGAGTCGTACATGGATTCTGGAGGGCAGGAAGTGGATGATTCTCTCTGACGGGGTACTGCAACAGGCACTGTCTTTGAAATGATTGGTTGTTGAGGGTGGGGAGAAGAGCGATCTGGTACAGAGTGAATGCCTTCTTTGGTAATCACAATGGACCCCGTAGAGAGGTATCGATCACGCTGCTTCATGGTATGCTTGTAGCCAAATAGCTTGGAGGGGATGGGCAGTTTGTTGTTGGCATTGACGCTAATGTAGGTCGAGATGGATTCTGGGATGGACTGAGCAAGCACTGACAAGGCTTGTTCATTGATGTAAGGGCCGTGCTGAGGAATCACCAGGTTGTGCTGAAAACACACCAGCTGTAATGTGAGGACAATGCCTTTCAAATACCAGTTCTCTGAGCGCATGATTTCCTGATCAGCTTTCAGTTGTTCGTTTTCAGCATGCAGTTTATCTCTTTGCTCTCTGATCTGTTTGATGGCAACCTCTAATTCTCGCATGTGGCGTTCTTTGCGTTCACGAAATGCTCTCTGAGCAGCTCTGTTCTGTGCCTTTCGCAGTGCTGGGGAGGCAGGATTAGGCTTGCGGCCTGGCTTCTTTCTAATTTTGACAGGCTGGCCTCCATTTGAGGCGGTGTCTTGATCCATTGAAATGCTCTCCGTGTCTGATAAATCCTGCTTCATGATAATTGTGCTCTTGTGAGTTTAATGAAAAAAAAAAGAAGAATAAAAGAAAGAGAAGAATAACAAGTTGTGGAGGGTGACATTACCCCATTTATACCTCGAATAAACTAGGAAAGTAACCCTAATTTCGGAGTGCTTTCCAAATGCGAATCCAATGAAGAGCGCCTGACATCTTCCAAACAGAGTGGGGAAACAGGCATATATTCTCGGGAAGGAGTTCGCTGCTAGGTTCCCACACTACGGTTGAGCACCTATACTCTTTTCATTTTACGAGAAATCCGATACAGCTTGTCATATTCAGGATGATTGCTGGATTTTTTTTTCTTGTCCGTGTTTTCTGCCAGCCAGCATGACATCTCTTTGGACAAATGGCGGAGAAAACCAATGAAAAAAGTGTGGGGTATCCAGCGCACACATGGAATAAACAGCGGTGCAACATCAACTCTCGTTTGCAAGTGTTATATATATATATATCTCCTTTTGTATATTGAAAGATAAAGAAAAACATCCTAAATACATTACGATTGTAGTCTGTATTGAAATATTCCGTTTGAAAATGTCAGAAACGCAACCTCTCGGATGCAAAGCTGTGATTATACCCTTCTTTCAGATGCTGTTTTTACATTTGGTATATTTATTAGTTACATTTGTTATTCAATCGATTGTCGCACAGACTCATCCAGGAAGGAGCCAATCCAACTTGAATGTGCGTTATTATGAATTCAATGTCACTGAGAGATCAATCAATCCAGATTGCTCAGATCATGTATCCCCAGTCTTTCTGATCAACAACCAAATGCCTGGCCCAAAAATCACTGCTGTCCAGGGTGATGTCGTGCGTGTGCTCATTCGCAATCAGTTGTCTCCCATGCCCAAACCTGACGACCACCGACACAACGTAGCCATCCATTTCCACGGCATCAGGCAGTACGGTTCTGTGCATTCTGATGGTGTCCCCTATCTGACCCAAATGCCAATTAAACCCGGCCAAGAATATGTGCATGAATTTAGAATAGTCAATCAAGCCGGAACTTATTTTTACCATGCGCATGTTGGTATGCAAGAAGAAACGGTATTTGGCCCCATTGTCGTCTATGAATCGAACCTCGCTGATCCGAAGAATAGCAAGTCTTTGCTGCTGAAGGCTGGCCCCTACGCTTACCATGATGAACGCACGCTCTTGATGAGTGAATGGTGGCATCGACCTCACATGGAGTTTGAAAAGTTTCTAATGGGTCCAAAGTTCAACTTTATTCCAGAGGCTGACAGTATTTTGATCAATGGTCGTACGCTACATGACTCTAGAAACGCAGTTGTCGCACAATGTGGGGGATATGAACTGATACCAGTGGAGCCTAATCGAACCTACCGCTTTCGTGTGATTGGTGCCACCGCTTTCCGAACACTCGGCTTTGCAATTGCTCATCATAACTTGACAATCATCGAGGTGGATGGCGAATTGACGAAACCTTATACTGTCAGTCAGCTGGAGGTGGCTCCAGGCCAGCGATTCTCGGTGTTGGTGCACACAGATCAAAAGCTGGATGACTACAGTATCCAAGTTGTTCGTCGTTGGTCTGATAACGTCGCAAGACCCACCAATGGACTGGCCATCTTGCAATATCCTAAACGTTCAGGGCGATCTACTGAACATGGATCAAGAGGCGTTATCCAACTCAAGAACCCCATTGTGCTCGAGCCACCTCTCGCCAAGGCACATTTTGAACTGGCAGAGGACGAAACGCCCCACTGGCTATGGTCAAATATCGAGCCTCTTTACGGTGTTGATCCCATCATTTACAAGCCTGCTACCAAAACCATCAAGTTACGCAGTGTAGATAAACGTATGCCAGACAACACGGTGCGATGGCTGGTCAATGGTATTGCATTCTCTGAAGAGCACGAAAGGGATTCACCCATCTTGCACGAAATCAAGAGCAACCGTCGTCAAAAACCTGGACTATACGACACCATCACTGCTAATGGCTATGATCGTAACTTGGGCACATACCCTATCAGCCACTTTGATATTGTGGATATTGTCATTCAAACCACACACAAACCTGGAGAGCCCTGTCGAAGCCATCTATGGCATACGCATGGCCATTCGCATTGGGAGATTGCTCATGGTCAAGGTGAATACGTCCACGAAAGAGATGCTGATATCCAAAACGTCAAGAAACCTCTGCAAAAAGATATCACCATGATTTACCCTTTTGTCGATCCAAGTTTGTTTGAGAAGAATGGCACCAAAGTAGAGGAACCTGTTGGGTGTGGATGGTCTAAAATCAGAATATTGGCAGTATGTAATCCATTTAAACCAGTAAATATGTCAATCGCTAACCTATCTTGATAGGATAATCCTGGTGTCTGGGCAGTGCACTGTCATAATACCGCACACATGTTGATGGGTATGATGGTTGCCCTAGAAGAAGCGCCTGAACTTATTCCAAGATATTCAAGCATCAATTAGGCTTTAAGGCGATGAATCCACTTGATAATTCCTGATGGATTGTCTCAATCCAAAATCACAACGTAATAAATTTATGGTCCCTGGACACTTTCAAAACCTCAAAAAGGGGAGAAGTTAACCTAACAAGTATTTTGATAGCCTGGCGTTATGGAATATAAAATGCAAGAAGAATAGCATGGCTAACGATAGTGCTATATAGTTTGCCAGCCGGCCCCAGCAGCTGCCAAAATTACTTTAAACCCAAACTTTTATTCTACTCCAGATTGGCCAAATCTGGATTATTTTCGACTTGATTGAACTATTTTATAGGATTTGACTATTTAAAATATGATGATCACCCTATGCTCCTTTAAGCTTTCTTGGGGCGCTTTTCAAGGCGCATCCAATGGTACCAAGTAAGATAGATGTTTTGAATAAACTTATTGAGCAATTTATGAAAATATCAAAAGAGGTTTCCGGCCAAAAAGTCTTGATCTTGCATATCAACATCCCACAAAGATGACTTCAGGGGTTACGTTGGATCGATAGAAACATTTTGACTCAATATTTACTATAGTAAAAGTCTTCATTATCAAGGTGAAAAACGCGATCGTTTGATTTTTGATGAAAACCATGAGGGGTACCTCATGCTTTTTGGTCGAATTTTGGCCATGTTTTTTTTTGATCCCCAAAAAGTTGAGCAAAGATGTCAGCAGGTTAGTGCTAATTGAGAGCAATTGTTTGGTGTTATTCTGACCATCTAAAACGGCCATGAACGCAAGAAAACGCAACTCAAATGCACTCAGATTTTGCTGTATTAGGTACGCTCTTGACTAAAAACGGGAAATAACAGCATGCCGCTTGCCCGTATATAAAGTAGTTATGTGTATATGGATGTAGAGCATCACATAAGAATCAGATCCACAGATAATATGAAGGATGTTCATGTGTAATTGGAGGGCCAAAATAAAAGTAGCAGCATTTTGATAAGATATGCAAGAACAATCGGTAGCTCGAGCTGTCGCTGCGCAGGTTGATTCTCATCGAAGCCAGACGAAGGTAGAGAACCATCCGAAGCGTAAGTACTCGTAATTATTAAAGAATCTCAAAATGTAACGATGCCATTGTCTTTTTGAAACAGAAAAAGAAGCGCGATAGGATAGGATATGATTCAGATTATCAAGTGTTCTCGTACATGCCTCAAAACAGAACACTGTAATGCTAATACACAAACAATACAGGCAATCAATCAATACTCGGGCATTAGTGATTCTGATGAATATAGGATAGCAATCTTTGTAATACAAAGTCATTCTACCCCTAAGATGCCCTTCTACAACCAGAGTTCAGCTGATATGTGGCTCTATTGAAAGAATAGCATTGCAGTCAAAACTCTTGAGCATCCTTATCAAATACAATCGCTCTGTGTAAGCAACCAGCGTCATATTCATTCTACAGGTGCCTTATTAGAATGAATTTATTATAGTGTACGACTATTTATTGACCACCGCGAAGAGCCAACACTAAATGAAGAACAGAACCACCTTCAATGCCATATTGAGTAGCTGTCATCTCATCAGCCCTACGTAAAAATGAAATTCAGTACCTTTCCAGCGATGGTCTGATTGCAATCAAAATCCTTACATTTGCTTTCCACTGTAAATCAAACGTTGCTGAGGTGGAGGGATACCTTCTTTCTCCTCTACACGTTCTTTGATGCGAGAAATCTTGTCATTGGGTTCAATATCAATTTCAATCTGTATTCCATCCGTATCAGAACAATTCATTCATGTCGCCATATGTATGCCCATACTCACTTCTTTACCGGTCAAGGTCTATATGATATGAAGTGGCATTTTAGTCTACAATACCACAACAAAGATGAATAGGGTTGCTTTTACCTTGACTTTAACAAGCATTTTTTTTTTATATGTTCACTGAATATAAGGCAGTCGAAAAGGTGAATCCTTCCAAGTAAGCGCGCGTGTTTTATACAATTGCATTCGTGGCCGACGTCATTTGATTGGATGCAACGTAGCCAAGAGGTGAAGGATTTTATTACATAATTCATCACTCAAATGCGTGTTCTCTTGACAAAGTCAAGGGCTCGATTTACTAAACCCTGAATTAGAGTTTTAAGGTACTCTAATTAGCGTTATAGATGCCACTTGATCAACAATGAGTGCCGAAACGCTTGTTTGAAGCACCTACATTTTCAAAACAGAATGAATCTCATCTCAAATTTGGTTACCATGGCAATAGCCATATTTTTACAGTTGCTTCATCAGCCTAAGCTACTATCAGTTAAACAAGCTATAAGCCTAAAGCTAATTACATAATTTATTCATATTCGAATGAAGAATCAATTCAAATAATCTTGACCAGTAAAGCGATCTTGCATAATGGGATCCTCATCATTGTCGTTGAAATTTTGGATTTGGCCTTGCAACTGAATCCGACTATGTTGACTATTGTCCATGGACATGAATCAGTATATCATGGCTATAGATCCGAAAAACTAGAAACTTACTTGAAATCTTTTGATACACGGTAATATTGACCAAGAATGTTGTCTCGAGAAAGGTATTCGACAAATTCCTCGTCATGGGTAATAATTACAAATTGGAAATTAGATTGTTGGCTTCGATTTTTGATGATTCTAGCAAATTGAGATGTGATAAGTATCTATACGTCATGGATTACAAATACTACGTACCTGCCCAGATTTTCTGCCAAACTCTCGATATTTGCACGATCCAAATTCGTGGTGGGTTCATCCAATGTAAAGATACCACAATTGACGCAAAAGGTCTCGGCAAGAGCAAGTCGAATGATGATGGCTGCCAAGACCTTCTGTCCTGCACTGCATCTACCTCTCATATTCAACTCGCTGCCGTTTTGGATCATGACGACTCTGTAATTGAAGGTTCTGGATGCAGTGGATCCTTCATTGTCTGCTCGAATCTCTATATAATCAATGTCTTTTAAACGAGCATCAGTCGGTCATATTACCAAATCAATGGATGCATGTACACATACCTCCTCCTTTGTATGTGTCTACCCAGAGCTCCTTGATAATCTTGTTCAGATCTTGCATTTTCAACGAATGGTACTTCATAATGGCAGCCTGCAAGGTTTTACTGTACCTCTCGAGATCTTCGCTTGCCAGTTCCTTGGTCTTTACCTCGATAAAGAGATTCCCATAACGGCCATCCACGTCCCGGTAGTCTATTTTCAATTCTTGCTCGTATCGACGTGATTGATTACTCATCTGCTCTATTTCACCGCGAATACTACCACGCTACCAACACCATCAGCACTAATTCAAGCACACACTTTATCATGTGTATCTTTTACCTTGTCCACCAGATCAGATTTTTCTTTGTCAGCACGCTGTAGGCCTCTTTGCAATGAAACAACATCCACTGCATCTTGGCTTTGATTGGCAGCAGCCAACTCTTGCTCACATTTAGCAAGCTGCTCTTGCATATCACGGTACTTGATCTGGTCTTGTAAATCCCGTTCAATGCCACGTCTTTCAGCTTCGTCCTTCTCAATGATTGCCAGCTTTTCATCAATGCCTGCTACTTTGCACTTGATGTCTGCGATTGTGTTGTTCAAATTGGTGATTTCTGAGTTGAGCGACTCTAGTCTTTCAGGGCTCGCAGCAGCAGCGCACCTTTATAACTTGTGTCAGCATGTTTTGTTATACAGCAATATCTTTGTACTCACTTTTTGACGGTGGCATTAAAATCTGAAAGACGCTCAGCAAAGATGGATATCTTATGCTCTTCTGCAGATGCCTTTTCTTCGACATTTCTCCAATTCTGGACAGCTTCGTCATACAGTCTCTTAGCTGCTTGAATCTTCTCGGTCAATGGCTCAGCATCGTTTTCAGGTCGCTGTGTATCACGAGGATTAGACGGTGCAGCTTGTTTACGAAAACACATGGACTTACCTCGTATTCGACTTTACGGCTGTCTCTCTGCTCTTTAATGTCGTCCAGCTGAAGCTGCATTCCCACCTTGCGATCTCGTTCATTCTCTAACCTGATGAGCTTTTGCGAAGATTCGTTCAATGCGCGTTCAACCGATTGTCGTTTGCGATTGTTCATGTCGATTTCGGTGTGGATTCGCTTCATATCACGTCGAATGGTTTTGCTTCTCTCTGTGAGTTCTTCCAGCTCCTTCATTACATCATCCGAAGTACGAGTGGAACCTGAGAACTCCAGCTCTTTTTCGAGGTCTTGCACGTCTTGCGTCAAGAGATCTACTTCTCTGCTCAAGTTGCCGACATTGCGTGCGATAAGCAGTAGCTTGTCTGCCTTGATCTTGCAATTGTCCACTTCAACAAGTTGGGCTGTAGCCTAGGTCGTCTGCTTTAGTACCGATATAGCGCGCTTGGCTGTCATTGTATCCACTTACGACACGATTTCTCTCCTCAGCAGCCTTCTTTTCAGTCTCAAATGCTTCCTTTGTGCTTGAAATACTTGCTAAATCCTTCTTTAAGCTTTCCAACTTGATCCAAGTACCTTGGGCACTCAAGAGCTTGGCCTTTCTCGCCTCAATTTCCTTTAACTGTTCCTTCATCTTTTGTTGTTTCTCGGGTATAAAGTCTTGCATTAATTTCAACTAGAATGCTGGATTAATTACTTGGCCTTTCAGAAGGACAACATCGATTTACCTGGTTTCTAAACATCTCAATCTCATCATTGTTGGCAAAATCTCTTGTACATAAAGGACAGCATCCACTTTTATCTTCTGTATTACGGAATTTTTGGTATACCATGGAAGCACCTTGGATTTGAGCGATTTTACTAATAAACAGCACCATGAATAATTGAACGGGTTTTCGTAGTTTGGCTACTCACGTTGCCCAGATGTCTGCCTTCTTGACAGTATCAGCAAGTTCGGCTGGCAGGTCCTTTTGGCCACAGACCTTTTCAATCAGGCTTTGGAATTCTATGGTACCCGTAAGTTAATTCAATGCTCTTCAACACTCTGAATGTAAATACTTACTATCTGCTTCTCGCTTCTGCTTGTTGTAGTTTTGGAGCACCATGTTTAGTTTAGCATCCGCAGCTGATAGCTCACGATTGGCCTTGTTACGAACTTCGATCAAAGAAGCCAGCTCCTTTTCTTTCTTGCTAAAATGGACAGAATGTCAGTATTTGCATGTAAAAAGATCCACACTCGCTTACGTTTTATACACATCGAGCTCTCTCTCAAGGTTTGCAATGTTAGGCTTTGAATCCAGCAAGTTTTGGATATCGTTGATATGGTCAGTGTAGCTAAATCACAAGTCATTAGTAAACACACATGCAAAACCATTGAATTCAGGCTTACATTCTGTTCATGGTTGTCTCTTTGACTTCCTTTTCTGTACGCTTCAGTGACAATTTAGCTCTCGAATCACTCTGCTTGCTCAATCTCGCTGATTCCTCGTTCAAATCACTGATCTTGTCGTCCACATCACGCAGCTCATGCTCTTTTCGTTTGAGTTCATCTTGGCTGGTGCTAACTGTCACAGCATCCATCTCAGCAAGCTTCTTCTCCTACAGTCCATATCCGCGTTGGTGGCTGCTGTTGCCTCACACTCACATCACTTACATATTCAGCAATTTTGGCCTTGATGGCGTCCATCTGCATTTCGGATACTTGAAATTCCTTCATCTTCTTTGCTAGTACATCAATTTGTATATCAAAGTTGTCCTACATAGGTTTGCTGATTTCAGTACAGACACACACCCTGAGCTTCCTCTACAACTTACAATAAGTCTCTTCAAGTGTTTCTTGTTCTCTTCAATTGACATTTTCTGACTTTTTAGCATCTGCAATTCATCAGACAGGGTATTCTGCTCTGACATGGCTTCATCTTTTGCCCTGTCATTGTTGGTGGCATTGTCCTCAATCAGCTCCTTGATCACCTGAGCAGAGGCATCACCGTCGTCCACAGGAAGGTTCATGTTTTTGTCTTGGTTCATCTGCTGGATCAAGGCGGATCGTCTCTGAAGTTGACGCAAATACTCGTCTCGAGCAGCGTCCAATCTGCCCATCGCCACTTGCTTTTTGGACAGCTCATCCTGGGCTGCCTTGAGCTGTCTCTCCAACTTGGATCGCTCCAAAGACACTCTAGACTTTTCCTCCTGGTTTTTATCTTCTTTGATACGATGTTCCTCCAACAAGTGCTGCAACTGCTCTGTGGATTCTTCTCGAGGTACAATGTGTGCTTCAATGGACCGCATGGTGGACTGGAAGAAATCTCGCTGATTCAACAGCTGGCGGATTGTATCATGCGCCTCTTGGTTGTCCTTCAAAGAAGCATTAAGTCTGCTGATTTCAGCCTCGATCTGAGCAAGTTTTATTTCAATCGTTTGGAATGTTTCGTTTTTAGCTGTCATTTGCTGGTTTAATTCTGTCAAATTGCTGCGAATTCGCTTGGCTTTCTTGGTATCGTTTTTTAATGCCTCTAGCTGCACATTGCCGAGCTTGATGTCTGTCGCTGTCTCCTTTCGAATCTCTTTGATGTTGTCCAGTGCAGCAGTAAATCGCTTGGATGAAAAGATGTCGTCAAACTTCTTTTTCAGGACGCTCGGTTCAGACAATGGCCAATTGCTGTCTTCTTGATGGCAAAAGATGACATTGTCGAGAATAGCTTTGGGGACGCCCAAGTGAAGCGGTAGCTCTGAATCCATGTCTGCGCATCGACTGGTGATACTGAAGGCTTCCCCTGTCACTGGATCGTATCTCAACAGGGCGTTATCGATGGATCTCTGAGTCACTGTCGCCTTCTTCTGGGTCACTGCCAAAGATCGACTGCAAACCATCTTTTGGCCGTTGATGTTGTAAAACTTGAGTTTGATTTGAGCCTTTACCTCGCTGATGCCTGCAACCTAATCCAGCATTTCAGCATACAATCATGGTTTCCAATCATCGAATCAAGCATACCTTGGGATCATTGACAAAGGCACCGTTTTTACTGTTTGGCGGGAGATCACCCGTACAAGCATAGCGCAGACTTTCAATGATGGTCTATGAGAGGATCAATCAAAATGCATACATATCCCATGCAACTGACTACGTACCGTTTTACCAGCTCCATTGGAGCCGACAATCAAGGTCAGTGGAGAGAAGAATTTGATATAGCATGGTTCGTCTGGACTGAATGAGCGAATGCCCAAAATCGCCATGCTTTGAAGATGAGACATGATGCTTTAATGTAATAAAAAAAAACAAGAAAGAAAGACAGAAGAGATTAAAAATATTTGGGCTGGTGTCTTTTTAAAGGTCGCGTTTATTTTTGGTTTTCGAGTTCAACACTGCCTACTGGCCAAAGGCTCAGTGACAAGTGCAGGTTTTTGCAGGAATATTTCAATGTGATAGATTCAATGAGTGCCACAGAGGAAAAGAATAAAAGGGAGGGGGCGCAACTGGTCTTGAGAGGGTTGCTGCTGCTGTTGTTGTTATTGCTTTGGTCGATTAGTGTATTGATGATTTCCTCCGCCTCCACCACCACCTCCTCCACCTCGACCTCTGCCACGCCAATTATTCGATCTGCCACTGTTGTTGTTTTGGTAATAGTGGGGCTGCTGTTGCTCCTCGTTGCTCTGTTGCTGTTGCTGTTGGCGAGTGGCCAATGCTTGTTGACGGTCTGGCTGTTGCACTTGAGCGTCCTCTAATGCATTTGGTGCCACATACAGACTCTTATCAATGACGGGTGGAATAGGTTGAATTTCTGTGCCCAATTCTCGCTCAATCTTGTACAAGTTGAATCGATCTTCGTATGTGATCAAGTTGATGGCTAGGCCCAAATGGCCAAATCTTCCAGAGCGGCCGATACGATGCAAATAGGTCTCTGCATTCTTGGGGAAATCAAAGTTGATGACTACGTTGACAGCCTGAATATCGATACCACGCGTCAGTAAATCAGAGCACACCAAGTTGCGACAGACGCCGTTTCGGAAATCATGGAAGACACGATTACGATGACTTTGTAGCATTCTAGCGTGTGAGTAAAAGCACGAGTAGCCCAACTCTGTGATTTTTTTGGCTAACAATTCTACACGGTTTGTTGAATTACAAAAGATGATGGATTGATTGATTTGCAACTAGGATGATACAGTAGGTCAGTGGAGGTCAGTCTGTAACCAAAGCAGCCGTCAAATTACCTTTGAAAACAGCGTGTTCAAGCAATGCACCTTTTGCTTTTCTTCCACGTAGGCGTAGTATTGAGTGACGCCACGCAGCGTTAATTCGTCCATCAGGTTGATTTCATAGGGCTTCACCAAGAATTTCTCTTTGAATGTCTTTACAATGAGGGGGAACGTAGCGCTGAAAAGCATGATTTGTCTATCTTTTGGAAAGTGGTGGATGAGTTGCTCGATGATGGGTGTGAATTCGGGTGATAAGAGTTTGTCTGCTTCGTCCATGACAAACGTGGAGGCTTCACTGAAATCAGCTACGCCCTTGGACGCAAGATCAAGAATACGGCCAGGCGTGCCAACGACAACATGCACAGGCTCGCTTAAACGCATAATATCATCCTTTAAAGTCGTACCACCTGTTGTCACCATGATCTGAAGACCAAGATGTTTGCCTAGATTTTTACAGACCTGCGATGTCTGTAGCGCCAATTCACGGGTAGGGACGAGCAAGAGGGCTTGAATCTTGTTCTTTTTGTTGTTGATTTTCTCTAGTGTGGGGATCACAAAAGCAGCCGTTTTTCCAGTACCGTTTTTAGCTCTCGCAAGTATATCACGGCCCGTCAATGCAATGGGTATAGCCTCTTCTTGAATAGGTGAGGGTCTTTCGAAACCTGCTTCAAAAATGCCCATCAGCAGTTCTCTTTTAAGAAAGTAGTCTTCGAATTCATTTCCTTTCGTTGCAGTGACATCCTAGAAAACACGATTTAATCACTTGGTCTCTCCTTAAAGGTGTTTATTTCATGATGGTATTACCTCTGTCTGTGGTCTCACATCTTTGGCTGGAAGTGCAAGGGTCTTCTTCCAATTGTCGTTTTCATGGCTGAAGAGGCGGTTTAGACACAAACTAGCCAACATGGCATACATATACACTACCTCAAGCTGTTGTTTAATGACATTTGTATAAATGGCGAGTCTCTTTTTGGTGTAAAAGTGTATTGTTGAAAGGTAAGTTGGCGTTTTTTTTTTTTTTTTTTTATGAGCGTGCTTGCGTTTGTCTTGATTTCAGTGGTGTTCTTTACGTCTGACAAAGGTTAATATTAGAGTTGAATTTGATGAATATCAAGTGGAGAGAAAAAAGTTTATTTGTTGCAAGACAAGAAAGAAAAGAAAGGAGTTCAAGAGGCAACCAAATGGAAAAAATAGAAATAGTGTGTGTATTCTGCGTACGGTAAATGGGTAATCCCGGTGTTCTGCTGGTTACACGCACTACAGCTTGACTCTATTGAATACAAATGTGTCAATGTAGCGGCAATCGACCTGCAAATAGCCATAAGGTATATCACTATCCCAGTATTTCGCTTCTCGGTAAGTCCCTCTAATCGAATTCTCCTCCAGGTAATCCCAATCCTTGTCCTTCATCAGGTAGTCTTGCACCTTGAGTGATTCCAGGAACTTTAATCTTCGCATTTGACGGCAATGTCCAGCCTTGGTCTTTTGGCAGTATAAATGGTACCATCGTTGGTTCAATTGATTTGATTTCCTCGACGAGTTGTGCTTGCTGCGATCTGTATAATTGACAGCGATCAACGCTGCATCGATACTACTTTTTTCAATGTAACTGCTGGGTCGAAGATGCAGATGTTGGACGCTCAGCGTCTTGAGGTGCTGGTGTGGCAGGTTGAGATGGATCTTGTGCGATAGGGCGTCTCTGTCCTTGATGCAGCTGGTCAACTCCAAATGCTCCATGTTGGGACAGCATTCAGCGAGCACATCCATGGCTTCTGTGGAGAAATGCGTCTGCAGCAGGCGAACCGTCTTGATATGAGGGCCCTTATTGTAGTTGTTGTCCTTGGATTTGAACGTTAGTCGAGCCATATCAAGACAGAGTATTTCCAATTGAGGACAGAAATCCAGAATGACATCAATATCACAGCCATAAGACCAAGAATACGAGAATTTTCCACAGTGCAATTCCAATTCAGTCAGCCTTGTACAGAGTCCAATGGATCGCATTACATTCTCAACGTCTCCTAAATCACGCCATAGCTGCACCTTGAGCGTCTCAGTGACATCAGGATGGGTACATGCCATGAATGACCTGAATGCATTGGCAGCAGCCACGCCACAGAAGTTCCTCCCATTGAACGTAGTGTCGAGTGAGACCAACCCTGTACGGGTTACCTTGGACAGTTGATCAAAGAACCTGCTGCCAGCTGAGGATTTCAGTACAGACTCAATCTGGCCCAGGTGGATGCGTTCTAATGAAGTGAGATGAGCCACTTTGAAGAGACATGCCTGAATGGGGCCAATGTCCATCCACGTCAATGTCTGTTTATACGATGCATCCCAGTTCACATCTAGGTCCAAATCTGTCAAGTGTGGATACAGCTCGACAACATGTCCAATCCAGCGGTAGTCAGCGAGTCGACCCTGCACATGCAATTGACGCATTTGAGTTGCTGGAATAGTGATTGGTACCTGTTCAGTGAGCATTGAAAGGGCGACATCCGACAATGACAATGAGTTGAGACAGGGTAACGATGCATGGAGCTGAAGGATATCGTGTAATGAGAATTCTGCTCTTTGTGCATCTCGTAGTGATCTGATATTCAGCTTATCCCTTCCATGCAGTGTGAGACGTCGCAATTGAGGTGTAAAACCCAGCAGACCAAGCAACACGGATGTCTTCTTTTCTGGAATCCGCATCCGTTGCAGTGGATTGACAATACCGCCCATCAGGACAAGTTCTTGTAGGGAAGATCCAAATGACTGAATGAGTGGCAGCGTTGTGTTGTAGCGATCCAGTGGCGGCAGAGAACTCAGTCTGTCCCATGCAATCTCTCTCCTCTCTATAGGGCGTTGATATTTCCACAATTTGGGGTTGAAATACAGTGATTCCAGCAGAGGAAACAGGAGCGGTAGCAATTCCATTTCATCTCTAGATAGACCTACTTGATCTTGTATATACACATGTCGAACAAACAGGCTGATCTCTGGATTGCGATGAATACTTGACACAAGCTGTTTGAACTGTCGACGATGCTTGATGCGAATGTTGCGATAAAGAGACGGCTGGAAGGATGTGTACCAACTGCTGCAAACATTCAAGCACTGGTGGTCTCGAGTATTGTAGAAAAACACATAGCTAGCGACCAGATCAAGTAATTCACTTGGTAATAATGAGAAGGATTTCATTGTATAAAAACGAAAAAAGAATGTGGGGCAAACAAACATCCTTAAATTGTGGTCTTTTATTTATACCAAATTCTGCAACTCCTCTTGAAAAAATCGAAATAGAAAACCATCAAAAAAGAAGGTTTCTGTAAGTTCTATAGGCAAAATAGCACTGAAAGCAGTCTAGTGTGGGTCTTTGAGCTGTAAAAACAAACCCTAACACATGCCAAAGCCATGCAATAAGTATGCGGCAAGAGCAATTCATCCTATGGAATAATCTCGATATGCAGCGTTTATGGAATGTAGCTCACTTCACTTGTCCTGGGTTCAACAAAAAGCTTATTTCTGCAGTTGTCGCCGTTCCAATACGCCCGCTCTTGCAGTGTCATGCAAAAGCAGCAGCTGGTAAATAACCAAATACGTGAAGATGATGGAAAACATCCATTTCTCCATACCTTACTACTGTAGACGGAAAAATTGCCCAATATCAAATAGTAACCCTCTACTAGCAATATGTAGCCATATATTTACCTTTTATTTGGTGCTCTACGTCTGTAACAAAGGAGAAATGGCATATACGGACAGACAGTATACTTACATTGCCCCTTGCTAATTGAAAGTATGTAAAGCAGTGCGAAATTTCGATGCATTTGAGCAGTGATCTCTCGTGTTAGAAGCCGTTTTGAGCTGCCAGAATAGCGCCAAACTATTTCTCTGGTCTAGAATTAACTTTTTGGCACCTTTGCTCAACTTTTTGGGGATCAAAAAAAAACATTGTCAAAATTCGACCAAAAAGCATGAGGTACCCCTCATGGTTTTCATTGAAAATCAAATGATCGCGTTTTTCACCTTGATAATGAAGACTTTTACTATGGTATATCTTGAATCAAAATGTCTCTATCGATCCAATGCTGTCCCTGAAATCATCTTTATGGGACTTTGATATGCAAAATCTCGACTTTTTGACCAGAAACCTCTTTTGATATTGTCGTAAATTACTCAATAAATTTATTCAAAACATTTACGTTACTTGTTACCATTGGAAGCGCCTTGAAAGGCACTCCAAGAAAGCTTAAAGAAGCAGAGGATGATCATCATATTTTATATAGTCGAATCTGCCAAAATAGTTCAATCGAGTCGAAAATCATTAAGATTTGGCCAATTTGGACCAATTTGGAACAGATTATGTGTCTGGGTTTGAATTAATCGGCTGGTGGGGCCAGCTGGAAAACTCAATGCCCTTTTCGTAAGGCAATACAGCAGTAAATGCCCTTGAAACGTATGAAAAGTAAGTGTTAAGTCATAGCACTGTCGTTTATAATAGTATTTTATTGTATTCTATATCTTTCATAATAATATTTTCTTGCATTCTATATTTAATAACTTTAGTCTGGACATTGACGATTCATGGGCTGCGTAAAATGTCTGCAGTAAGTATTGAAATCTCTGAAGCTCCGAGCCGTCGTTCAAGGAAAAGGCTGGCAGCATTGATCAGAGGAGAGATGGTAAAAATAAAAGTGGTTTTTGTTAATTGATCGTAAAATCATTATCCACATATGAGCCAGGCGTGACAGATGCCTTGAAACTCAGGTTCCATGTTAGGGTTGTAAAGTGTCTAAGGACTGAACATTTATTATGTTATGCTATTAAATCAAAATGTTTCTATGAATCCAAAGCAACCCCTGAAAATTTGTTTATGAGGTTTTTGTATGTAAAATCTCAACATTTTGACCAGAAACCTCATTTCATATTTTTAAACATTGCTCAATGAGTTTATTCAAAACTTCGTTTCAAGTTATAACCATCGGATGCGTGTTCAAAAGTGCTACAGAAATGCATTAGAAAGCATTTTTTTTTTGTAGGGGGAGTCGAGCTCCAGTTTTTATTTAAAGTCCTTAAAATGTCATACTGAGGGAAAGAAGAGACTGTTGGTGGACCCGATGTCTGCAATGATGGGGAATAAGATATATAATGAACTAAGTTGGGAAAGAAATCTACTACTAATCAGGTGCGACACCCAGAGCTAATACAATCATGCTAAGTTGTCATACAGAGATACTGGATAAGAGAACATTCATCAAACGAGGACATCAGTACGACCGTCAAAATAATCACCAACATGCGTTCACTGAGATTTGAGCCGGGATCCTCCAGTTGGCATGCTGAAGTTCTACCACTTCGCCCTACCACCACGGGCTGCATCAGAAAGCATGAAGTGAGCATCACATTTTACATAGTCAAATTTTGTAAAATAGATCAATCAAGTCGCAAATTGATCAAAAATCAACGAATCGGTACAGTATATCGATCGAGAATTAAACCTTTCATGGCGGCGGCGGCGGCGGTGGCTGGCTGTCCAAATCGATTTTATTATCTTGTCCTACTAGAGACAATTGATGATGTTGGAAGCCTTTGATAGGAATGGCATTTGCAAATTCAAAAGTATTATAGCTTGTCCAGATTACTGTATGTTGCTTTTGCTGCCCGTTTTTATGTATCTTAGAAATTTACACATTGCGAAACGCGAATTAAATGCGAATTCGAACGCGAAATACAATATCCTCATCTGATTTAACAACGTTCTTGACAACTCGATTATAATTTTTTAGTGATTGCAATAAAGCATCAAATAAATTACTTGAAAGTTTTATTCAACATGGATCGAGTCTATATGTTCACAGCAGTAAACATTAAAGATTATTGCGTTTCTGTTGTGGATGTTGATGAACGAGTCGTCTTTTCAATTCTGTCAGCAAATGCCTTGATTTGTGCAATCATGTCTTGCACAACAACTGATTGATGAGATGTGAAAACTTGTTCCACCAAGGGTATCCATTCGTTGTTGGCGATCTCTGATATCTTGATAAGTGGAGCAGTCCACCCTTGATTGAGTGGAATCAGAGCAGGTTCTGTCTTGCCATCACCCTCAGTTGGAACAGAAACAGGAGCCTCTATCTTTTGGTCATCCTCGTCTGTATCCACATCAGAATTGTCGTCGTCAGAGTCTCTTTCATAGACAACATTGGCATATTTGTTTTCAGTGCTGTCCATGACAAGATCGATGACCAAAGTCAAGATGCGCCAACCAGCAAAGAATGCAGCCATCAAATTACCATGGGACGCATTTTGATTGATAGATGTGGGATGTGTACGGATTGTGTTGTTCAAGAATTCAATATACACCAAAGCTTCTTCTAAACCTTGTACAGTCAAACCTAATTGAGCAGCCAAACCCTTACCAAATGATTGAGGAAACAGCGTTAAATGGTAGGAAGCCAACAAGGAATGAATTACACCATAGGTCCAATGGTTCTTGGGCACAGCTACTTCGTTCTTTTCAGGAGCAGGGTTCAATAAGTCCAAGAGATAGGGTTCCAGCATACGCATCATGCCTTCATTCATGCGACGATGGCCATGAATACGAGCCACAAACCCCATAATCATACGCTGTACATTATTTTCACGCTCGCCGATAAAAGTAGCTTCGTCATCCTTGAACTGTGCCTTGCAAGAGAAACAGGTCCAAACATGTTGATCATTGCGGAAACTAGTAGGTTGTTGACAAGCATTACAGGAGACACCTCTGGACCAGTCCCAATCCACACAACGCTCGCAAGAACACTCGAAAAACTTGAACTTTTGCAGCTTGGCTCTGCGGTCTGCTGTGTTGCCCAGTACGAGACCACCAACAGTGGAATCATCCTCAGGAAGATAGGAAAACGACAGTACGTCACCCTCTTTCAATGCGCGAGTAACAGTAAACACCATAGCATTCCGGTCAGGTTCAAAACGTAAAAACATGTTGGGTGAGCAAGAATGAGCAAACTTGGATCCCCAGCGTAACAAGGCAATGGTGGGCGTGCTTGGTGGATCGACAGCATCTTCTCCCCAGTAAGTAGCATTATCTCCAAACTTGGCCTTGTACCGTTCTCTGCGGGCCTTTTTGGAGGAATGTGTAGGCATGGTTCTGCTTCTGGGCAGTGCTACCGTGTGTGCGTTGGAGTAAATCTTGAGCACAAAACTACGAAGATCGTAGGGGTCGACATGCGAATACAAAGGGATAGTGTCGGCTACCTTCTGAGTCACTGTATGAATAAGCTTGATTGTTTTATGATCCAGCCAAAAGGGCTCAATATCTGAATTGGGGTAATAGAAAAAGTCGAAATCATCTCTTTTGTACTCTTTGCGGTTTCTGACATTTGAGAATTGTTTGGTGGGTGGATGAATGTCCAAATAGGCAATAATGGCTGCAGGCACACCAGGGCAAAAGTCTGAATCAGGGTTGATTTCTTCTTCTTCCTCTTCTTCCTCATCCTCATCCGAGCCATCGCTGCTATAGCCATATAAATCATCGTCGTCGTCGTCGTCGTCGTTGTCATGGCAACCATCCTCATTCGCCTCTGTCTCTTGTCCCAATTGATGCTGCTGCTGGAATTTATCCTCTTCTTCGTCATGCACCATTGCATTGAGCATATTCCATAGCTTTTTGGAATAGTAGGGTGATTTGGTCGAACGACAGGTTGGCTTGAGATCGTATTTGATCAGTGGCTCCTCCACAAGGACCACATCGCCAGGCACAAGGGGTCGATTTGCTACCAGAGAACGGCCCACTACAGGACAATCTTTAACTACAACATTGCTTGCGAATTCTTCTTTATTGATAACAGTTTGTATGCCAAGCTGATCCACCTTTGTCATAATAAGATGGGATGTTGAAGGAAGAGAAGAAAAAATTTTCCTGTCATATGAACCTGCAAATGGGATGTCTTGGTCGTTACTACCACTGTGATTTGCAAAAGACGGCGATTCAATCACTCTACGTGGCCAAATGTATGAGCTGTGGTATACAACACTCTCTCTTTCTCCCTTCCATACAATTAAACTATCAAAATGTTGACTCTTGGACTCGGGCAGTTGTTCTATGTATTACTCTGCTTTATTAACGCTATAGCAGTCTTGAGTGAAGAGAGATTCTTGGCCAGAAGTAAGTCATTCCTCATCATTATAAACACGTAAACGCTCTTTTGTTGATATCACATCGTAGTTGGATGGACAGCACAACCAGAAGCTGGTTTCGGCAACGAACAGGGACAATCTATCAAATACAAAATCATCAACTTAATATCTGCAGTGAGAACACTCATGAGAAGTAAGTTCATTGTGATGTGGGAAGGTCTTGTAAATGCATTTATTGAATTTTATGTGTTATAGTTCCCTTAATTGGTATTAATATCGTGGTTATTATATATGAACTTTTGCTTGGATAAATCAATGAGAAATAAATATACCAAAACATCATTTATACAGCTGATCCAAGGCCAATGAGGCACCAAAAGGAGTAGCTCTTGATTTTATCGTCATCAAATCTGAGCGACGATTTCTTTGATCCGTCCATGCTATCATCCACATCCATCTCATCCATTTCATCCGCATCAATGTCTCCCGATGAGACATCCATTCGGTCCTCGTCTGATTTGTAATTATAAGTGACAAGCAAGGGAAACTAGCATGTACACAGCAGCAGCATATTCAGCTATAGGGTTTATATCGCCTGTTTGCATTCACTCACCTTGAATTCACCAGCTTGATCAGGGATAACTTCGACCAATATGCTGGTATAATTGTTTCTCTTTTCATAAACACCATCTACGTATGAATTGGCAGCAAAATTGGCATTGTTTCGTCTATTCCCAGTAGGATACATCTCATCATCATACTCGATCGTCTCATTGTAAGCGCCCACAGTGAAATGAGGTGACAGAATTGTCACTTTGCCTCGAATTTTGTGCTCGGTTTCCTCATCATCGGCAGATTTCTTTCTAATTTGAGGTGTTGCTAATGTGATGTTCATCTCTTCATACAATGGATTTGTGAATTTGAGCACAAGCTGTGTAGGCACCCCAACTTGAAGTGGCCAGTTCTTTCTAGGCAGCTTTAATAATGTAATCGTGGGTATGTAGTTCCTAATAGAAGTGAGTCAATTGTCATATCTATGAGATGTCCCCCAGAGATGGCTTACATGGCAACCAGCTTGATCTTGAATCGAGTTGCTTGCGCTTTCTGTTCTGGCTTAATCAGGATGTGGCGACAGTTACGACAACGCTTCGATCTCTTTATGGCTAGGTGAATGCGCTGAGGATGTACTTTGCTGTGTACATGGATAGATGGTGAATGAAGAGCTCTGGACTTTTTGAAGATACACTTACGATAGTTCATAAGGCTGATCGTATAGTTGAGAGAAGCGTTGAGACAATGTAGACACTATACAAAGAGACTTAGCAGACTTGACAAGGTCTATAAACCACACTATTACCTCCATCCACGCTTCTCAGAGTCGTCATTGATTCCAATAATCTTACATCGTCATCTGGTACCTGTACACTTGGTTCATAATCGCTGATATCGTCCAACTTTCCTTGCTGCGTTTGAGAATCATGCTGAAATTGGCTTCCCATGTATTTACTGAATGCTGATGAGCTAGAGAATGACAAGAAGCTTGTTGGTAATGATGGCGGTGAATTCACTCTGAGATGCTTTTCAAAATGCTCTTTGAGTTGGTCAAATTCCTTTGCATCAGGCAGCGCTTCCTCATTCTTTTGCAATTGCACTGTGCAAACCACCTATCAGTCAAACCTTGTGTTGTTGACCATCATACCATGGAAAGACTTACACGCTAGACTTGTAGGTTTTTCAAATGTCATGTTGATTTCCTGTGAGTTCCAACGACAGACATTGCAAGCCAAGAAATAGGGACCCGGAGCAGGACCCAAGGCAGACATTTGAGTTGGTTCCTGAGCTGCAACGACAGACAGCGTATTTTGACAAATAGGACATTGGAAGCAGTTTCGAGCACATCTGTTCTTTTCACTCTTCACACTCGCAGTAGGTACCTATAATAATACTCTAAGCAATTTGATTTGATCAAGACGTTGCGATGGTTTCTTTTACCTCAAACAGACAATTTGGACAATAATACGATACGATTTCATCCTGCACACAAGAGGGACATCTTATCTGATGGCAATCTTCGCAAAAATAAAGACGTGAAAGCGGGTATAGATAGTTGGATGCTTGATTTGATAGTAAATGGCGTCCAGTGACAGAAGCAGCACCTTCAGCTGCTGTTGCTCCTGTTGTGCTTGTGATCGAAGTGGTGGAAGTGGTTGGGCCGAGATTAGAAGGTGTACTTTCAGCTGGCTCTATATTCAAGGCAGCATGCTCTTTCTTGGCTGAACAGGCACAGTAATAGTCCACAAACGGGATGGGTTCCTTATCATCTATGGATAGCATTGTATGGTGGTGGAAAAAAAGCACGTAATCTAGTAAAATTGTATCAGGAACCAACAGAAAAATGTCTCAATTTTTTAAGATAACTCTGTGACCCCCCTTTGAAGCAACACTGCTACAATCTACATTCCTTTTGTGAATAAAACCAATGCTCAAAGTTGTTTGCTATATATTATAGCATCCGACTCTTCATGTTAAATGCTACAAAAGGGTTGCTGGAAAGAGGATACAGCAAGTTGAATCTAGGGGGTGAGATCTGATCTAAACGCTCCAAATGAACGTAGACGGCATTTTGACATGGATCGACAACAGCAAAATTGAATCTTGAAGCAGATCCTACAGCTAAGTAAGGTACACATCGCAGTTTGCAGTAGCAAAACAAAGATGTAAAGCATGAATGTAGCCTTCATACGTATCTATTGAATACATCTCATTCGAATGAGAACAGCAATCACCTAGGCATGCTATTGCATAAAAATGTACACCACAAAAGCAGTAATTACCTTGTTGGGATGGACTTGATGATTGCATGATTTTGCGCTAGTAACATGGACCCAGCACCATGTCTATTACAATGACGTCCGTATTGTTACTGACCTGATCTACATTCACAAGCTCAAAAGTAGATTGAAGAACACTTACTAGACGAGTATCTGAGATGGTGCCTGAATGTACTCTACACTCAACATTGCTCAGCCAAAACAACAGCCAAGAATGGGTTTCATGCAAACCTAATTTAATTGATATATAAACAAAGAAATGGGTTCATGTTTGGCTCTTGTTCTTTGAAATACGAAAAGGGGAACAATAAAATATGATGCATAGTAAGACGATAAAAAATATCCCGGAGATTGACCACATTTAGCCTGTTCAAGGGGAGTCCAGACTCGTCTATCAGCGCATGAGATCAACTCACGCCATTCTTGTAAACATACTTGACCTCAGTTCAGATATTGAAACCTCCTTGAATGTGTGTGTATCTGACATGAGTCTGTGTAATGGCCTTTTTTTATATATACATACATGACACAAGGGGTTCAGAGACAGAGGCGCCTATCTACTGTGTGTGTAAAAGTGGGTTGAAATGCTCCTTAAATATTTTCAAATGAAAAAAGTATAAAATGATTTCTTCTGCATTTCTGCCACCTCTCTCTCCCTCTTTCGTTTTCTTATTCCACACACATCCAATGCCATCCGCATCGCCCATGATGAAGCCATCTTTCAGCCTCAATACCACGTCAAAATTAGGCTACACTATTGATTCAGCATCCATCATCTCGTTTGAGAAACGCAGCGATCAAAAGGTCTGGTATATTATCAAGGTGGAGCCACACAAGAAACGGCCCTTTTTGATTGCAAGAAGATACGAAGAGTTTACACAGCTTTCACAGAAATTATATGAAAGATTCAGCACTACCAAACAACGTGCTGGCTCACGTTTACCACCCAAGATCAAGAGCAGATTAAATCTGTTGCCTGCCAGCAAACAATTACATGCTCAACGCGCAGAAGAACTGGAGCAGTTCCTCAGCATCTTGTTTTGTAAACAGACCATGATCACAGAGTCATTTTTCGTCTTGGATTTCTTTAGTATTCAAAAATCTGATTCAATATTGGAGCAAGAAGAACAAGAAAATGCGCCATCCACTAGCACATCCTCCTCACGATGGAAGAGACTGAGATGCACGTCCTTTCTGGCCCGTTCGCCACCTACTACAGCTACATCTACACCAAGCTCTAATGCTAGTGGTGGTGGACTCTCATCTCTTTGCAGTCAAGCAGCAAATAAGATTTGGCATCGTAGTAACCATGGCAACCAACAGCAACCTCAACCTTCCATGTCAACACCTACAAGCACCACACTCGCATCAAAGAATGCAACAGGCACAGTTAGATCATTCCAGCTACATAGTAACACCCATGCGTATCACAAAGGAGAGCTAAAAAAGAGCAAATCATCACATTGCATCAGAGAACCATCGCCACCACCAACACCACTCTCACCACAACATCCATTATCAGAATCCACCAATAGTAGTCGATCTGGCAGCATTGCATCCAGTCATCTTAGCAACAGCACATGTGCGACGACTATCACGCCTAGCCCAAGTGCCAGCAGCCATCTTCCACTGAAGCCTACCATCAAGATCAAGGTCATCTACGACGTGGACAACATCATCGTCCTCCAAGTGCCTCGGTCGATTGCCCTTCATGATTTGCGTTCTCGCATAGCACAGAAATTTTCCGATCCTAGTATGGGTAGCAATGTCCATGTGCAAGACGAGGTTGTACTGCTATTTAATGATAGTAATAGTAGCTGCTGTAGCATTGCCACCGCCAGGAATGACATGGCGCTTCCTGCTGTATTGATCAACAAAGAGCAAGATCTTGTACAAATCATGCACACTAAATGGAATCGACTTGAAAAGGTGACACTACGTTGCATTATGTAAACTCACACTCTTTCACACACACGCTCCTTAAAAAGAATGAACCTCCTTGACATTCATTTCATGTAAATACACACCCTTCCTTATATACATATAGCACACCTCAGTCTTTTTACATATACACTCACTCACTCACTCACTCACTCACTCACTCACTCACTCACTCACTCACTCACTCACTCACTCACATATGAACTCTACATATTATTGAACATTCCTCACGTTAAAACCACTTGAAAATATTAAAAACTACTATATTTTATTGCGACTTTTTCCTCTTGGTTGATATTTGTCTTTGCTGTTCGTTCTTGAATACTATTTGCAGCGGTTGTTGCGGCAACATGAAGGCAGGTTTGGATATGTCAATGCCATGTGTTTGGTTGAACGCTGTCCTTGCGCTGGATTGAGAAGCAGTAGAGAGAGAGCAGGCCACCTCTGGGATGGCAATGTTCATCCTTGTAAACTGATCCTGTATTTTCTGAGCATATATCTTCATTTTAAACACATCATGTGTATATGCCTGCGTACTTTTGAGCATAATGAGGTTGATTTTGAGCTGTTCTTGCGCGTGTGCATTAAATTCCTCCTTGTCATACTGTAGGATGCGTTTCGCTGTGTTGTGAATGGCGAAAAACATGTGGTGATAGGTACTCTGATCGCAGCCCATTGTCTTGAGATGTCGCAATGTTTGCAGCAGCTCCAAATTGGTTTGGAGGCAATCAATTAAAATATCGTGAGGTGGTGATTGTTGTGGGTTTAGGAATTGATACAGAACAACAAGCCGCATGGAGTTATAGCATAGATGCAAGTGTATCTCGGCTATAAGGTTCTTTTTTGGCAATTGAGTATACCAACTCGTCAGCTCCTTGGTGATGCTGTAATAATGACTGGAGGGAATTTTCTGCTGCTGATTTACAAAGATTTTGCCTGAATGCAAGGCTCGAATATAGCGCCGCATGTAGTGTGTCAGGCAGGCAAAGCTGTACAGATTGTGCTGATCTTGCTGGAGCTTGGCGAGCGATAGTTTGGTAATGTGGCCCAGATCCACCCAAGGCACGGTGTCTGGCAGTAAGCAATCTCTGTTCAACGTGAGGCACATCCAAGCGTCAACATAGTACCATCGAAACCAGCATCCCAGTGTGATATTATCCACTGGCTCGGATCTCACTACTTGTTGTTCTGCCAAATGCTGCAAGGAAATAGATGCCAGGCCGCCCCAAGTGCGCTGCTGCTCGTACAGCCGCAGTAGGTTGGATGTGTAGCTAAGACAAAAGTAGGACTGAATGATCAGTGGCTGCATATCGTCAAACAGGATATCGTCTAACTTGTTTCTTGCTTGCTCATAGAACACCATCGCTGCTTGTTTAAAGTAAAGGCTGTTTCTTTTAATCTGCTGATCCATAAATGTCACTAGACAAATCGAGGCTATACAATACACAATTGGCTGGGGCGCTTTACGCCAATTCCTGATAAGGTCTACGCTTATGGGAGCTACTTTGAAACCAATACAGCACCAGTGCTCCACAGCGCGGGCCATGAGCATGTCTAGTATCTGTGAACTCTCAACGTTGAGGCGCACAGAGGGCGGAACGAAAAATTCCGTGGTGGATGATAGATTGACCAAATCTTCTTCGGTCGTCTTTTGTTGTGTATAATTGGATCTCGTTCTTATGGCTGAGGGCTCCATGTCTTCAATGTCTTTTAATGCAATCTGGAGATCGGAAAAGTTGGCGAGCTGAAGAGTGATGCTGGCTCTTCTGAATTGCTGCTGTTCGTCTTCGTCGGATATTATAAAGGTGTCGTTTAAGACAGGCTTTGAAAAGAAGCTTTGCTGTTTCTCATACAATGAAAGTTCGCACTGACTTGCTATGTAGATCTCGTCCCTTGCTTGCTGTACTTGCTCATGTTCCTGCTGTTGTCTCTCGAGGTGGGGTCGTAAGTAGTCAAACAGTAATCTCTCAGTGGAAGTAGGTGAGACAACATCTTGTTGTTGATAATAAGAGTTTGACATCTTTTTTAGTGGTAGGATTTTCCAGAAAGTAATGGAAAAGAGGGGTAGAATGAGAAGTCTACTTTTATATTTGCCAAAACGGCCGTGCTACCTGAAAGGATTTGCGTTTTAAGGAGTAAGTTTGTATGTTGCATGTTGCAAAGAACGTCAATGCTTGTCGTCTGTGTATGTGTGTACGCATAGATTTATGACGACAACTGGTGTATGTGCATGGCAGGCCCAAGGTATACATTTACAGTTTGACCTGCCATTGAGAGCCCAGAGATAAAGACAAGGAAAGCCTGTTCACGGTCGTTGATAGTGAGACAAAGAAAAGAAGTATCAACAGGAAAACAAACACTCTCCACTTGGGTCAAACAGCCCTGCATTAGACTGAAACTATTGCTAGTTTTATGATACCTCAAACTACATATTTATTCATCCTTTTAGATTTTGGCTTTAGCGGCAGCCTTCTGATTTGCAGTGGGAATAGCATTATCCTCGCCCAAAATATCAGCCATGCGAAGCACACGAGTGCTCACGGTAGCATTGTCTCTTCTATTCTTGCCCTCACGTCTAAATCTACCAATATGATCCACTAATTCCCACAGATGACCTCTAGGCATGAGTATGCCATTTTGGCGTTCAGGGGTATAAGCAGGGCTGACAGCGACTTCAGACCATGGTTTGGGATTACTGTGGCGTCTCTTGAGCAAGATGTCTTGCTCTTCATAGCGAACAAATGCGTTGCTCAACGTTTCCTTGTTGACAGCCTCCAGATAGCTGAGATCGCCTTGGTAATAAAGTGTCTTGCCTAACGATTGAGTTCGATTGGCAAACAGTTTACTATCAACCCAAATAGGGTCTTGTCCTGCAACGACGCTAGGAGGTGCCAAAGTGAACAAACTGACAGCAGCTAACCAGTATGATTCAATGAAGGGCCAGATCATAAAGCAGAGGAAATCTAGTATACTGCTATTAGACATACAGTACACTCACATGGCAGCATGGGCACTTACCATAGTTTTCTCTGCCACAGCTTCTCTCCATATCAGATAATCCTACCCAGCCATCTTCACACACTTCAATGACATTGTTGTCTGCGAGCCATTGGATGGTACGTCTGGTGTTGCTCTCTACGCCGCCAGGTCTATAAATCATGTCTAATTTCAACAAACTGGAAAGGAACGAGATTTCATCCAGCAGGTCAGCGTACTGCATGCGCTGCAGAGGCTTTCCACCGCCCTTCTTGACAACCGAGTACAAGGCAGCACAGACAATGGCTTCCTCCACAAAGAGATGGATGACTTGGTTGCGATAATACGAGAGCTCGAATGCGGCGATGGGGTAAAATGTAGGTTCGACAATATCCTTTCCTTTTCGTTCGCCAATCAAGTCTTTGTGGATCACCACGGTTCTATTATCATTTCTGTAAATACGAGTGCGTCATTTGTAGGTACATGCACCAACTCACTTGTCCACGATTTCGCCAGTAGACATGTCATGAAATTCAGAAACTTGGCCGCCTTTATCTTCAATGATCTTTTTCAACCATTCCACTCTTCGGATCAATTCGCTTCTACCAACACCTCGTCCTCTCAGTGTCAGGATGACAGTGCCTACTAGTGCGGAAGGCATGACTACAGATATGGCATTCTAACAAATAAAGTAATTCTTTGTTAGCTTATACAACAGGGGAAAAAAAAAAGGAGGTACTATTGCACTTACGATATCAGCAAGCACTCTAAATTTAGATTGAAGATGTGAGTTGCCCATGCTGTTTCAAATCAAGAAAGCTTATTTCTTATATACCTGTAGCCTAACGATTTCAGCAAGACGGATTTCTGTGTCGAGTCGGTGAGGTCCATTGGACTGTGCACTATTGTCAGTATCGGATTTAACGCGACACGTTACTAGAAAGACATACCCTCTCATCTTGACTTGATCATCTAACCAATCTCTTAATGAATAAGGCTTGCCCAAGCGAACTGTATACAAGCAAGACTTGAGTAAACGTACTCTCCCCAACCAAACTCCTGATATACAAACCATCCACACGACCCCACTTTAATTGTAGCAATCTGCTATTCGTCAGAACACCCCTAAAGGAACCATGTTTTCAGCATTTCTCTTGCTTCTCTTTCAGCTAGCAGCATCTTACCATAGACTCTCCTTTTCTTTGGGAGTACCGAGTAATTCAGTTGCATAACTGGAAGTCTCAATGATTTTATCATAACCAAGCGAAATAGGCACAATGTGACAATCAGAAAAGCGATCATCAACCAGGGCATCCAAGATGATCTTGACAACACCTAATTTTGGTTGCAGTAATTTGCCCAATCTGGATCGAGTGCCTTCAACAAAGCATTCAAAATTCACTGTAAGGTATGCCAGTGAGTGAGATGTGGGCCAGGTGCATCATGTTCTCACTTACTGCCTTCAGCCAGCAATGTAGCCATGTATTCCTCTAAAACTGTCTTGTACAACTCATCATTTCCCCATTCTCGACGGATAAAAACGGCACCAGATGATTTCAATAATTTGCCAACGACAGGCATATCGAGATTATCGCCGGCGACAATATGGGGGATTTGGATTCCTGATGCAAGAAACGATAAAATTTAGCTTGTGTTCCTTTTTGTGCGTGAGTAAAAAGAGGGTATATACCTAATCTGTACATCAAATAGGATACCACCAAATAATCGATATGCGATTTATGAGATGGCAAAAAGATGAGCGATTGCTTCTTTTCTTGTGCCATTAAAGCAACTCGTTTTAGCTATGGTCAACATGGTTAGACCATGTCAATCCAGCAAGTGCGCCCTTCACTTCAACTTACCTCGACCCATTCACTTTCTCTAATATGAACACCCTGATGATACAGTCGCACAAGGATATTATTGACTACAAAGGCAAAGAACCTAGGTTAAGGGATGAGTCAATGGCCATGATTGAATGCTGATCTCTTTGATTGTCATACCGCAATGTGCGAACGCTATCTACTGTGGCAATGGCTTTCTCAGCAATGGCTTTTGCAACGACTTCAAGCTCTTTTCGAAGCGCCTTTCTTTGTTTCTCGATCCGTTTGTCGTTTGGCTTCCATTTCTTTTGAGCAACCAAGATTTCAGTTTGTCGATTAGCTAATTGAGTGATAATTTCTTGGACTGACGAAATAAGGAGATCAGATCAAGTAAGATCCCCCTTTTTTTTTTTTTTTTACGTATGATTTGAATTACCTTTTTTACTATCTAGTACTACTTGCTTCATTTTTGCTGAATAGCCAGGGTATAATATTTTGGTGCCAATATAGTTGTTATATCCTCTCCAGCCCTACGCATTGCAGTCAATATCGTGTGTTGGTCAGCTAGAGAGCCATCCGCGACTTACAGTGCCTTGGTAGAACAAGCCGACATTTAGCATGAATGCTACGGGATCTTCTCTGATACGGCGTGGTTCTTTCTCTCTGTTTCATGACAGCATAAGTCTCATAGGCAGCTATTTTCACTGTTACAGTACTCACACTACGTTGCGATGCTCTCTTTCATTGTACGTTAAATCTCGCTTGACATGGATCTTAAGTGCTCGAGGATTGTCTACAGTGTAATCGTCGCCGGATTTCTTGTATTCTTGTACAAGCTCTTGAATACGTTTCTCGGTTTTACTGTCTGCTCCCATAGTGATAGTGGTGATTCAAACAATGAACAAGGAGAGAAGAAAGAGAAGAGGAGAAAGTGGATAAAACGGATTTATATAAAAATTAAAAAATTGTGGGGTAGAAATAACTAGTGGGGTATTAACGAATAGTATCGCCTGGATGTGGGTTTTGGTCGTTGCTAGGCATGCAACGAACAAATCAACAGTATTTCTGCTTACATTTTCACAATTGAATGAAACGGCTTGTATCACATGATTCAGGCACAGCTCCATCCTAGATACTCTGCTAGGTTGTCAATGCATTGAGGCCATCTATCGTACGATACCAGCTGTATATATTTCCATAGATACTGCCCAATTGTGTGGGTATCAACAGTGAGTCCAACACCAGTTGTCTAAATACTATGTCATTCAATGTCAATCTCTCAAAAAAAAAAAAAAAAAAAAAAAAAAAAAAAGGAATATATCTTTGGAGCAATGCGATCATTGGGATGATTGGGACCATTGGGCACATTTACACAGACAATGGCCATAATCCCCGCAATAAAAGCACTTTGGATACTGGTAAATGACCATACTATCCTCATCTCAAAGCATGACATGAGTACTGATTACACTAAGCATCTTGCTTTTATAGTGTGTTTTGAGCGGTTATTCAAGGATCAAGGAGGCGTATAAACAAGTTGGATTTTCACACCCTGGCAGCCTTCCATCTTGCCCCTTCTCTACAGCCACAAACAATACAAACAAAACGCCCATTTGACAGCTTGGAATTCGCCCAAATCTCACCCGGAGCATGACTTTATTTCTAATCAAGAGAAAATTTTCATATATAAGATAATGGCGAGGGGAGCATATGAGATTGGAGAGGCATATATATAGTAAAATACACAGGAAGAAAGAACTGAATCTTTAATAAAAGTAATGTGGGGGGGGGATAATGGTAAGAGAAAGAAGCTTAAATATATATGCAATTTTTAACTGTAGTCTCTGTCGTTGTTATTATTGTCGTCGTTGCTCTTGTTGTTATTGCTGTAGGTCCTGTTGATACGATGGCGACCTATCGTAGATCACGGTTTAATATGTTGCTTTGATTTTGACTTTCTTCGGTATTTGCGCTTACCATCACCGATTGGATTGAGCATATGAGATTGCTTTCCAAAACTCATCTTTGAAGATCGAGCTTTATTCTCTTCAGAATCTAGTGTGTAACGCGTTAGTCGATGCAACTCGGCAAACCCCTTTACGCTAAACAACTTACCAGCATTGTATCTTTGATGAGATGCAGAGGAGGATGCGGAAGATGCGGTGGATGACTTTCTATCGAAGTTTGGCAAGCTATCATCGTTTGTGTTGCTGCTGCTGTTGTAATAGTTGCTGCTCTCGGCGCTCGCATTCATACCTGAGGATGAGCCGCCAGTGTTCATGGCCGAAGAGCTGCGGTTGCTATTGTAATTGTTGTGGTTGTCTAATCTATAAGATGATTGATGTTGTTGTTGTTGCATTGAATCAAATGAAAGTAATTTTCGTTGTTTGGTATCATTGTTATTATTATCTTGAGAATAGGAACTCGGGTTAGATGAATTGGAGGATGAGATTCTTGCATTTGAGGACTTGTCTGTCTTGTTGTTGGCAGAGGAGGAGGACGGTGCAACAGGAGACCAGCTAGCATTTGATGAGTCATTTCCACTGCAGCTGCTGTTGTGGTTGTGGTTGCTGTTCTGGCTGTTGCTGTTCTGATTATTGTTGTAACTCTGTCCAATGTTGTTCATATTTTGATTCTCTTTTAGCTTAGACACCTGTATTCGAAGGTTCTCGGCTTTTTTTTTTTTTTTTTGGTGATTAGTGGAATAGATTTTAATATCAAAATAGAAGAGAAAACAGAGTGGCAAATGTTTAGCAGATTGCAAAAAAAAAATTGATGAAACTATTTCTCAAATACCATTTTGTAATTCTTGGTTGTTGTTACTATTGTTGTTAGAAGAACATACACAGTCTACTAGAAGGTTAATGAAATTCTTTGTCTGTGTACACACATTTTCTTACTATTGTTTGCTTTGGCTGAAGAAGACACCACATCCACTAAATCCTGCATTGCCTAAAGAAGAAAAATGCCCATATTATGAATACCGTAAATTTGTAAATGTGCACCCAGGCCCCTATTTGAAACCCCTAAAAAAAATAGGAAAGAACAACTTACATCTTGCTGCTTGGAAACAACCATTCTCAAATGTACTACTTCATTGAAAAGCTGTTCACAAGATTTAGTAACGCCTAACAGATGATCTTCGATCCGTAATATATGCTTTATCACTGGATTGTTATTGTCTTGCATATAAGCATCTTCTGATTTCATATTTGAATGGTTGTATTCTTTTCTATTACCGGTATTATTAACGTAATACTGTTGCTGTTGCTCTTCTCGTTGCTGCTGTTGCTGCTCTCGTTGTTCTTGCTCGCGGTGCTGCACCTGAAGATCCCGTTGTTGCTGTTCTTGCTGCTGCTGCTGTTGCTGCAATTGCTGTTGTAATTGAAGCTGCTGTGTTTTGGCACTCTTTCGTTTGATATGTTGTAGATCGCCAACGGCACCTCGTCGAAAGTTGGGATGCTTGAATTCCCATGTTTGGTTTTCGTTTGTGAGATTCGAATGAATCAAATCGTTCACCTTGTGGAAGCCATACACTATAATGATAAGTGAGGTTAGTACACAATACCTACTATAGCAAGATGAAGAGCTTTACTGTTTAGTTGTCTAACAAAACTCTGCCAGTTATTATGCTTGAAGTATTGCGGTAGAACACTCTTGGAAAAAGCTGTAGGGTTCGATACACTAAAAAGATCTCCATGGCTTGACCAAGCAATCAAATCAGAGGTGTCTGGATCTTCTAACATTCTAATGTCAAAACATTAATGAGTGCGTTTTCTAATGTAGGCATAACATTAATATTACTTGTATAGTTTGTTGACAAATGCTGCCTGTGTTTTCATATTGCCAACAGCAGGAGCAACAACAAGGGCTTCGTTAACGGGAGTCTCATCAATATCACTGCTTGATTCTAGTTTGAGTCTATCACAAACAGCAGAACATTAGCATGGGCCTCTTCTTCATTTACACTGTGGATGCAGACCTTTTGTATCTCTGCTCTTGATCTCCTGCATTGGAACTGCTCGCTGAGCTAGATCTGCTGCCACTTTTTGCCATTATCAGTATAGCCTATTTAACATCAACTTTCCTCTGAAGAAAATCTTCTATTTCCGAGCAAATGTGTTAAATCTTATTTGCATCGATTCCATTTTTTCAACATCTCAGTGTTACCTGTTAAATTATTCAATGATTTTCTAAATATGAAAAAGAATAGTTCACTATTATTTTACAAAGATAAAATAATAAAGAGTCTGTTTCGATGGGAAAAGGAGAGAGAAAGCGATGCTTCTATGTAAAATTTGATGTACAGACAAAAAAAAATAGAAGAAAAAAGGAAAAAAGGGAAAAAGCGAAAGAAGAAGAAAGAAGAGGGAAAATAATAATCGCAATGTGTTAGCGATGTTGAAAAAAAAAAAAAAAAAAAAAGAGACATTTTCCAATCTCTTACTCTCTCAATCACTCTCATGACATCACCAGAGTGGCCGACATGTTGGGTCTAAATGATGGATTAGGATTAGTTGTGAATCGAAAGGCAAAATGAGAAAAGGGGAAGCAAAGTGTTATGGAATGTGCTGGGTAGGTTACACCTAGTTCGTTGCCGACAGGAAGAAAACAGCATGAATCACTGATTTTTATAGCACGAGTGCCGATGAATGACAATCATCAAGACAAAATCACCATTTTCTGACAAGAAATTCACTTGAAATGGTAAGATTATTTGGTCAATATACCGAGAACAAAGGTATGCACATTTGTAAGGCCAACACATGGTTTTAAAACTCAAAATCGATGTTTTATGATGAACACATTTTGTTTTAGGAAAAATATCGATTTTAGAGTTGAAACAAGGAATATAGCAAGATGCAGGCTTGGCTTTAGATGAAGCAAACATACATCTAATGAAGACGTCCATCAGCATGCTTCATGTGTGGACGAAAAAGTAAACAGAAAATTTTTTATTGATGAAACATTTTGGCTTTTCTTCATTCATCTTCTTCTCTCAAAAAGAAGGGATCAAGAGCCCGAATTACCCATAGACGATTCTAGAGCTACCTAAAAAGGGAGTGAGGCTAAAAAATCACATTATTTGTATTTCGTTTTTTGACCACCTAGTACGACATGTATTGGTATATTAGTAAGATATGGAATAGATTGCATTCGATTCCCTTAATTACATCCTACAATCACCACTTCCAGCATCTCATGGACACAGCCACCGACATTTGGCCTCTCTTAGTTCTTTTTTTCATTTTATTTCGATCAAGTGACTCGAGCAATTTCGAATGATAGTACTGCCGCATTAAGCAATTTACGTTTAAACTTTTTTTTTTTTTTTGTTATGCGTGTGGTGCGTAGATTGTGTTGCATGTGCAACCAAAGTCTAATGATTAACTTTCTGCCATGATAACTCAGTTGGAAACTTATCGAGATTTGCTCATGAAGCATATCATGATCAGTTAATAAGATACCCCAATGAGATCGGGCATGTTTGATTTTGGACATCATGAGATTTTTTTTTTTTTTTTTTTGGCTCCAGTGGTGAGTCAAATATCACATGAATATGCGATTCTTTTGACATTGGGTGATGCGCATCTTCGATTTCTAAAATTACATTTCGCCATCTTAAAAACATCAAAAAACATCATCTAAAGAATGAGTAATTGGGACTATTTTACAAGAGCTACTCCTCTTTTTTCATGATTTACCACGAATGGCAGAAGAGGTAATCGATCTATTGCTTTCGACCACTTGTTTCACAAGCGTCTGATTCGTACGATTCAATTGAAGCCTCGCTGTTATGTTGCAGAAACAGTCAGGCATGCATTGAATAGTTTGGATATGGTCATAGTTTGGGCTTCTGCTTGTACATGGCCCATTTGAGTTTCACTCCTTTTAAAAATCGGTCGAGAAAAAATGCTATTTTCATTTGACTCTGTAAGGGCATCGTAACCCTGCTGTCGGTTCTTGGCAGGGGTTGACAAACTTACAAAACCAAAAACCAACAAAATTTATGCGTTTAGCCTAATTGCATGAAGAATAATAAACTCACCGAATCAACTAGACTCTCTCAGTGTTTTTTCTGAAATGTAGAACATTGGGCTGCAAATGATCAACTTGCGAGTTGATAAAAAAATCTTTTGCTAGAATAGAAATCATCTCGTGGAGACACTCAGCAGCTTAATGAACTGTTCATCTAAACAATACCAAATTGAATAAGGCAGGAGAGCTAGCCTGGCTGAAGAGCTTGGGTGGCTGATCTAATTTAGATGTATCAATTTTTCCTATTGTGTAGACTATGTAAAAAGGCTGAATTTAATTGCCATGCTGTTTATTAGGTCATTCGGTTACATAGAAACCTGATGAACCCAATCATTTTGTTGCGATTGGGGCTCACAAACGATGTGTTTCTGCATTTGAAAAAGAGCTTAATTTATCATCGTCGTCTCAATTGTTTTGGTTGCAATTGGCGCAAAAAGCGCGATGGTCCCTTAAACTCGATGAAATTGTACATATACTTGAGACCATTGACAAATTCTCGAACGTTTCATTAGAGATCGAAAGTGATCATTCGCGGATAGTGCCAAGTATAGCAAGAACAAGATGTTCTAGCAAGATCGGTGAGGAAGAAATGCTATATGTTGGATTTGTAATCAAACCTTACAATGGAAAGAACCGGCTAGTTTCAACGCTTATTTGCATGCCATTAATCCATTGATCTGCTCAATGCAAAAGTCGTGGGTATATCGCAATCCTGGTAGAATTACGTACAAGCATTTTATCTGCTGAGAAAAATGCCTTGAGTAAAATGGTTACATTTGAATTTTCCTTGCAATCTACGAGCCTGTCTAAGCTACGGATGGCTCTCTACCTTTGCTTCGCTTCAGTGAGAGCCAACCTACGCAGCGGCAGTTTGCGCTACCGATTGCCCTTGCCCATCTTATCAAAATGCTGCTACTTTCATTTTAACCCTCCATTTACACATGAGAATCCTCGTATTATCAGCGGATCTGACTCTGATATGATGTCCCACATTCGTATACACTTGAAATACTTCACATACGGGCAAGCAGTATATTGGTAGCATCCCTTTCTAGTCAAGAGTGTGCCTAATATACTAAAAACTGGGTGCATTTGAGCTGTGTTTTTTCACGTTCAAGGCCGTTTTAGATGGTCAGAATAGCAATTGCTCTCAATTACCACTAACTTGCTCAACTTTTTGGGGATCAAAAAAATATTGACGAAAATCCACCAAAAAGCATGAGGTATCCCCTCATGGTTTTCATCAAAAAATTTGGGATACCCCAAAGCTGCTCATCCACAGCAAGTATACCAATCCATAGTCAATTTGAACCTGAAGCAATACTTCGTCTACAACTTAGACATCAAGATTACAATCTTCGACCTGTTTGCTGCCACCGTTCGTATGATATGGAGATTCCACCTCCTACTAACATTCGAAGGAGTGCCTTTTGATACCAACAATGTCGCCAACAAAATCTGTGCTGAAATGATGAGATTGTCAGATCTCAAGCATTAATATTAGTAGTAGTTTCAATAGATTTATATGTGGCAGGTCACTTTGTTACATACACTTGTCCATCATTTGATGTTCTTATTATATTCGTATATTTACTAATAAATAAGCAACATCCACACAAAAAAAAATCATCAAAAATCAGACGATCGCGTTTTTGACTATAAAAATGAAAACTTTTACTATGGCATACGAGCCTTTCAGCACTTCGGGTGGTTCCCTGACCTACGCTTCGCTTCGGTGGAAACCAACCTACGTTCAAACGGCTCGCGCTGCCGCGGGCCTTTGGCTAATATCCCAAAATTAATATAGCTAAAATGTTAGAAGAAGATCCCTGATTGTTGATTGATATATAATCACAAATCATATGAGTGTCTATGCTTCGGATGGTTCTCACCGAAGCGTAGCGAAGGTAGAGAACCAACCTGCACAGCGACAGCTCGAGCTACCGGTTACCCTTGTGTATCTTATCATAATACTACTACGTTCAAGCTGACCCTCTACTTACACATGAAAACCCTTTATATTATCTGTGGATCTGACTCTTATCTGATGCTCTACATCCATATACACGTATCTACTTCATATACGGGCAAGTAGCATACTGGTATTTCCACTTTTTAGTTCTTAGTATCCATAATACAGCAAAATTTGAATGCATTTGAGCTGCGTTTTTCTCGCGTCCAAGGCCTTTTTAGATTGTCGCAATAGGACCAAACACTTGCTTTCATCTGGCAGTTACTTTCTGACACCTTTGCTCAACTTTTCGAGGATCAAAAAAACATGAACAAAATTCGACCGAAAAGTATGAGGTACCCCTCATGGTTTTCATCGAAAATCAAACGATCGCGTTTTTCACCTTGAAAACGGAGACTTTTACTATGGTATATCTTGAATCAAAATGTCTCTATCGATCCAAAGCAACCTCTGAAATCATCTTTGTGGGACTTTGATATGTAAAATTTCGACATTTTGGCCAGAAACCTCTTTTCATATTTTCATAAATCATTTGATAAGTTTATTCAAATCATCTATTTTACTTAGTACCATTGGATGCACCTTGAAAAGTACTCCAGGAGAGCTTAAGGAAGCATATTTTTTTTTTTGTAGGGGAGTCGAGCTCCAGGTTTTATTTAAAGTCCTTTAAATGTCATACTGAGGGATAGAAAAGACTGTTGGTGGACCCAATGTCTGCAAAGAAGGGGAATAAGATATTTTGAACTAAGTTGGGAAAGAAATCTACTACTAATAAGGTGCCACTCCTAGAGCCAGTACAGTCTTGCGGAAATCGTCAAAATATAGATCATGGATAAGAGTACAAAAACACCAAACGAGGACATCAGTACTACGTCAAAAAAATCAAACAACTTGCGTTCACCAGGATTTGAACCGGGATCCTCCCGTTGGCATACGAGAGTTTTACCACTTCGCCCTAGCTTAAGGAAGCATTTTTTTTTTTTTTGTAGGGGAGTCGAGCTCCAGGTTTTATTTAAAGTCCTTTAAATGTCATGCTGAGGGATAGAAAAGACTGTTGGTGGACCCAATGTCTGCAATGAAGGGGAATAAGATATTTTTTGAACTAAGTTGGGAAAGAAATCTACTACTAATAAGGTGCGACTCCTAGAGCCAGTACAGTCTTGCGGAAAATCGTCAAAATATAGATCATGGATAAGAGCACAAAACACCAAACGAGGACATCAGTACTACGTCAAAAAAATCAAACAACTTGCGTTCACCAGGATTTGAACCGGGATCCTCCCGTTGGCATACGGGAGTTTTACCACTTCGCCCTACCACCAGGGACAGCTTAAGGAAGCATAGGGCGATCATTACAATTCATATAGTCGAACATCATAAAATAGATTAAAGAAGTCGAAAAAGGACAATATCTGGCCAATCTTGAACAGAAAAAAATAAGCTGAGTCTGAATCAATTTTGGCGGCGGCATTGCTGCTGGCTGGCCCGAATTCCTTTCTGATGATTGCGATGTTGATTAAATGGAGATCATGGAATTGAAAGGACAACTGCTTAGTCCAAATACTTTTTTTTTTGGGGGAGCTTTGTCTCATGAAGGTGTCTTTTGCAATAATAATATCTCAAAAAAAAGTCGCTGTAGATTTTACACAAGTCTTGTATTTACTTATGGCGACCAGCTATATGTCGCCATCTTATTAAAAGCATCAGCAAATGATATGACAATTCTATTATCAGAAAATGGCGATTGTGATGTACAAATGCTGTATAAAATTTGAATTTTCTTTCACATCGTCCCAATAATAGGCTTCGTTTGATATCGGTGTAAGGAAAAAGGATGTTGAGGGAGATACCTCCTCTCCTACAGACTCTTTGGCGCTCTATTTTTTTGTGGTCAACACTTACCAAATATTTTATTTGTCCCTAATTGTTGGGAATGAGAAAAGAAGCACTGCGCTCTGAATGTAGATTACAGAAACGAACATGTCTTCCAATTATGATTATGACCATCTTCTGTAAGGTAACAATTAATAGTCTAAGAAAGGAAATCAGATTACCATGTCTTATGATTAGAAAGTTCGGCTTTTGTACCTTTAAAAATGTATAACCAGTGTACACGCAAATTCCTTCAATGTTTACACATGGTTAACAGAAAGTACCCCCCACGTACTGTGACGTATACTGACCCTGCTCTTGGCATGAGGTTGATCTGATCTTAAGAACACACAGACTTACTTTATCCCAGAAATGTTTTGGCCGATTCTTCAAATTCCATTCCACAATCCTGGTACGACCTATAATAATTAAGGCATAGGACTATTGATCATCTTATTTCGCATTTTATGTTTATTTTTGAGCTTATTTATACAGTTTTACTTTATGCACCTCTTGATTATCCACATCTAGTTATTCTTCTCTAAAGCAATCTTTGCTCTTTCCTCCTGATCAATGGTTGCTAATGTCTTGCTCGCATTAACAATTTGTACAACGTTGATGAATTGTTTAGCAAAGCAAATAACACCTGTCACTGATAATACACTCCACCAGAAGACTATAGCAAAGTAAAATATAAGTCATTTATGCTCTCTGTTCCCTCGTGATTCTCGATTGCTCCACAGAAAATGAAAATGCTGACTTACAGTTTATAGGTCCAGTGAATTTGAGAACATAAAGAGCGACAAAGAAGAGCTCATTACCGGCACACATGAGGAACAAAACAATCTACAAAAGCATAATCACAATTGAATACCCTTTACCATCATTCTCGTCAAACCCGACCTACATTGTTGTTGTAGTAAATGCGAAGATACCAACTTTGCTTCTCACTGATTTTCTTGTGACTCGAGGATCCCGAGATCATTGAACTAGAATCATTATCTGATTAATAACCCTCACCATCTTTCCATTTTCTACATCCGTCCAACATACCTGTACATGTGCATATAATGAGAACTAAAGTCAAGAGATACGAGGAATTGGAAAAGAATGGTCCATTCAGGATATTTGAGAGATAGGAAACATAAGAGACAAGTGGTTGTACATCTAATAGATGTTGTATAAAAAGAGTCAAATCACTATCCTCGATTTAGCTATTGCAAGCTAATTACCTATCTGTCACCATGTCCAACACAGCGCCAAATCGACTGCCTACCATATGTTTTGTAATCAATATCTCTCCCATCTATATTCTTGTACCAAGCACTTACATTGATTGAAATGTCTAGCGGCATTACCATCGACAGCATCCAATAAACAAGAAATACAATACAGACTTACACAGACCTTGGGATGCCATGGCATATAATACAGAGACAGAGATGCAAGGATAATTCGCGTATAACCTGCACCACTATAATGAATATCCTTTGCATTCCCGGAAATCCCATCCTGCTCACTACTTACCGATGAGATTGGGTATGAACAAAAAGACATTTTCATTTGTTCGAGGAACCTGAACCTCTTTTGTTCCAGTTGAAGGCATGGCTGATTGTTATTTCAAGTGTGAAAAGAGAAGGAAAAGAGAAGAAGCGACAGATGAATGGCAATCCGCGTTATTATCAACAACAAAAAGAACAAATGCGATTAAATAGCCGCCGTTTAGAAAGAAAGGTGTGTTTGTGCACAAGTCTTTACCGGTCCAATCATTTCCCGAGCTAAATGTTGGTAATGTAGCGTGATTCAACAGGGTTTCATTTGTATTAATGATTGTGTTGGGTCAATTGAAATCAGGCCAATATCTAGCAAGTATTACGGGAAGGGGAAATCCCAAATTGATCGTTGGACTGAACCTTACTGTTGCAAATGTCAATGATTTTTTCTGTTGCTATATTTAAATAGCATAAACAAAGCCAACAATTGCCAAGTTTCAATGCCAACTCCGAAGAAATGAGCATCAAGAGGATGCTGACGATAGATGTGCTATTTCTCTACTATGAATGGATGCTCACTTGAGATAGAGCAGAGGAAGGGCTTAACCTCGTGGTCAATTAAACGCTAGCAGCTGAAGATTATTTGAGCCCATGGAACGCTGTAACTCAAACATCAGTGGTACAAATATACTGGAGTGTATGATTCATCCCAACTTGTGATGGATTCAGAAGATTGCCTGAAAGATCATGATCTACATTATAAATAAACCACCAACCTATATCAAAATTATGGTAGAAAGGGGTATTCAGCAATCGCATATAGCCTCTAGGTGGTGTCCATCAACAACGGCTCGCAAAAATTATTTTACCGACTTTCAGAATCAAATGTCTTGATTTGAAACTTAGATTGCTACAATACATAATCGCGAAGCTTATTCTAAACGTGGCAGCACAACATTTTTTATACGGCGAGGATTCTGTCACAATCCAGTGATCGCATGCTGGAATATGTCTAGAATACTGGCATTTGTTGCTTCCATTGGGCCCGCAATGAAATTTGACAGCACTGGCAAAGAAGCTTGTACAGTAGCGGATTTATGACCTCACGTGGTTGATCTGATAAAGAATTTTATGGCACTCAAGTCTCTTCAAGCCTAAATCCAGTTTTTTTTTTTTTTTTTTTTTTTTTTTTTTTTTTTTTTTTTTTTTTTTTACGGGTCACTACATTAAATTATGCCCCATCCAGGTTTCACCTGGCACAGATCAAATAATTATAAACAGGCTTTATTTTCTTTCTTCATGTTTAATGTACAAACAACAATAACACCAATAGTGACAGGTCTAATCCTTCTTGATACCGTATTGTGCCTTGTATTCCTTCATGAGCTTGAGCTCATTTTCATAAGTACCCTTCTCCTCCATAAACTCCATGATGTGATCCATAGAGATGATGGCACGAACTTGAACATTGTTCTTTTCTTCGACAGCTTGAATAGCACTCTTACCAGTGCCATCAGGAGCAATTTCAGCGCGATCAACAGCGACAAGAACACCAGCAAGCTGAGCATTGTTTTGCTTGATAATCTCGATGGACTCGTTGATGGCAGTACCAGCAGTAATTACATCATCAACAACGACAATGTTTCCCTTCAAAGGAGTACCAACAATGTTACCACCCTCGCCATGATCCTTCTTTTCCTTGCGGTTGAAAGAGAAGGGGGCGTCCTTACCGTAATCGTTGGACAAAGACAGAGCAGTAGCACAGACAAGAGGAATACCCTTATAAGCAGGACCAAAAAGAACATCGTAATCAAAGCTGGCATCCTCGAGAGCAGCAGCATAGAATGTGCCAATAGCACCCAAAGTCTTACCGCTGTTGAACAAACCAGCATTGAAAAAGTAAGGTGAAGTACGACCGGATTTGAGGTGGAAGGATCCAAACTTGAGGACCTCGTTCTTGAGAGCAAACTCGATGAATTCACGTTGATAAGCCTTCATTATATGGATGTTATTGTATGGGGATATAGTGAAGAAAGAAGAAAAAGAAGAAGAAACTTGAATTAACAAGGCAGATGTCAAGTTTTATAAAGACGTGTGGGTCGAGATCTCCGCAATCAAAATGGATGACTCTTAAGACTGTTTATTAAGATTTAAATTTTGGATGATTTACCATCAATCAGAGGGATCACAACCTTTCCCTTGTTCTTTCCAGAGTGCAAGTAAGCAACACCAGCAGCCACGGAATCAATGCCGCTCAAACCGCCGTTATCAATGAGCACCTTGAGCTTACCTTCCTTGACTAGCTTGATCATGTTGGCCATGTGAGACGCAGAGAACTCCTTGTAATCAGGCATGAAGAAACCAGCAACAGTGCGGGAAGTACCAAGGAGCTTCAACGTATTTACATTGTCGCCAGCCATGCCATTAGCATCAGCATAAGTAGACACTGTGCCGATAACAATCAAACGACCACGGACAGCAAGACTCTTGAGGCAAATGTCGAAAAAGTTACCGCCTACACTTTCAAAGATGATATCAACGCCACGGGGGTATTCTTTCTTCATCACTGCCTTGAAATCTTCCTTTTTGTAGTTGATGACTCTGTCACAGCCCATTTCCTATTGCATGATTTATATGCGTTGAGCTGTCTCGCCTTACAAGAATCAATCATGAGAATTCTACCTTAAGCATGGCCACCTTGTCATCGTTGGAGCATGTACCAATAACGTGATTGCCAGCCAATTTGGCTAATTGTACAGCAATTTGTCCAGCACCACCAGCAGCTATATCGTATAATGCAAACTCAATATGCGATCTTGACCTAACTCCTAGTGTACATTACCTGCAGTTACAAGGACAGTCTCTCCCTTGGTCATGCGGCCAGTTTCAGCCAAAGCAATCGAGGCAGTTAAACCAGACGTCAAAAGGCCTAGAAGTTCAGGTCTAGCATTCTATACGAGAACATCCACATTTAGAACCACAGATACCCGCTTTCAACACAACCAAACTTACAGGAACAGGAATGACAGCTTTGTGAGAGATCTCGACGTATTCAGCGAAAGCACCGTATTGTGTGTAGATGACGTGAGAACCAATCTTGTCTTTAGAGACGTTGGAACCTACAGCAACAATCTCACCGAGAGCTTCGAAACCGACATCAAAAGGACTATAATAAATGAACATGAAAAAAAAGCGTTTAGTGGAGTACACAATGCAACTTACGGCTTGATATCAGGGATGTATTTGCCATTGGTGAAATTGATATCAGAGGCATTGATACCAACATAAAAGTTCTTTACAACAACGTTGTTGGGCTTCAAGTTTTGAATCAAATCTTTGTAGTTGACAGAGACCACCTTTGTCACCTTGTTAAAGTCATTACCAACTTCAAATGCTTGGAGCTTGCGGAAAGTTGTGGGGCTAGAGCAATACTTTTTGTTAGCATGGTATTGAATGAGATTGGCTTTGGTGGGTGCTACTTTACGCAGACATTGTTATATATCAAAAGAGTTGTGGAAAGGTAAAAGAAAGAAGGAAACAAAACCTGGAGTAATTAAAGCAGAAGAAGCGGTTGTTCAATGTAAAATTTGAGCTTTGTAATCATAAAACAAGGTGAGAAAGATGATGAATAAACATGCCTACTTGAAAGGAAACAAGACATATATTCTTAAGTAATGCTATATGGCGGTGCTGTAGAGTTCATGCTAGTCGTATACACCATGGATTTGATTAATAAGCTAAAGGTAGTCGACCCAAGATTCAATCAAAGCAACAGGGCAGAACCTTAATCGAATTGCAAACTCCACGCTGCTCTGTTTGATCGACCACGGGCGCATTTTGACATGTTTCTTTGAGTGTTACATGAGCATTCATTCTAGTACCATCATACATGTACCTGGATCTGCTCATGCTGTGCATGCTCATGCCCATAGCAGTGATGTTTGAAGCATAACATGATGTATACGCAAACAAGTGGGTACATTTGTAGTTTGGATCCGACAGCTGAAAGAAGGAATCCAGCCTTGACGTGCAAACCAAATGCTAGAAATCAAGTTCATCCGACTGTTCATCTCGTAAGCCTACAGCATTGACAACAGACACAAGACAAGCCTTGGCAATGTGGTGTGATAGGGAACATGCGCCTGGCAGTTATCACTACCTGAGATTGTTGTCAAGGCTTTTAGAGTTTAAAAGGGTTAATTCCTCAAATAACGAATAGCAGGAAAGACAGCCATCCCTCGCTTGGGCTGGACAAGCGTGTGCTCTTCTGCAAGCTTGAGACTTTTGCTTCTGACTGATGTATACAGACATCAAACTTGTTCAGCAAGACAAAAATATATAAAGGGGGTGAGCACAAACATTTACCAAACAGCTTGTTATTCAAGCCACGAAGCAGGTTTTTCTTTCCTCTCTCACTATTTTTTTTTCTCACCTGTAACAAACATGGCCTCTGTGGATTCCTCAGAAGTTGAAAGAAAGTTTTCTTACCAAGATAATGAGAGAGTGTTGTGTTTTCATGGACCTCTCATCTATGAAGCCAAGGTTAGAACGCGATACATGCCAGTAATGATGACTGTATACTCAAGTCAAAGCAAAACTGCAGGTGTTGGAGAAAAATTGGATGGAGGAACCCGAAGCAAGTGGTCCTCATTACTACGTTCATTATAAAGGCTGGAAGAAATCGTACGTTTGACAGTAGATGTGAGATGTCATGGAGCTCATCCATTGTGTTTGTAGCTGGGATGAATGGGTACCAGAATCAAGAGTGCTTCGCTGGTCAGAAGAGAATTTACAAATGCAGCTACGACTCAAGACATTCTATCGTACAAATCAATCAGGAAAGAGTAGGAAACAAAGCGAGAGCGAAGGCAGCAATCTGGGCAAACGTCGCAGAGACGCCAAGTTGGAGAAGGAGGAGGATTATTTGAATCGACCAGAGATCAAGCTCGATATACCAGACACATTGAAGGGACAGCTCGTCGATGATTGGGAAAATGTAACAAAGAATCAACAGCTGGTTACTTTGCCAAGAACCGTCAATGTCAATGAAGTATTGTCACGTTACAAACGATTCAAGAAGGAGAAGAAGGGCAACCGTGAATTGTGAGTTGAGAGCTGTAAGAGTTGCTTTATGCGATACGCTGACTGACCATGGATGCTAGAAATGAAGACTTATTGGACGAGGTTTTGGAGGGTTTGCGTATCTATTTTAACAAAGCGTTAGGGTCGATGCTTCTCTATCGTTTTGAAAGACATCAGTACGCTGACATGAGAAGGCAGTTTGGCGAGACAGACCTCGTTGAGATATACGGTGCAGAACATCTTTTAAGGTTATTTGGTGAGTGTTTGTGTGCACAAGATATTCACGGTTGACTTACATGGCTACAGTTCAAATGCCTAGCTTGATTGCACACACAAACATGGATTCTGATGCTGTCAGTGTATTATCCGACTACCTAACAGACATCTTACGGTAAGCCATGTATGTCCAACACCCTTACCATCTATTGCTAATTTAATCTTTAAACAGCTTTATGCAAAAGAACCAAAAACAACTATTTCAAGCAGAATATGAAAATGCTGCTCCTGGCTATGTTGCATTATCTGCTACCACTTAATTCTCCCCTGCTTTCATTGCAGTTGTAAATAACTCTGACCATTTCATTCATTACCATTGCGCAAGATCAATAAATACTATTTAGTAATATACACGGGGGGTTTTTTTTTATTTATTTGATATATTGATGAGAAGCATATACAAAAGGTGTGTTTAATGACGTCTTGGTGGCGGTGGTGGCGGCGATGATGGTGATAAAGCAGCATTTAAAGCGGCTTCCTCGTGTTCTTCTACCTCCACTTTTTCATAGGTAGGGGGGACAGGTCTAGGTACATTGGGTAATGCAGGCTTTGCTTCGTCTAATCTTGGGGATAGTTTAGGTCGAGGGGTTGTAGGTAACGGGGGTGGTGAATGAGTATTCTCATTGTGTACTGTTGACGAGACAGGTCTAGGTTTATCAGGGATTGCAGGTGCAAGATGTGGCTGTTGAGGCAAAGTAGGCATAGAATCAACCTGTACGGCAGGTTCTTTTACTACTAAAGAAGGAGGGGCAAATTCTTGGCCAGAACTGGGAGCGTTTGGATTGCTGATCTGTTCGGAATCGGCTGAATCTGCCACTTGTTCAGAGACTGCAGGCGAGGTAGCGGTTACATCGTCAGTCATGGGAGCTGGTGTCGAGTTGCGACGTGGTGGAAGAGGAGGATGTTGCTTTTGCATACTGTCAGGTACATCAGAATTATTTTGAGCAGCAGAGGCGGCTCTAGTACGACGAGGCTTGATCGGTGGTGGTGGTGGTGCTGCTGCTGCTGAATAATCATGATCGCTCGTCTTGTCAGCGATTACTGACTTTGCTGTTGTGACGGTGGGAGCATCAGGCAGATCTTTAAAGACGGGAGCGGACGTATAGGCAGATGAAGACGGAGGAGGGATGGATCGACCACTGCTAGCAGAAGACCCCGATAGACGCCTTTCCTCTGCACGCCTGCGCATGTTTGCCATTCTCTCAGCATAAAGCTCCTTCTTTTCTTCGCTTGCTGGCTTGTAGATATCGTCATCATGGCTGTTCTTTTTGTGCAAAAAGCTCTCTGCCATGTTGATCAAAGCGTTCTTTTTGCTGCCGTCTTTACTGCTGCTGGTTGAAGATGTCTGATGATGGTTTCCCGAGCGAACTGAGAAGGCATCTGACCCATTTTCCTTATTGTTGTTATCAATGGGTAATAAGTTGCTAATTTTGTTAAGCAAGCCGCTGCCACCTGTACTATTAGTCTTGACTGAAGCAACGCTTTCTGAATCACTGTCATCGCCATCATCACCATACTTCATTACCCTCTTTCTCAATGCGTTCTTGGACCATTTGGTGCTTGTGCTGGATGCTGATATGATGGGATCTGTAATGGAGTTTCTATCCACAGACTTGACTGAAGCAGCATCCTCTTGCTGAAATTTCGTTTTGGTAGGAGGCTGTTGCATGTTAGGCGTGGATTGAGATAACTCCAATTTGCGCAACGGTGCCAATTCACCAAAGGCAGGTCTTCCATTAGGCGCCATTTCAGCAGCGGATTCAGCACGACGGTTCTTGAGCTTCAACATGTCAGCAGCAGTGGGTTTCTCATCCGCATCAGGCACAGTCGGTGTTTCCCGAACAGCTTCAGAAGTTTGAATCTTGTTGCTGGTAGAGCTGGATGAAGATGCACTTGAATGTACCGAGGAAGGCCTCTCATGCGTGATAGCCTCGTTGTCGTCAGCAACATAGGAGGGCTCGGAAGGCTTCTTCTTTTGCACTTGCACCTTGACATATTCACCAAAGATACCGCCTTTGCCACCAGAAGGACAGAATGAAGTGTCGTCCATGTTGGGCAGAACAAACGTTTCTGCCATTACCTCGCGAATTCTAGACTCAATAGCGTTGGTTACAATATTTAATTTAATCTGCTTGTCAGCGACAACTGGTGTAATCTTCCAATCCATTTCAGGCATTTCAAAAAAGGCTAGCCAATAACGATTCGTAGGAGGTGCCTTCAATTTAAACATCATTCTGCCAGCCAGTCGGTTTAATTTCACTGCTAAAATCAGATTCATGCGAATAGGCTTCATACGAGACGAGTACGACCAGTTGAAGTCTGTCTCAATTTCAATTGTCAGTCCACCTGCGTATTCAACCTTGGCCTCCACAATCACTTCGCCTTCTGTTGACAATGAGAGCAATTTGGGATCTGTAATAAAAGGCACAGAGGCGCCCACATCGACACTGCGCACATGAATTTCATCCAAAAACGTAGGTCGCTTCGTCTTGTCAATCTTTCTTCTGATCTTCATTTCCATAAAATGCTTGAGTCGGTCCGTTTTGTACATTCCCAAAAAGAGGCGTCCAAATACAGCATTGATCCACGCAGTTTCACGATGGCTAGGCGTCGATTGCACTTGGCGGATCAGTTCCTCCAACGCATCTTGGTCAAAGCGGGTGTTATCCATCATTACATACTGGGGCCCATCAGGAGGCTGATCTTGCAAGAGCTGATGCGCGTCCAATAATCCGAAATACCAATCCTCCTTGTCAATGTTGCGTCCACACGTCAGATAGAGCACACGCGTAGGATAGCATGTGATGTCGTCTTCAGGCAATGTGCAAACAGACACATTCTTTGATGTCAACGTTATGTCATCCTTGATAGCACTAGGCACCAAACGTATTACCGACGTACGATTATAGATTTCACCTTCAGGCTTGTCTTCAGGATTAGGAGGATACAATGACACTTGAAAGTCTTGCATTGGCAGTATCATCACCAGGTTCTGTTGCTTTTCTGATTCATAGCAGAACAAGGTACCGTGCTTCAACAAAGCGTACACCAGACCCTTTTTGAGATTTGCGTTGCTGTTACTGCTTCCACTTACATAGGACTGGATGCCAGATATAATGCCATTTCCCGAATTTACTTCGGGCATTTTGGGTTGATACTGGTTGGTGAGTCGAATCCAGCCTTTCTTGACAATAACATCGTCGTCTTTGGTTGCTATGTGAATGGGTTCCTTTGGTTTGGCTTTGGGCAGGAGAGGTTCAATGCCGCCTTTGATGTAGATGAACGCGGCTAGTGCAATGAAGGGCAGAAATGTAACGCCTCCAAGCACATAAATGACAATAAACCCTATAAAGGAGACCATTGCAATTTGTAAGGGAAACCAGTAAAAATAGAAAAAGAGAAGGAAAGAGATGTTGGATTCAAACATTATTGATATTTTATGTTACATTTGCATGCACATGGGATAAATATCACCGAGTTTGATCTCCGTTACATATGAACAAACGATACGTCATGTAATACAGTGCAAGGTATGCCTCGAACATTGCTCTGAATTGCATGTATAGTATGATTACAAATGAGGCATTTTCTTGCACTGAATTGAAGCATTCAAGTTTGTTATATGATTTGGAACATCATCTTTGACAACATCTTGTTTAAGATGCATTTGATTCAGAAATTTGGATCGATGTAACGCCTTCGTTGTTGTTCTATTCTCATGTGAAAGCTGAATGGCGCTACCTCAATTAAAGCGCGCATGAATCAGTTTCAAACGTGTTGCAGCGTAATCTCCATATTTAGCTGCCAAACTTTGGAGATGTATTTGATGTGTATTGGCATAACATTGGCTCTATAATTGCATAGTAGTTTAGTGTCCTGGGCAGTAGTTTAGCAAATTCTTATTAAAGACAGTAAGATGGGGAAAATGTACAATGAGAGGAGACAGGTCTTTGTTCAGATTCATCGCCTAATCTTTACACATATATTGATGTCAATTGACAGACTTGATTGTATACAGACGGTTCGCGAGACATTGTACACGACAGCACTTTACGAATCTAGATTGACCGACTACCACATCAAGATGTTGCTTTAAACTTGTTCATTGTTTATTTTGATGCTGTAGAGTATGCGATGAAAATGAGATGCAAATATATATATATACCAAGATTACATAATGATACAGTCTTCCTGGGACATACTCTTCTTCTTTTCAGTAGGGATCTTTTCCTCGGTGATCTTGCCCTGAAGTTTTTGTATGGCACGTTTATCGCCATTTTTGGCAGCCTTCTTGTACCATTCGACAGCTTGTGAAGTATCCTTTTGACAGCCAATACCTACCTCAGAAAAATAGCCCACCGCGTACTCTGCTTTCGGTAATCCCAAGTCGGCAGCACGTTTGGCCCAAATGTATGCGTTTTCATCTGATTGAGGCAAGACACCAGGGGAACCCACAAGATACCAGGCTGTCAATGCAAAGCACGCATCCCTGTTCCCTTTTTCAGCTGCAATGGTATAATAATGAATGGAAAGTGCAGGGTCGGGCTGGCAGTTGAGTTTGCCGTATTCATAACATTCGCCTAATTTGAATGCAGCAGTACCGTGCCCCATTTCAGCAGCTTGATTCAGTAGGACAACAGCGTATGCTAGATCCACAAAAATAACATTGGGAACACCGTTGATATGTAATAAGGCTAATTCGTAAATGGCATCCGGGTATTCAGGCGTGGCTGCCTCAACTGAGCGATTAAACCATTTGACAGCTTCCTTGTCGTTTTTGGACACTCCCATTTCACCATTCATGTAAGCTAAACCAAGACGATACATTGCGCCAGGATGACCTAAAGAAGCTGCTTTTCTGCAATGCATGTTGAGCATTAGGCTTCTAATGAAAGTTGCCGACTAACTTACTTGTAAAACAATACAGCTTTAGACCCATTTTGACGACATCCCAAGCCATGCTCATAACATTTAGCAGCTCTGCAAAGAGTAATATTTAAAAATCAGCATGTACAGTTTGGATATGTAAATAACCCAACAAAATGTATAAACAACAAGCTCAACAAATTTGCCAAAGCACTATCAACTTTACCTGTTGGAGGCATCCACATGAAAGTGTTTGGATGCCTGTACATAGAGAGGGAACGCCTTGTCCAGTTCAGGTTTGCCTTTTTTGCTCAGAGAGCCACTCTCAAGTAGCTTTGCAAGATTGTATTGAGCACCAGCATGTCCTTTCAAGGATAGTTGTTTCAACAGTTTCTCGGCTTCCGAAAGGTATTGATTTTTACTAGTATCATCATCTGGTAATTGTTTTGCAGCTTCAATCATGAATATAGCAAAATCGCATTGGATATCTGGGTTATTGGTTTTTTTGGCATTTTCTCTATACATGTTGATTGTTTGCGCATACGACAGCAGTGAAGCATCTCTGCCAGGCTTCAGATGCGAATGATTTAATAATTGCTCTGATTGGGTTGATGTTACACTATGTCTATTTTGATTGTTGGATGTGCTACTGCTGGATGATCTTGCAGTGTTTGGAATAGAGCCAAAGGAATCATTAACTGACGAACTTGCGATTGAGGAGCTCGCACTGTGAGTGGAAGGGTTTGGCGATATAGTGCCAGGCTGGTGAGGAGATACCTGCTTGTTGTTGAGGAGAATATCATTGGTAGGTCTTTGTAAATCAGTATTGTCAATTGAAGGGTTTATAGCTGTGATTTCTGCCATTTTTGTTGTGCAAGGAAAGGAAGAAGAAGATGACCAAGAATCCAGCTAATGATCATTATATTTATTTTAGTTTTTTCATCTCTTCTGATGTTATAAAAAGATTTTTATGTCTCATTTCAATGATATTCATTTGCACGGATGTTGTAAAATACACATTGGATTTGAATCTACGGTCACTGTGTATTAAATTGACCCGCTGTGATTTTCGTTCGTGGTGTATTTCTTCTAACAAACGTGATAAAAAATGACTGATATCGCAGGATATGCTTATGGTTTGACTGTATTTGCAGGCGGTCTGATCGGTTACATCAAAGGTAATTCGTGAGCAGTAGTCTCGAGGAGGATATACGCCTCTAACGTTGATCAAATGTCTGCAGCTCAAAGCGCAATGTCGCTTCTAGCTGGGACTTTGTTTGGTGCGCTAGCTGCTCTAGGTGCCTATCAAGTATCTAACGACCCTAAAAATGTCACCTTGGCTTTGGTTGTTAGTCTCTTGCTTCTCTACGTAATGGGCAATCGCTTCTATCGTGGTCGCAAATTCATGCCTGCTGGGCTTGTGTCATTGCTGAGGTATAGCATCATTATTTTGTCGATAACAGGACATGCACTAACATGAACGATAGTCTCATCATGGCCATTCGATATGCCATGCGTTTGCTCTAAGCGTGATCATTGCAGTTTGAAAATAAACACTCTTTATTGAAATCATTCAAATGTCACTACTCCTTGGACTGTGTTGATTACAATTTTGCCTCCATTAGGTGATGTAATATAGATGGAATCTGATGTGTCTTCAGGCGATAAATCAAGGATATGTCCGGGTGGTAAAAACATCAAAAAATTACGGATTAGCCATGGCTTTCCTTTGAACAATAAGGTAACACGTTCGAGGACTTGAGGGGTATTGATTCTATATACAAAGGTTGGCAGATTGAGCATGAGTGAGAGGGGCCAGAGCACTTACTTTTCTGATCGAAAATCTGTCATGATTTCAAGAAATTTGTTATATGTTTGTGGAGGTTCATCTGTTTTGATTTGTTCTAAATAACCCACGGCATCCTTTATTTCTACTGGCTTTGCTTCCACTACTTTAGTCTCCAATTCCTCCTTTAGATGATCCAAACTGACGTCTCCACTCAGTATCGAGGCCAACATGTGTTGCTTATCTTTACCAAACAATCCTTCAAACACACGAAGAGCCTACAACAAACAATTGAATACACATCGCTCATACAAATAGCAAGCAAATGTTTAACCTTACCTCTTCCAGATGTTTGTCATCCTTCACTTTTAATGCTGTAGGAGTTGCAATCGGTTGATCTTTGACAGTTTGCTGCTCCCCTCTCAGCACTGCTCTCACCCACATTAAAAGATGTTGAGGTTGTCCGTTCTTGTCCACCAGTTTGGCCCATCCTGTCAGTATCAGTGCTCTTTGCAAGTCATCATTCTGAGCGAATTTCGCCAACAAGGCACGTCTCCATGCATCAATTTTTCGATTGTCATGCCAATCCTCGCGCGCTTCCTCGGTGATGGGTAATTTTTGTCGCAATAGTTTGATTTGTGATGCAGGCAGTTGACTTGTGGCGTCCCCAGAATCTAAGCAGAGCTTGGTAGAAATTTGTGGCGTTTGCAAGAATTTTGAAGCGGTTAAATAGTGAACAACAGAGGCCCAAGCATGATCGTCAATGTGCAATAAAACGAGTTGGGTGGTTGATTTCGTTGGTGATGTGGCAGCTGTGGTATCATCAAGTGGAGTATTGCGCATGTAATCATCGGAAAGAATGCGACGCCAATAAGGGTACTGCGAGCCAAGGTACCCATAGCTATTGTTCATGATATCTGAAATCGGACACTGTTCACCTGTCAAAGTGCCTGGCTGCTTGGCATCTGCTTCAATATCCAGTATAAACACAGTATCTTCTCGATAATCCTGTGATATCCCGCCATAAGGTTCGGCGATAGACTGAGGAACAGGCGAGCTCACTTCCTCCTCTTGATCATCAACTATAAATTCGCTTGTAAATTGACTTATGGTAGAGGATATCGCTGATGAATTATTGGTCATATTACTTTTGTTTTCCGTTCTGGTTGATTTTTTTGGCCTTATTCTTTCGTATTCCCTTAGTTGAAGTCGGGTTTCCACCTTAAAACCTTTTGCTAATTCGAGATGGATACGAGAATAAAAAGAGGAAAAAGGTTTTTCTGGTTTGGGTTGAGTTGGGTGGGTGGAGAAAAAGACGAGAAAAAAAATTGAGAATCAAATTATCTAACTTTTCCCGATAGAATTTGCAATGACAAGAAATAGAAGCTTTTCGATTGCAAAGTAGGTTCAACGCAAAGGGGGAGTTGATGCTATGAAAGATGAGAAAAGAAAAAAAAAAAAAAAAAAAAAAAAGATTCTACCTTTAGGTGCCATAAATACTATCGCGACAAATGAAAGACACTTTCAAATCAAGCCACAGTGCGTCATTGGGATCATTTTACATTGCTTCTGATTGCTGAGAGCATAGGCATGTCCAGATCAAACAGGCACTGGGCTTTCCGTGATGAACCGCAGTAATCTAAAGGAATATCATTTGTTTTTAAAGCTGATCTACTTGTATGACTCGAGGAAAACGATTAACCGGTAAAATGCATTGATACACCATCCCAGGCCGTTATACACTTTCTCTCCATCACACTCCATCCCCAATGAAATAAGACTTACTTAACTGGTTGATTGAAATCTATAGACCCTTTATCAGAATCATTTGCTTTTTTTCACTGCGTCCAGTTCATGAAACATTGTGCAAAGCACATATCAAATGACCAAATGTTAAGTGTGAACAACAACATAAATTTTATGAGGAGTCAGGAGAAGATTTTCAAAGGCTGTTGGAAAAGGATGAGGACGCCTGTTTCTGCATTTTTAGTGAAAGCATTCCTATTTTTATTAATTATATATTCACTTTGTCTTTGAGACCCACAACTAGGCCATCTATTAAAAATGTTAGCCTATAAAAAGATCCAATTTTTGAAAATTCTCCCGTCATGTCTTCGGACCTCTGACACTTATTAAAATTGGAACGATACAGAGAAGATTAGCATGGCCCCTGCACAAGGATGACACTAAATCTCTGAGAAGGAAGCTCTACGGAGCACATTTTTTTTTTTTTGCTTTTGCATCCTTCGCTTTTGCCTTTGTCAAAAAGAGAAAATCTTTTTTACCGAGCGAAAGAATTAGGCAATTATTGAACTAAAGATATCTAATGTGATTTTTTTTTTTTTTGCCATTTTGTTGAACGGGGTGATAATCTTGCATCTTCTGGCATCAGGATCGATATTTAGATCAGTAATCTGCAATGAAAGCAAAAGACGTTATTCAGGCAAATAGGTAGTACCATTGCATTTGTAAGTCTCTCTTTAATAGCATCGCAGACATCGATTGTCTTCATGAGAAAGCATTTTGCCAGCCAAAATATATTATAACTCCGTTTAATATTCTGCTCTGATTTGATGGTTTTGGAACTTTTGAACTCGATTTGATCTATTTTGCCAAATTCGACTATATAAAATGTGATGATCATCCCGTGCTTTCTAATGCATTCTCGAGGTACTTTATAAGGCGCATCCGATGATATTTATTGTAATATAAGTTATGAACTAATTTATCGAGCAATAAATAGAAATATGAAATATGGTTTTTGACCAAAATGTCGAAATTTTGCATATGAAAGTCTCCCAAACGAGCTTTCAGGAGTTGCTTTGGATCAATAACTTCATTTTGATTCAATGTATATCATAGCAAAAGCCTTCAATTTTAAGGCCAAAAACGCGATCATTTGATTTTTGATGAAAACCATGAGGCACCCCTCATGGTTTTTGGTCGATTTTTGGCCATGTTTTTTTGGTCCTCAAAAAGTTGAGCAAAGGTGTCAGGAAGTTACTACTACTCAAGTACAATTATTTGGTGTCATTCCGGTGACTCAGAAAGGTCTACATGTCGAAATATGAAGGCTTGAAAACTGTCAAATTTGGTTATGTACTGCTTTATAGAGTTTATTTACACGGCATAAATCATCTCTTTGGTAGCTGAAATCTTCTGGATAGGAAGTTCTGTAGCTTGAGCAATCTTTAATTTGAATAGAAGAAATGTTGATTTTGGTAAAGCAGATTCTTGCAAATTTTGATGAGCTATGTTGCTGGTAAGCTTATTAACAATGGAAATGAAAACCCAAATTTACTGCTTGAATACTATGGTTTTGCACCTTCGCCTTGCTATGGTAAAACCCTCTTATAGGTCAATGTTACCAAATGTTGAATTAGGTGCAATTTCGCTACGCTCGATGATGGTGTCGCCCTACGGGCTGTCGCCGTAGACATTTGAAATCCGTAATAATAAAAATCTGCTGTATAAGTAGACTTTAAACAATCAATTATTAATTTAGGGAATGAGGAGAAATCAATTTTGCTGCTTGAATACTACGGTTTTGCATATTCGCTTCGCTACGGTAAAACCGTCATTAAAACCGTCATTAAAACCAATGCTATCAAGTATTGGATTCAATATCTGATTACCATGGCTTTGCACCTTTGCTTCGCTACGGTAGCCCCCCCCCCATAAATCAATCCTATCGAGTATTGAATTAGGTGCATTATTATGTTCTTGTAGTATTTCAGTATATTATATGATGATGATGGTATGAAAAGATTTTGACTCTTTCTGTATAGCAAGCCCTAAATTCGGTCGGGTATGAGGTTTTATTGACAGTATTAGTAGAGCAATATCTCATTGCTACTACAGTAACAAAGATTTGTGCAAATCGGGTAGATGGCTCAGAAGCTAGACATGAATCAAGACAAGTTGGATACGTTTTACAACATTTGCATCAATAAATACAATGCGGCCCTCGACTCAGTGTAGCTTAACCACCTTACTCAAGGAACAACTCTAAGGGCCAAATGCAGCATACCAATTGCACTTGCGAAAATAAGGATTTCTTGGAAGATAAATAACAAATTTACTTGATTTACGCCACAAACCATTTGTGTTGCTGATCAACGTTCCTGACTGTATTTGAGCTGCGATAAACTACTAAAATTAGTGGCCGTGCCAAGAAAAATCCATCTCTCATAACTATAAACCTGGATCGGGTCGCTTCATCTATTTCTTGTGTGTTTGATGTGTAATTACTCTATAGGACTTCTGTTGAAAATGCGATATTACGCTTAAATCAAAGGCAGCATTTGCTCTCGTAAAAGCTTACAATGCTGCTCATCGAGCATGTAATAAATTGGTATTTTCGTGCTAGAATAATAAAAAATCTGAGGTATATACTTTCTGATCTATATATATATATAATCTATTGATGTTACATTTCAGGGTACAGGCAATAGCTGAATGGTAATTTAAAGTCTTATTTGAGTTAGAGTTGAGCTAAGCATGTGGGTTAGCGTACAAAGATAATCTTTTAAACATGCATCATATATCATCACAGATTTTGAATAAGGACTAATTATGAATGCCGTCTTCTCTCCTTTCTGAAGTACAATGATTCCTTGCCATTAATCTTGATGACTCTGAAGATTGAAGAAGAAGCCCCCTTGCTGTTTTTCACACAGTTTAGATTCTAAATGACGCCATGATGTGTTCAATTTGTTTTCATATACTAAAAATTCATCGAGTTATACAATTCTTTTTCGATCTGGAATATATTTCTGATTTCTACCTTCTGAACTCATATTGAGCTTTTGCTCCTAGGTCCAAAGAGAAAGATATTCTTCCATCCCGAATTTTCATATCTGTTTATCCTGTCTAGAGTTCACATAGATCTACCGATGTTTGTAAAGTATATGGGCCGAAGAACAGTTAATAGGCAATATAAATCAGCCATGGTAGAAGAGGTGTTAAATTTAGAGAAGGCAATTTTGGTAGTATTTGCGATTTCTCCGCCATAAATGATTGGAAAATCTTGTAGATGATACTGGGGAGGGGGGGATCGAGAACAATGACAAAGCCAATGCGGATAATCTTTTATTGCGCTTCAGAGCCATGCAGAGTTGCATTGCTGTATTCATTTGCAATCAAGACATGAGTTTTTCTTCTTTTGCCCCTTTATTATATGCTGACATGTTACAAATGTTGATCTAATCTTTGAAATCCATTATCTTTTAGTTGGTAAATATGGAATAATTGATTAGGAGAGCTTAAATGTGTGTCAATCGTGTCATACAGCAGCACCACGCAGGATCATTACTGCAGTATGATATACCATCCTTTGTGTAATTCTGTACGAAGCAGATGGAAGCTGCGGCGCATATATAAGCATATCTTGCTCCAATAATTAAAGAAGGAAACAAATAATACAACGGTAATGCTTTGAGGCCCAGCTAATGATATGATTGTGTACGACCCTCAGCAAGGCGTGAGGAGAACGAGATCAAGAAAGAGAAAAGAGAGATCAATGATTTACATGCAAAGACAGCGGTGCCATTGATTACATATCAAGTGTTTGTTTGCCTTACAGCTGTTCATATCATACCAAGAAACCCAACACACTGACCTTGGCATGTCGAGTCGGATAAATTGATTGCACAATCATGGTTTCCTCTTTTGACGACAAGGCTTTGAATTATTAAGCGAAGAATATCGTCGTCTTTGCATTTTCGTTTGACTCATACACCCAAATGCACACATACCAAATGGATTGGACTATTTTGGTCAAAATAGATGTTATGTGTAGAGTCATTTGGCCCATGGAAACCATTATCAATGAGGGGAAGGGAACGTGATACAAAGACCAATATGAAATCTTCAACTGGAACATCAAATCACAAGTTTTATTCTCTCACTTGGCCAGATAAACAAATCTTTATATTACCCGGCGGGTAAGACCGATCTATAGTATTTGTGTGTGCATAAATTTGTTCCAGCCAAGATCGAACCGAAACATCAGATCAAGATATTTTAAAAGGCCCTCGCTCTTGACCAACACTATACCGTCAAAGAGCAAATAATGATCACCTTCCCTGCTTGTATTATCCCCGGATCAGAATTATCGAGCGATTTTTTAAATTTCTGATGTGGGATCGAGCCATATGAAGAGAAAGAGAAACTTGACTCGTGTCTTTCCTTTTTATCATGGATTGCGTGGCACATCTTTTTCTCAATTTATATAATGCAAACGTAATGTGTTGTGGCTAAAATGATTCCGGCCACCCAAATACATTCGGGATGTCGGGGTGCTTATTAACCTTGGCCAATGATCATATATCCATCATGTCCTCAGAAGAACAAGAAAGAAGGAATGGCCATTCATGTGAGAAAACTGGTTGCTTTAGTGTAAATCAGATGAAAATTAAGACGTAGAAAGCGTTTGTATTTATGTTATACGAGAAGGCAGTAAGGAGGCGTTGTCAAGGTTGCTCTAAAACGATGGGGGGGGGGAAGATTGGGAGCAAGACACATTTTAATTATTAATATTCAGGAAATCATTACTAATTGATGTTTTCGATCTGCTTACACATTTACTTGCTATTGCAGTGCAAATCAGTTTTTATTGTAAAATTAGTAACAAAATGGGGCTTAAAATAGCAAATCACAATAGGCTGTATTTGCTATCATTTACGAGCAACTCACTGATCTGTCCAAAACACATGAAATACTCGCTAGATCAAACAATATTCATCATATAACATATAATTGTTGAGGAAATTCGCTCATCGTTGAATCGCCGCCACGTTCTAAACAATCTTTTCCCGAATAAATCCAATGGAATTTCCGCCTAATGATGTAGATTCCATGTAGAAGTAGTGATTACAGAGATTTTGCAGAGAGCCTTCCTTTTTTTTTTTTTGACTTGGATCAGCATAATATTGGTTGATCTGGGAGATAGATAAAGTCAACATTCTATAGTTTGACACACTCTCTAGATGCCCTTTCAGATCAACCAAAGCAGATGTTCTATACGAGTTCTCCGAGAGTGAGTATGATTTAATGATGGAAGGTATTTAGCCGTATAATCTATTGAACCATAGTGAATCGGCACCGGCTCCATCGTACACCGGGCAATGAAATTCCGGAAAAAGAGAGAAAGCGTAGCGTTTTACAATATAACAGATTTCTTGATCTGGCCTTATTTGTTGTATAAAAGGGCCATCTTTTTCTTTCAGTTTTATTTCTTTTCTTTCTTGGATCCATTCTTTTTTCTTACTTTTTCTCTTTTCCTCCATCACGGCAACAACACATACCTTTTGTAAGTCTGATATGAGAAGCTACTCTCTAATCCCACATGAAATTAATCTCACTCTGTATTAGCAGTCTATCAAACTCCCAATAAAAAATATAGAATTCCTTCATTGTATCAATCAAAACAGTTAGAATATGAATATCTCAGATTTGAATGCACCTGCAACACCACCCTATGATTATCAAAACCATGCCACAAACACAAACAACAAGAATTTCCAAGATTTGTTTTTCGATCAGCCATCTCGCCACAGTAGTGAAAGCAGTAGTGAGCATAGCAGCCACAGCGTAGCTAGTGATGCTGGTAACAACGGCAGCAGTGAAACAACTCATAGTGCATTTCGTCGTGTGTCACCCATGTCGATGCCCTCACCACCTGAACTGTTGATTGACTCATCTGAAGACGAAGACAACTTTACATACAGTGATGCAGCAATGGCATTAGCCGCCTCTCTTCCTCCATCATATTTAGCGTCATCGCAAACATCGCCATCATCGCACTCATCATCATACACTATGCATCACAAACGAAAATCAGTACCTCATCGATCACCATCGAACATTGTGGATCACAAAAGTGTTGTATTTCAAATCAGCGATAACTGTACTCCTAAAATCCTCGGTGGTGGTAATCGTGGAGTCCTTTGGTCTCTGCGTCAACGTGTTTCTATGGCTAGACAATCTAAGAGATCGACCCGTAGCTACAACTACAAGAATAGACTCTCGGCGCCTCATCCTCAAAGACGCGTGAGACCTATGCGAATCCAGATACCCAGACCTCAATGGTTCAGAGACAATGCCTTATATGATGATCTTGTCTCACCTGTAAACAATGATTGGCAATCAAAGAAATCTATTCAACCTATCGTCATTGTACCAACTAGCAATTTGGAATCTCTCGCTCCTGCTGCTTCAGTGAATATGACCACGACCGGTGCCGGTGCTACTACTACTACATGGCAATCGAACACCAAGAAAACACACTTCGCCGCCGAGCGCAAGAAATCTGCAGCTGTTACAAACGGTGCGTCTGTTGCTACCGCTGACTCTGCTGCAACACCCCGTCGTAAAAGCTCCCATCATACTACTTCTGGTCGTCCATCTCGTGTAAAGGGACCTTGCCAAGCATGTAACGAAACATCTGATGGCTGTATGCGCAAAGCCTTCAACTGGCCTTTTCCCACAAGTACCATCTTCAATGATAAAGGAAAGCCTTTTGTCTATCTTTGCAACAAGTGTGGTCTCCGTTATAACAAGAGTGGTGGCTGTGTATGTCGCAACTGTCGCTGGGTTCTCTGTAAAGAAGAGAAGCGCAAGGCAATGCAATTGATAGATCAAATGCGTCGCTCCCGTCCTGATGGCAGAGTTGATCCTGAAGAAGATATCGAAAACTTTGTATGTACGCCCAAATATTGGAACTGTAGCCGCCCTTGGAAGGTTGGATGGGTCTTGAACAGTCAGCATGATGATGAAGATGATGAAGACACAAATATGGCAGATCAACAACAACAATCCCCTTCTATGAGCGAAGCTACTCTTTAGATCCCCTATGTGTTTATTGAAAAAAAAACTTGTTTATACTATGTCCCCTTTTTTTATCCCTCCCCCCTTTTGCCTTTTCCTCCCTTTTATGTAGAAACTATACTTTTGATTCTTTTCGACACACACACACACACACACACACACACACTCTCTCTCTCTCTCTCTCTCTCTCTCTCTACTGTACATATCGAAAACTCCAAATAAATGACTCTTGACGAAATCAAATTATGGTAATTTACTTTTACCCATTCACCATGGGCGGATCAATGGATCGAATATTTAACCGAAATCGCCAATATATATGGAAAAACATAAAATGCGAGACATTGTGAGAGATATGTTCCATGTTCCATCTGGTAGAGAGAGCATGTTCTTTTTTTTTTTTTGGGCCACACCAGCATTTCAGTTGATTTGCTCTTCTTGTGCACGAAATACTTGGCTAAAGGGCTCTTCCATCTGGTTTTGGGTTAAATAATGTGGTAAAATGGTTTTATGTTTATGTGATACGAAATCGTTACAATTATGAGCTGAGATCAAGAAAATGATTTCATTTATACAGCCTTTTTTAGACTGCAATATAGAGTAGCGTAGAAATGGAGCAGGGTATTCTATATTTACCTTTACCAAGATTACAGCATCTGTTTTTAATCTTCTTGAAAATATATGGTGTATGTTGCATAGATGATTTGCCAATGCGATTATATATAGAGGTTCATTCGTAATCTCATAGCGCAGGCAAATGTGTCCTTCTTGCTTTTCTCTGATTTGTAGGCCGCGTAATTTGATCCACCATTTTCTCCAGCTTTCCTTAGTTTGTGTCACATTTTGCCTCGAAGGGTTATCTAAACAAATGCTGTCTTTGCCCAACACGTGGAATCGACATTCGAATTTCCCAGCTCATCTGCATTTTCTTCCTCTGGCTCAAAGTTACCTTGGGTCCTCAAAAATTGGGTCCTTTGGCCTTCTGTCTGCATTCACGATAAGATGATTTCGGTTTCACTGAGAACTACAGTCGCAGATTTGCTTTTAGGCACATTTTACGAGCTTCCAATCTCATAGATCAGGCATGCTTTCAGATGATCTTTGTATTCATTGTACTTGTATTTTTATTATAAATTTATCATTATTGTACACATTTCCCTCCATCTTTAAGCCTTGTTGATCTTGATAGTGGTGGGACCTTGAATTCCAGTAACAACAATGTTTTTATCCTTTCCAGCATCTTGGATTTCGTGCTTAGCATTACCGCCGCTTCCAACGATAGAAACGGTAACACCATTGGGATACATCTTGCTGGAAATCATCCATTTGCATTCACCAGAGCCGTCAAGGTTGCAAACATACTCTCTCTTGGCATGATCAAAGATCTCTGATTTGAAGTCAGCGGTGCATTCAGTGGTAGTGGGTGCAAAACCGTGTTCTTGGATGTACTTGACGACAGAGCCAGCGCAAAGGGGAACCTGTTGCTGGACGTTCTTTACAAAAGAAGTAGGAATGGAACCAGCCAAATCAACTTGAGTAATATATGTAATGTGAATGCCAGCATCTGTTTTGAGGATCTTCCAGCCAGAGATCATCAAGTTAGCACGAACACATCCAGAGACTGCAGGAATGGAATCGTCTTCAACAGATGCCATGACAACATAGCACTCGTCTTCAGAGATCTCGCGTAGAGAGGTAGCAGCCATGTCACGGGGACTGATGGGCCAAGGAGTCTTGACCTTGCACCAGAACAAGGATTCAAACTTGCTGTACATTTGCTTGATTTCAGAGGTATCATACTTTTCATCCCCTATCAACCATTGAATGTCAACTACCAAATACCTTTCAGTGCTTTTAGTTTTCATGATAACTTACAAATCTTTCTACAGCCAGGCATGGTAGCAACAGATGCGACTTGTTGAGGAGTGAATTCATGACCAACGATATCAGTTTCGCCACGAACGATGGCAACAGGGCTGGAGTCAACGGTCTTGCGATAAAGCTTGACACCGTCCTTTTCTTGACTGAATTCCCAACCTTCCAGAGAGCTGGCAAGTTGCTTCAAATCAGACAAAGCCTTTCTGGTAGTTTCAGCGTGGATGTTTTGTGCAGTCATTGTAATATGTAATTGAGAAGAGTGAAGAATGAAAACGAAAAAGAGTGAGGAATCCGTGTGGCATTTATATAAACTACACATCCATGTTAATTATGTGTAACTGATCATGTACGCATACCAGAGTGCGGGGTAAAAAGCGACATAAAAAGGAATTGTAGATGCTCTTGTTTTTTTCTCCACAAAGTTGCATGTAATACAACGCCTCCTAGACCAATAATGAATACACTGTCATGTGAAATAAACGGTCGAGTTGGAAGAGTTATACTTTCATATGTCAATTGCATGGTGATGTAGGATATGTGTGTATACGTGTGTAAACCTTAATGTTTTTTGTGCATCTTGACTAACTCACAGAGGTAAAATCAAAAAGACTACTAATTCAAGATGGATAGTTAGTTTTGTGAAGATGACATTTAATCTACAAGGTGCCATTGATATCAAAAATCGAGTGTATTTCGTACATGCAACAGCAGGTTTGGGCGTATTGCAGTGTCTGTTGCCATTGACGTGGGAGTTTTTTTTTTTCTGGTTTAGTTCTCGGTACAGTTCCTTATATTCTACAATGTTTAATTGTCCACTACAGGACGAGTAGACAACATGCACATTGATAAAATTAAAAGTAAAATGACGCATATATATAATTCCCAAATCACGTACGCTACGTACTGCTGCTTGGGATTGAGCGGATACAGGGATCAGAATATATGAATTCAAGGAGACATCAGTTCACTGATGATATCCACAGTGGCAATTAAATTTGTTTTCCAATCTTCACATGTTAAACACCATCCACTAGAACGATGCATCGTTTTTAGTAGCTATTGTTACCTAGCAGGCTGTATAGCGGAAAAGCTATTCCTGGGAAAGAGACAGAAAGGCTAATTATTAGTCGGTCGTTCATATTCTGCTACCAAACTAATAATGGTATTGAAAATAGTATCATGAGAGCATACAAATTGAGTCCTCAGTTGATAATCATAGCTCGAATCATTATGTATCAGATTTTTGCAGGATTTGCTACTATTTGAACAGTTGTCAATGTCGATACCACCGTTATTGTATGCTTACATCTCTGCAGTATATTCATGGCAAAAGTGACATTGGGGAACAAACATGTTTTCAACAAAGACTTTCGTATCTTTGCTGAATACACCTCTTTCAAATAATAGCTGTCAGTACTGATACGTTTGTAAACAAGAGTACGGTACAAACTTTATTGCCTCTTGACTAGAAATCTTGCAATCTATCCTTGAAACCCGTACGTGATACGCTTAAGATTTTTATTTACTGAGCACAATCCAGCACTTAAATCAATCAAAATATATAAACCCGTAAGAAGAGCTAAACACTGTAGTCAGATTAATCTACGGTGCTCTTCAATTGATAATGCCCTTCTTATGGACTTTTAACAGCGTAGATTATCCCCATCCTAAGCATGATATTAAGACGACCACCAGCCAAAAACTATTCAAGCTCAGACTCAACATTTTTCTTAGAATAGAATTGGCCAAATTTTGTTTTTTTTCCGACCAATTTGGTCTATTTTGTAAGTTTAGACTATATAAACTGTGATACCATCTTATACTCCCTTAAGCTTTCCTGGAGTACTTTTTAAGGCGCATCCAATAATGCCAAATAAGAGAGATGTTATGAATAAACTTATTGAGTAAAGTTGGAAGATATGAAATGAGGGTTTCGATCAAAATGTTGAAAATTTCCATATAAAAAACTTACAAGCAATGCTTCAGGGGTTGCTTTGGATAGAGGGGATCATTTTGATTCAATATATACCTTAGTAAATGTCTTCAGTTTTGCGGTCAAAAACGCAATCATTTGAATTTCGATGAAAACCATGAGGGGTACCTCATGCTTTGTGGGCGATTTCTGATGATATTTTTTTTGGTCTCAAAAAAGTTGAACGATGGTATCAGCAAGCTAGTTCTAGATCAGAGAGATATTTTGGTGCTGTTCTGGTGGTTTAAAACGGCTTCTAACACGAGAAATCATGGCTCAAATTTATTCAGATTTCGCTGTGTTTTGCACGCGTTTGGGTAGTAAGAGGCCATGCAAGTATGCTGTTTGGCTATCTAAGAATTGCTTCGGTTGATTCAAGTGAAAGATATCGCAAAAGTGCCATATCCATAGTCATAGCTTGTTTATGGAGAGATCTCGCGGCATCTTGAAAGATTGAAGGTAAAACTCCATATCATATTAGTAGACTAGTGTAGGTAATCTCGATACTAACTCATTACGCGCTGCTTAATTATACTGAGGTAAAAGTCAAAGGAGGAAGCTGGCTAAGCATTCATTTCTACTGGAATAACATCTAGTCAACAAGCAGTGTCGACTATAATACATGATGTATAGCATTGCAAGTGCGATCACATTGACATACTGGCATTTTCACCCAGAGAATGGCGTATACCTGAAGATCAAGAATTTCGCAAACATCACCAACTGCTAAAGTTTATCAAACAAAACAGGGTTTATACATCCCTCAATCAGAACACAAACATGTCGCTGATCCACTAATACATCATGCCCAACTGCAGCTAAGCAGCAACTTGGGGCTGATAATTATGATACATGTAAATATTTATTTGTGAAGCAACATAATGGGGGGAGATAAAAAAGAAAAAGAGATAATAGTATCGATATAATGGATAGCAATAGAGTAATAGTATAAAATTAAAGGTTGGGGAGGGGGTATTAAGCTTGCTCGATAATATGTGGTTCGTCGCACATTATATCGTTCTTCATCATGACAGGATTCATGGGAGTAGTAGGTGACCCAAAGGCATTCCAAATTCTCGAATAGACACTGGATCTTTTGCTGTTGTAATTGCTGCTCATGGAAGTCATGGATGTGGTGGAGGATGCATAGCTTTCTGTGGATTCTCTTCGTTCACGCGGTGATGTGGGTGTGCTTACTCTATTGGCCAACATGGATAAGGATGCGGTGGAGCTGCGTTTGTTATTATTTATCATGGAAGAGGATGCACGTCGATGCTGTTGCATAGATCCTCTAGGGCTAATGATACTACAGCTGCTTGTCGTGATGCCAGCAGAAGACTCTAATTCAGCCAACTTGACCTTGGTCTCTGCTAGATACTTTTCTAATTCACGGCAGCGTAATTCACTCTCGACAAATTTGGTCTTGTACTCCTCTTCTAATGTATTCTTGCCAAGTTGTAAGGTGTGTCTTCTGTTCAATTCCCTGAGCGGTTGCTGCTGTTGCTGCTTCTTTGTTGATTGTCCAAATAGGATGGAGTGTGCTGCAAACACCTCTTCTGAGAAGGTATCTCGAGGCATGAAATAGGCTTTCTTCTCTTCTTGCAATTCTTTCACAGTCTGCTCTAATCTCTCGACTTCTTTGCTCAGGGCCATCTTTTCAAGCTGCAGTTCAGCAGATGTTTTTTTAGCCACCATAGCCATAGACAGTACTTGTTCTTGATCTTGGAAGATATGATCACGCTCAGTTTGGACGTCTTCTAGCTCGCTTTCCAGGTAGATAATCTTTTGCACAAGCGCAGTTTGAGATTCCTGCATGGATTGCAATTGACCAGTCAATTCTTGGCAATGATGATAAAGAGATTCATAGCGTTGCGACATTTCGAAATGATCCAACTTGACAGCTACTAGCTCAGAGGTTACATTTTGCAGTGCAGCATCAAGCTTCTTTTTGTTATTGACAGCATCATCGTTTTGATCCATTGTTTGTTGTTGTTGTTGCAAGAGATCGACGGCATCAGCACCAGCATCCATATTGGCTTGCTTTTCAAAATCAAGAGCTGGAGCCAAAGCACCAGCAATCAAGGCGCCAAAATCACCTGTATCACGAAGTGAGGCAACGAACGAAGTGTATTGATCCTGGCGTCTCTCCTTCTTGCCATTGTCATTTGCAGCAGCAGAAGCCTTTGAGACAGTAGTGGAAGCATTAGCAGTGGTAGTTACAGCAGCAGCAGCAGCAGCAGCAGCAGCAGCAGCAGTAGTAGTAGTAGTAGTAGTGGTGGTGGTGGTGGCGACGTTGTTGTTGGATTCATCACTATCAGCGTTGTTGGCAGACACTTCGGCCAGTCTAACCTTGTACTTTTTGACTCTCTTCTCGAGGACGACATTGCGCTTGGCTAGTTTTGTTTGAGCAGCTTCTTGAACCATTTCATGCATCTTGAGAGCTTTGTTTTCTTCTGACAATGCAGCATGTTCCTTTTGCATTTGAGCCATGGCAGCGACAAGATCTTCCACTTGCTGCTGTAATACAGGAACTGTTTGTGTCAATGCATGTCTTTTCTTGTTGCTTATGCTAGATGCACGAAAAACATGACGCTGGTCTGAAATAGCAATGTTGAGAGACACCACGTCCTGGATAAAGGCATCACCGTCCTTGTCGTCAGCATATTCCAAGGAATGCATCTGTTGCGAGCTTAGAAAGACCACGATCTCCTCCTGACTATGGAGAGCCAATAAACGCTGCTGATTCTTTCCCAAGAGTGCCATGGTTGTCCGTATCACAGTTTCGAGTGCTCCTTCTAGGAAAGCAATATCGTACAAGCGCATCATGTGCTGCTGAGATGAAATCAAACAGGAGCATAGTGTTTTATACCACATGGCTGCATACATATGAGGCTGTACTGACAAGCGAGAAAAGTGATCATGTAGCTGAGGGTGCTGCTGCATCAAGATGGACTGGAATTGCTGCAGACAGAGATCAAGACGTTTTCCTTCCATATTATAAGTTTGGTGCAATCTATTGAGAAAGAGGATATTTTAGCAAAATGTGTAACTGTTGCTTCTTTATTTACTCACCTGACAAACAATGCAAAAGCTTCAATTTCTGGCATCTGTCAACTTACATTAGCAAATCAAAACGACATCCTACGCATGAAAGCGGCTTACATTTGCTAAAATTGGGGACACCAATCCCACCATCCCTTGATAGTAGCCTACTCGGGTATCATACAAACTATACGCTTTCAGCAGGCGACTAGTACTTTCTTGCTGATCTACAGACAAACATTGTACATCGTTATCGATCATGGTATCATACGGACTGGGCTGGTTCATTAAATGCGAATAGGAACGAGCGACATCGGACTCGGATGATGTTTGACAGATAGCTTGCCACACCTGGCCGCGAACATGGTCAGGAATGCCATGATTTGCCACCATGTATTTGAGTAGATCAACTCTCTCCTTAACAGACGTTGCATTTTTAATGAAATTTTCCCAAAAAGGTTCAGGCGTCGTGAGTGAATTTAATAGCGGTGTAACTGTATTAGTGTTGATTACATCTAATTTGGATAATCTCTCCATCTGCTTGATGATATACTGATCAGAAACCTAAGTATGAAGAATAATAGATTTAGTAAAGGGATGTCTAGAACGAGGGGGGGGGGTTACAAAAGGAGGCACAGAGGAGGTAACGAGCAAAATGATAGTGTGTGTGAGAGAGAGAGAGAGAGAGAGAGAAAAGGAGGGAGATTTAGCTGCATAGAGCAATACTGCTGTAACGAGGGAAAACAGGGGATAAAAACTTACTTTAGTATCAGCATCAAGAGAATACAGTTGAAGTGATGCAGGGATGCTATTGTTGTTGGTTTTACGTCTCTCGGCAAGAGTGAGCGAGGTGGATTTCTCTGGATAGACGAGTTGTGTATTGGTTCTATTATCGGCCGATTTGGAGACTGTAGGACGTATCATGTTAACCTGGTTTGGTTGGGTTTGGACCAGCTCAAGTTTCTTGAGCATTTGAGATGTTAATTCCAAAGAATTATCGGCTGGTTGAGTAACAGTTGCCATGCCGCTTAAATAGTTGAAAGAAGCAAGAGAGAAAAAAAGGGTAGCGTATAAAGAAGCAAGCTTTTAAATTGAGAATATTAAGCTTTGTAACACTTGTATTACAAGACAAAAAGGAACCAAAAGAAAACAGAGGAAAAAGAGAAAAGCGAAAAAGAGATTGCAACGATACGATACAGGCTTATATATACAGTATGTTTTATATCAAGAATCAGAACGAAGCACTTGCAAGCCAACAGAATCAAATGATTCATAATCTTGTTTTCATGCACCCCTTCAAGTGATATACACAGAGCAATGGAGATTCATGTATACTAAAACCACTTGTTTATGTATTCACATGTAAGATTTGGACAAGGGGGAAGATCACTATTTTCTATTTGGGTATGATCTCTTTCTTTCTTTCTCTCTCTCGCTGCTCATTTTTTGCGTAGACAATTACTGCACTTAATCTTGCTGTTAGAAAGACAAGAGAAGAGGTGACACACACATCATTACCAAGACCGGAATAAAAGGGAAAACAAAAAGATAGCAGCGTCAACATTGCTAGCTGAACGAAGGAATTATGCATTGTTATTATTACTGATAGTTAGCTCATCGCATGTGTATATGATACTATAATTACAACTGAATGTGCGCCATGTAAAACCATGTCAATTTACATTCAGGGCGGGTACCATGGCAACGAGTGACATGACAGATGTATCCTCCATCTGAAATGTGGATAGTGTGCAATCACCCAACAGCCAAGTACGTATACTATAAACAGTAGCACAGACTTTTCTGAGCCATTGAGTTTAACCTATTTGCGTATTTGTACATTAGGTTTGCTTTTTAGTTTAAAAAAGATGAATGATCTGCTGAAAACTGGAACGACAACAGAGATCAGGGGGGGGGGGCAGCAGCATATCATCAAAACAGAAAAATAGCTGCTTCCTTCACCACAATTCGTAAAGTCTAGATGTAAGCGTTTTATCGCATTTCTGAGTTATTATAAACAGCAATGCACCCCTTTTTCTTTTTATAAATACTGAAGATGCTTTGTTACTGTAAGGAAGGATATACTATATCGTGCTTTCATCTCAAACCCAACATTTGTATCAATGCATGACATTGTAGACGAACGCTTTCTGCTCTTCTAAACATCTCGATTTCAGCAAAAAAATCTTCAACGTACCTATCAAGCAGATAATTTGTATAGCCTATTACTCAAATAGATCATCGAACAAACCTTGCTTTACTCATTCAGGATACATCGGCCAGCACCTGTAGGCAAACTTACCCCTGAACGGAGTTCAATTTCGAACCATCACACCATTATTGTATCATTGTCAAGCATCTGTGAAGCTTGACAAAAGTTGATATACGAGAAGAAGAGCATACTGCCAACACACAATTGCATTTGGTATAAGCATAAGTGTCAACATCATATACACGCAGTAGGCACGACTATAATCATGCTCAGAAAAGGAGAAAAAGCGACAGCTATAACCGCGGAAGCGGAACCCAATATTAGGAGATCAAGAAACTTGTATTAATGGGTGCTGCCTGTATTCCTGAAAACATACATATCTGTTTACACAATCACCACCAGAGCCTGCACACTGATTACAAAAATCTTGATGACAACTATGCTATTACAGCATCTGCGGATCAAAGGTCTTTAATGTATTACAAAATAAAACTTGCAAATGGTGCTGGATATTACAAGTCTATAAATACATTTTGCAGGGTTCATTCCATTGATCCTTCATTGAGCGTCTTTCTAAGCATCGCAAGTGTCAAGAAATGTATAGAGGGGGGTTTTTTTTAGCTTATGTTTTACTTCTGAATTGACACTGGAACAAGATAGAATAAAGCGGTCGTTTTGAAAGGTGATACATAGCACAACTGCATTTCAACAAATACAAAGCCAACGCAGTAAAAATTAAATTCTATCGCCTTTGATTCCTAGCAAAATTTTATTCAATCCTCTTGATAGAACAAACGAGAAAAAAATCGATTCCACGCCTTTAGTCTGCCTTCCTTGCGCGCACTAAATGAGAAAGTTGAATGAGCTGCACTGCCCTGCTGACCATGATCCATCTCTTACCATCATTGCGAATAGGGATCTTTAGGCCCTGCTTAGCAAATGCCTTTGATAGTTCTGTAGATTCTGTCATTCCAGGAAACTTTGAGAGAAAGACAAGTGAGTAATCGAGCACATTTCACTCACAAGCATCATGCGCAACACACCTTCTTTGCAGAATACACGGTAAATGGGTCAGAAAACACTTGCGCAACAATCTTTGATTTCGCATTCTCTTGGAAATCGGAACTGTACAAATCAAGTCAATCTTATCATCCACACAAGATTTTTCATGGGTAACTTTACTTGACCAACTTCATCAAACTGAAACGCAATGTATAGCGTCCTTCCGTGCGGATACTGAGGTCAGGAAATGCAAAATACAAGCCCTGTTCTCCCTCTGGGTTCTTTAGCAAACTGGGCGAGCTGACAAGCGATCCCATCAGGACTCGAGTGCATTTTGGTGGATTGGAAATGATATTGCGCTCTTCTGAACGGTCGTCGGACCACAAGGTCACATGAAGTACAAAAAAAGGTATCTGGAGCATTCTAAACAGAAAAAATAAGCAAAACTCCAGCAAACCTAGTATACATGACTCTCATCGAAAAACATACTGAACATCAATGGGAGAGTCTTGTCCTTGCTGTTTGACGATCAGCTGAACAATGGGTGGCGGATCAATGGGTCTTCGATCTTTCTCGCCGAATCCACACATGCGAGCATGAAGGGGCTGTTGACATACAACAAGTTCGTAAGTCCTGCGCATAGTTGTGTGAGAGAATTGCACACTCTAAACGCTCGCCAAATTACCTCTTTTCACGCTCGTCCAGTCCTATCGACTTGTAAATGGTGTTCTCATTGCTCTTGTGATAGTCGTCTACTGCTGATGAATTGTCCTGCTGTTGGTTGTTGTTGTAATAACCCGATTGCTGATAGCCGTCTGCTGCATAGTTTTGCTGAGGCTGTGCATTGAATGTGTCTCGGTTCATCTCTTGTATGTCGAGAAGGATCCAAAGCACAAGAGAATGATGGAAAAAGAAGAGAAGAAAGAAGAAGAGGAGTAGAAAAAGGTTAATTTGGACTTAAATGTATCTCCTCCGGTCGGCCTAATTCTTCCAACCAGACTAGACATTCCGGCTCAAGGCTTATTTACAGTAGGCGACACATGCATGTAGTTTAAACCAGCTCTAGTTTTATTTACGATACTTATTCAGGCTTTCCAATTAAACCTCTGCCCCAGTTTTGAATCACTCGAGAACATTGCTGTCTAATATGTTCTGACTTTTTAGAGTTCCAAAGGCCCATCGCATCCAATTGTCTGCCCTGATAGACACATTGCTCCCAGTAGAATTTAGAATACAGTCTCTTTTCAATGACGCTCTGCACAATCATGGTTAGTGAGGTAATAATTCAACAAATCAACAACTTACATCCAGATCAGATATAGCGGTCTTTTTATTGCTTGGCTTCTGAATAGCAAAATCATGAGGCAACACCAAGAAATCGTTCCCTGCCAAATAGCTGGATAAGAGACAGGCTGACTTTTTATCGACAAATCGCTCAGAGCACCAAGGCTGGACCGTCTTGCTTTGAATCACAACCGGCTCATAGTCCATGGTGTAATCAGTAACAGCATACAGCGCATCGGCCTTCTTCCACTTTTTGAAATCTGTAGGTCCTTGATTCAACTCGAAATGAGCATCATATAAACCAAGTAAGTGCTCTCCCTCGGCTAAACCGACCAATTCCTTCTTTGTCTGTGGTATTTGCATTTGGTTCGACTGTCGCTGATCATTGTATTGAAATGTGGGGATCACTAGCATGTCGCCTCGGCTCAACAATTGTGTGTATTCAGCTTGGTTCTTTTCCAGTGTTTGACGCAAGTCAGTGGCAATGACGATGTTGAATGGCACATCAGACACGTGGTCAGTTCGTGCATAGATACGGGCCAAATTTCGTTCGACGTTGACGGGGACCATAATAGATGCCATCTTTTCAATGCCGTTGGGTGTCTCCACAAGATGAAGATCGACGTTTTTGAATAGTTCGGGTTTGGATTTGTATTCAGCTTCGATGGTGGTCAAGATGGCCTTGTCGTTTTTGGAGGAAACGTGTAGCGTAGCAGAGATGGGTCCGTTCCAGTTGTTTGCCATTTGAACGAGGTCCTTCCAGGTGTTGGGTGTTGTAGTGACAATGAATGATACTTGCTGTGGTTCAGGCACGTTTGTTGCTCTTTGCCAGAAAGGTTGTACGTATTTTAGTGCGTCATAGTGACCTTGTGCAAACAGTTTTGACATTTTCAATCCATGCGACATGTTACTGAGGAGTGAATAAGCCTCCTCTGCGAGTCCATGAGTACAAACAAATATATCCACACACACAAACAAAATCGACGTCTTACCTGCATCATAAGTACGCTGGTAACTTAGCGTATCCATAACGCTTCTGGATGTGTGATAGTAATGATTTGATGATGGAGATCCCGAGAATAACCAAGAAGCAACGTGGGCAGCTGTGAGCAGGATGGAGAATAGAATGTACACTACAACAGATAGTCTAAACCAACGAGATTTCAAGATGGTATGCTTTGTTGATTCCTGTTGTTGCTGTTGCTGCTGCTGATGTGGAAGCAGAGATGATTGCGGTAACAGTTGATCGAACCAAGAGTTGATCTGATTTACGCCTCCACCCGAGCCTTTCTTTGTAGACACTGTATCCATCTTGTTTTTTCTATTCGATGCAAGCTGGTAAAAAAGAGAGAAAGAAAAGAAAGAAATCAATAGGAGCCCTTGGACTAAATTAAATGATCATTTTATCTTATAAACGGGGAGTCGCACAAAGTCTTTCTTTAAGGGGTTCCTTATATATTCTGATTGATCACCGCTCTTCCATCTCTTCAGCTCTGTTCAGACTAATTTACAGGCGTTTGAAATTTCCAGTTATTTATAGCTGTATAGCTGCTTGATTCCAGATTTCATTTGTTGGAAAAGTCAAGTCTGTGGCAGCAGTAAGAAAGGACAAGAGATGACAAGACGCCCCTTATTTTGCAGGTAATGTTATTCTTACAGCGATGTTGCTTGCCTCTTGCTTTGGCTAAACATCTCATATTCCACAATCAAGGCCCTTCTGCAACACTGATGTCCACATTGTCTTATTGCACCATCTCATGTTGCCATTTCCATTCAATCTTTGGCCATTTGGGTCTTCATTGCCCTGAAATGCAACTCAATCTAGGGGGGGGGGGAGGGCTGCTGCTGTACGAGATCACACACATTATCAATCGCCTGATCGGTATCATCTTGTCGACATTTACCAATGTGCAGACACGTCTTGTACCTTGATCTACCTACTGAACCAGAATCAATAGCAAGCGTCCTAATTACATCATGATTGGTGTTTGTTTTTCTTGCCACATCAGCAGCATTTATACCCTTGATTTAAACAGGCGCGTTTGATTACATCCTGCCATGGCGATTTAAGGTAATTCCCCGCCTAAAAATGCTCCATGATGCTGTTATGAGATTGCCACTTGCTGGGCAGCATGGTTTTGCTTTGACACAATCGGGGAGAAGAATAACGTGGGTGCTTTGTCTCTCTTTTTTTTTTTTTTTTTTTTTTTTTTTTTTTTTTTTATTCCTTTTCTATCATCGTTTTTCATTGTTACAAAAATGTCATATCCACCGCAACCTCCTCAACAGCAATTCTATGCGCCTCCACCAGCACCACCATCGCAAGATTATGGCTACCAACAGCCTTATGGAGGTCAACAGCCTTATGGAGGTCAACAGCCTTATGGAGGTCAACAGCCTTACGGTGGACAGCCCCAACAAGGCGGTTATTATCCTCCGCAACAACCCAATGGCTACTCTTACCAACCTCAGTAAGTAGACAAGATTAGGTCTCAACATGCGGGAGCTAACTTTTTGCTGTTACAACATGATTTCAGACCGCCACCACAGGCAGTTGTTGCTCAACAACCACAACAGCAAAGTGGCGGTGGCAATTGCTGTTGCGCATGGTAAATACGATGCAACACCATGACAAATGTGCGATATTAACTAATTAACTTTGACCTTTAGTTTATCGAGTTTGCTCTGCTGCTGCTTGATGGAGGATCTCATGAACTAACAACAAGAGAACCCTTATTTAAATCATCTAGACATGTGTATCACAAAGAATAAATTCAGTTTTTTTAGATCTTTTTGCTGGTGCTACATTTACAAATGCATACTTGACTCTGATTTGGGCTTGCTTTGACCCACTACATTTTACCCAAAAAATTACATATAAAACCCAACTCCTTAAACTTTTTTCCCTTTCTCTCTTTCTTTTTTCGTTTCTATATCATAGCCAGCTAAGCAAAACAAGTATCTTTCCATAGACAACATCAGCAGAGAGGGATTGCAGAGAGGGAGAATTTATTTCATGACCCTTTTACGTACATTAAAATCAAAGGGTTGGGCAAGCCTCATTGCACTCGTTCTCATTTCGATTTACCTGGTTTCTTCTTGGGATACTACTTTTCGCACTGAAAAGCCAAAGCAGCAGCAGACATTCAAACCGAAGTCAGCATTCAAACCTGGATTAGGCCACAAATTCGATCGTTTAACACCTGCTCGTCGACAACTGTTATCATCAGCTTTGGCTCATATTCGTCTAGGCTATGTAGCGAATCGAACACCACCTTATTCTACACCACCGTTGCTTATTTTATACACCTGTAGACCAGATACCACTGCTTGCGGCTCCTTGGATGATCGATTAATCAACATTGTCAATGCTTACTATTTTTCCATGCTGCAACAGGGCTCTGCCTATGCCTACGACATGACTGTACCTGCTAAAATGGAGTGGTTTTTCGAGTCATCGCCATCTTACATGAGCATGAATGTAGATCAGGCCAACTATTATTTGGAACGTGCGGAAGCTCATCAGATCAGATCAGAGTCTCCATTGTCAAGTGCTGAGCTGGTACAACGTCGATTTATGGAGGATTACCAGGCAGAGGGAACAACCATCGTAAAAGCAAGTCAATGGCAAGGAAACTGGGTGGATCTGAAGGAGAATCCTTGGATGAAGCCGCTTCGAGACAAGTATCGACTCAATCACTTGTTACAAAAATCAGATTGGTTTTGGCTGGCGAGTCGATTGCTGTTCTCCAAACCAGCTTCCAACTTACGGGGATATTTAGAGCCTTATCGTGAGCTTATGGGTGGGAAACTGGAACTCAGTGAAAGCTTATCCCCCTTTGATCCCGATAATAGTCCAGTAACACCAGAATTTGCAACCAAAGGATGGCTACGTATTGGTCTTCGCATTGGCAAACATAGCACGCAAGAAGAAGTCATGTGTCTCTGCGCTCATGTCGCCAATATATGCCGCAAACACACAGAGAACTGCCATGTATTCATCTCTGCACCGACTCGACAATTACTGGCAACACTACGTACTGAACTCAATAAGCATCAGCACATTGCAGTCCATGCAGTAGCAGAGGGTTATGGATTTGCCGATTTGGACCAAGAATCAGAGAACAGCTTGGATCACAGTATATTTGATTCGGATGATGATCGATTGATAAGAGATTATGCTCGCACCTTCATGGATTGGTTAATTCTGTCTCGAATGGATCGTTTGGTAGGTCAGGAAAAAGACGGGTTTTTAAAGACGGCTGCTTGGGTTGCTCAGGTGCATACAGATGTCAGTGTTCATAATACAACCTCCAGAAACTGTCGCATCATACCAATGTATGATTGGTAATACTTGTACCTGATTTGATTATATATCACACTTTACATATTAATTTGTTGTTTCCTTTCTAATTTCTCATATCTATATAACGCATATTAATCTATCTTTTTGCACAATGTTTAATTCTACCTTTTTACGTCAACTTCCATCAATAAAAGCAAAAACTTGCCCAAGTATATGATTTGTAGATTAATGTGCACAAATGTTATTCAGGTGATACAAATTTGAAATAAGGATCAGCTTTGAAAGGCAGAGCAATTCCATCATGGTATGTTTGATCTACTGTTATGTTTTTAGCGTGGTACCTAATACGTGAGTTAAAGGACACTGTGGAAATGGTGTTCTTAGGAAAAGAGAGTATGCATACCCTAAATGGGAATGCCTACTAGAGTAGAACAAAGCAAGCTACAGGTATCTAGTCTTGAAAGCATGACATACCACCATGTCTGCTATCTATTGATGACTTGAAAGTAATAACTGATTAAAAACGTTATGGCCCGCCGCCAGCTCAATGTCAAGCATACATTTACCTGAACTAACATTCTGGATGTATCATTGAATAGTATTAACTGGTCCAGATGTTATTCAGTTACGGAAATCGGACAAACTTCAGGGCTTTTAACATTATATGGATCGTAGCTTATGGTTTAAGGCATTATTACAGTAGCCATGTGCTATACTCAAAGTACCAACTGCTCCCGAAGTAGAGTGAACTTTACCACAGCATACCACGTATAATATTAGCTACAGTATTTGGAGGATAACTGGATTCACTCAATTTAGCAGTATTGAAGCAGCAGCTCTTCTTGCAACTACTCTTAATAAATCCTGTTTAAGCAACAACGTCAGCAACAACACTGCACTAAACTATTACCACCAACATGACTGTTCCGCATAACAATACCAAAAATTTAAAGACATCCCTCATATAAAAGTGTTTAATGGATGCTAGATCAAATGGTTGTACCTTGTCTTGCCTTAGAATATATAAAAGAACTTAAATTGTAACAGTTTAGATACCCTTTTATTACAAAAACAATATAGAGTTAAATGACAGATTAATAAAAGATCAACTAGCTAAAACCCTTTGGCGCTTCATCCTCCGAGCCAATCAAATTGCTTGAAAACTCCGCTGACCTAAAAAAAAATTTGCGAGGGTTCCCCCCGGTTTTGATGTGAGGCAAAATTTTAAGCGCCGCTATAATAGCAATATAGCCGCTGCTATCATCAAACTTCCCTCAGGTGCTAGAGCATGCCTTACTTACACCACCTAGCTTTAAATACTGGCATTGAGACCCTCAATCATCACTAAAGTAAGTAGCGATAACCAAGTGGAGGCAGCCTATCCACCTCCTAGCCTCGGATAGAGTCTTGTTGAGCTTCAGCGATAGGCACATCCACGCAACGTAAAAAAAGGTATGCTTCAAAGAAACATAATAATAATAAAAGAAGCGAACATAATAATACTATAGAAGTATAGTACGTTATGAATAAAACATTAAAAATGTTCACGTTATTATATTCTTATTATTGCAACAAAAATATATACATGAGCAATGTGCATGATAACAGTCTGATGATGTAAAAGAACACAAATGCGCACAATTGCAGGAGCAACAGTAGCAGCAGTATAAGTGTTGTAATACAACATGAAGACCAATGTTGTTTTCATGTGAAGCGACAGAGGCAACACAAACAACAATCCACAGCTATATAACATAGTATCACAAGAAGGGTAATACAATCATATAGCAGTGTGTCATGCTTGCTATTCGTAAATACGAAGCAACAACATTGCAAGTATCTGTTGAACTGATCATATCACAGCCAACAAAAAAGAAAGAAAAGGCAATAAAGCAAACAGCATGAATGCATTATCGCGGGAAAGGAAGCAGTAGTACAAACGTTCAAAGAAGTTTATATCATTGCGACCGCAAGAAAAAAAGGATACTTACCACTTCTTACCACAGCATCACAACCAGAGATAGACCAGAGAACCAGCATACATCAAAGACAACAGACCACAGGATAAGCAAACACCAGAGAAGAACCACCGAAGCAACGATATACCATCAAAGCAGCCACCGCCAAGTGTGCAGCCAGTGCACAGCAAAAGATCAGAAATAGATCCCTAGTAGAGTTATTCCAAGTAAAACCACGGTATAAAACGCGTTAACATTGTATCTTACGTCTATTGCACAACTGTCAATTATACTTGCTTCAATTCTATTCACAAAGGTAGCGTTGTTTCATGAGTAGAGAGCTTGCGAAGTATAGTATATATACATATATATATATAAAGACGAAAAAAAAAAAGGAAAAAAAATGCTAATAAAAGGCTGAGGCTAAAAGACGTCACTGTTATCAATGTACCGCAAGGTAAGTATTAGAATTTGATAGCTTGCTACAAGGCAGCAAAGCAAGATATGAGTTAGCAATTTTCGCCATGAGGTTCGCCAACACCTTATCTATTAGTCCGTTACATGTAATTAAGAGGCTATATTCGACAAGGGTAGCGAATTTACGCTTGAATTGAGCTACATACTAAGAAAAAAAAAAGGCGGTATTTTAAACCATCAATAGCCCAGCCTCCATAATACTCAAAAGGAGGATTCATGGATTTCTGAAATCGTTCATCCTTAATATCATGCGATTCTGATAACAACATTGCTTTCCAGCTAAATAAAACTTGGGGAAGAATTTAAAGTAGAATCTAATGATACCAATTTTGAGTATTTTGGCCAACTTTATTAGGCTGGTTTTTCATAGAATAGTTATTGCGATTTTTTTATTGTTTTTGGCAGATTACCAGGTTCCTGTCATCAAAGTTTTACTTGAAATACTTATCATAGTGTAGAACAGACAAGAACCTATCGAATGAGCTCTTACTCAAAGAACTAGCATGATTTTATCATGAGATACCAACAGTTTTGTATCTCAAAGAAATTGTCATCCGGATCTTTGCCTTACTACTATAGGCAAATTCTGGCCAAAAATCAGTGATTTTTCACGAGGAAATTTTTGGTCATATCTCGTGAAAGACGCATCGTATTTAGATGAAACAAAGATCATTTAGTAGCTCTACTTTGGGTCTATTATGCTATAAGAGCTTTAAATTCCAAATGTACGCTCTCTTTATGATTTTGCTCAAAATCCTGTATTTTACGACCTTTAGGCAGAAATGCTGGGCAAAGATTCCGAATAGATTTACCTTAACCATGTAAATTGGTACAGGATTGAAATGCGCATCAAATGGTACTACACATATTAGTAATGCTATATAGCCTGTACACAAATAAGCTTGTTTTTCATGTATTTTGGAGGTTCTTTAAGGTCTTACCCAAAGTTGTAGTAGTATCAGTTCTCATGGAGCCAATACTGCCGAAAAGGTCAGCCCCAGCCAAATTATCCAAAGTCAATCGTTCAAATCTAAGTTTTGCTACAGTGGCGCATATCAGTTTCTCTTTGTATGCCTTCATTAATTAATGCACACCTTGGATTTACTTTATGGACTTGAGCAACTTATGGACGCTTCTGTGCTGTAGTCGTTACAGAAAAGCATGGTTTTGCCATTGTAAACTCCAAGTTGACGGTTGAAAACTCAACTTTTTCACAAAACAAGTATCGTAAGAGATGCCCAAACGAGGCCTTATGTTATAAAGCAAAAAACCGGAAAGCAATATTTAGTTATAAACTAAGCGGTTTAAAGTGGCAGGTTCTTAGAGCATAGCGCCAAAGCAATGCTCTTTTTATGTATTGGTTACTTTACACTCTACTTGCCTAATTCACCAATGTAGCGACTGGAATATCAGTGCAAACGTTAAGCAACCCCTCAAAGTCGGTGTATAATTGCTTTGATATCCAGTTTCTAGCATCAACATGAGGCATGAAAAAGCAATCCGTCTCGTTTGCTGAAATGCGCAGCACAGCTTCAAACCTTGCCAAACCACACCAAAGCAAGATATTACCAAACAGCTTTGAATACAACGCTTCACAATACCTCATCTATTGGTATATTACCCATGATCGCTTGTAATCAACGAGCTCTTATATGAAGGCCATGCTTCAACGTTGGCTTATTTCAAAAAACATTCGTTTTTCACTTTCACTCTGCTAATCAAAAACTAAATTACACTACCGTGTTTATAACAAAATTTAGTCCTAGAAACATGCTACGCTCAGAGTTGTAGCATCAATATCTAAAGACTCGATTTTGGTTGACTCCTAATCTCGAGACCAGAAACACTTTGTACATTTATGACTCAATATGAAGTGATAGCTACTAGTTCGCAGGATTGAAGTATTTTGGAAAGTAATGGCTAATGAGGTATGTTTGGTGGAGCATTTGATACATCATGCAATAAAGAGATGAAACTCAAGTCTGTTCAAAGACTATTGTTCAGTATAGGCTTTTACCAAGTGAAAAAAATAGGCTCACCGTTCTCAATATCAAGCTTGTATTTTGCAATGCTACTAACCCATGATGACACTGTTGTGTATAGCAGCGTTTGATTCCATCAACAAGGATGCCCGAACAGTAGTGTAAGCATATTGATAAACAACAACAACAACAACAAACCGCCTTTGTGCCGGTATGATATGAATTTGCTGGAAAAACGCATCAAGTCCTACATGTCTTTGTCTACCCAACAAGCCAGCAGTCAGATACTACTACCCGACATCTTTACCCTCATTCTACATTGCAGTTCGTTTGTATTATGACATGTTTATTAGAAATAATCGATAACATTGCCTAAAATGAGGTAATTTGCGTTGAAGGCTATGAGAATCTGTTGATTGTTTACAAGCACCAGATGTATATGTACAACGGACGGCTCAAGGAAACCTCCAAGCATCTGTTTGCATGACTTTTGATATCCTGTACTTTAGACCTAAATAGCTAAGGTGAGTTGATTTAGGAAAGACTCGATGTTCGGAAAATGACTATCCTGTATGTCTACAAATGTGCTTTGCAGATCCAATATATGGTCTAGTTTGTATTGATTGGGGCGTATCAAATGGAACCCATTTGTTGTTCATAAAGACAAGCCAAGTGCAGTAACGAGGTTCCCAATGTGAGGATTTAGAAATGCGTGTGCCAAATGGTTTTGGTTTAGAGGAAGGTGAGGGTAGAATGCTACAAGATGTCAAGGATACTTTCAGCATGATTCCAAAAGCGAATAAGCAGAGAAAAATAAGAGGGAAAGAACAAAACAGGACGCTATTTATTTTAAGGATTACTACTACATGATGGGTGGGAAATCGTCAATGATGCTTTAGCAATTCGACGTCTTGTTATCAGCAACGCTATCGTCCTCATCCTCTTGCAAATTTTTATGTAACACATCGCCAGCATGGTAGTAATGCTGAGCTCTTTTCCTCTCGAATTCTTCATGGCGTTTTCGAGCTTCATGTATATAGACAAGTTAGGTAATCTCCACAAATGAAACCAACAACAAACGCAAATCAATTTCGTTACCTGCTTGTTCCTTGTCTCTCTTCTCCTTTTCATCGATTTTTTGCCATTCGTCTGGTTCATTTGCAAATGCAATGCCTGATTTTCTGGGTGTGTCTGGCGCTTTATCAACGCCACCACCATCTAACATAAAATCTTCAGGCTCTTCATGTGCGGCTCTCAGACTCTCAGGCAGAGCTAGTTCTTATATATTAGACATGGGCATTCTTACAATGATGGCGTGTGCAAACACAAACCTTCCCAATTAGTCACTTTATCCGCTACAGGATCATACCTGATGTAGGGCGTATTAGGCTCATCTACTTTCATCAAGACTTGCTCTTTTTGTTGCTTCTCAGTTGCCTTGAGTTTGTTTTCGTCCCATTTTATCCTAGCAGTGTATGGCATGATTTTAGCACTGTTGGCTCTCCCATCTTCTAGACGTTTCTTACTTGTGCTCGGGCGTTTCGTGCTGTTCATAGTCGTGCGACTTTTGCAAGATGCCTTTAGCTGGTGATTTTAAATGTTCGGAAGAGCAATGAGGTGTTTTCTGGTTTTCCATGTTGCTGGAGACGCTATTGTTCAGTTGATAAAGAAGACATCGTTCACAGGAAAGACGATTGCGGGATATTTCCTGCTTGGAAATGGTCACATTTCATGGCCTGAAATGCATGAATGTATGCTTGTTTGAGTTCACATGCTTCCATCTAGTTTGTGAGAGCAAGATTTGCACATGGCATCTTCACAGATCAAGTAGCCAATCTGCTAAATACATCCACTCGACTTGAATCTACATGAATAATGTATACATCTTCCATTTGAATCACAAGGAGACATCCCTCAGGTCCAGGAACGTGTACATGTGAGCATTTGATACCGCGCAATCAAATAGCCAACATTTTATTGATCAATTTCAATGCATTCTATTCATCCCATGACATCTAAATCTTGCTCTATGAGCGCTTCTTGCAAGCGTCTCATCGGAGTATGCTAGTGTTCAACAACAAAAAGTCATGACAGATATTTGCGCGCTGCCACCCATTTAAACCTTTCATTTTGTCATGACTTTATCTGTTACATTAGCTATTGGATATCTTACCGTACCATTTGTCATCAAAAGCTCAACGCAAGCACTCACAGCAGAGGAAGAGGAAGAAAGAGAGCTAGGCACGCCTCAATGGACATTTGGCAACACCATCAGTATATCTTGCTTTGTTCAGTCTCCACCCAACATATACCCTACACTCGAAAAGCATGTATTACAGCTAGCTCCATCATCTCATCACTTTGAAGAAGAAACAGTGATATTACTCTCTCAGGCATTCAAACAAAACAAAACATCTACAGGCAAGGCAACACATGGCCTCATCAACATATCATCAGATCTGCTGGGCATCTTGTCTTGTACAGATCAAACCACAGTGTTTACATTGCAGATTGTTCAGTTTGACCATGCATCGAAAGACCCTCTGCAAGTCAAAAGTTACATGGCTCCAGATGTGAACACTGTGCCTGACATGGAGCAGTGTGCAAAGCCTGTCGAAATCATGGAATTATGTCAAATGTGGCCCAACTCGCAACCGCAGCTCATTCATCTGGCAATGCAAGTCTACCATATGGGCAGTCTGTACGGATATTGGGATTACTGGCGCGTATTTGAAGGCATTTGTGAGAGACATCAGATATCAGCAAATCAACTTGTGAATAGCAAATAAACAAAAAAAAAAAATCACTTTATATATGCATATAGATGGGTATAAGAAATTAGCTCTATTTATATATATAAAAATGTCTACAGTGTACATGATCTAGTATAAATTAAATGATCAGGCGATCCTTGGACACCACTGCTCGTGGCGCTGTCGTTTACAACCTGCAACGACACAGATGTGTTGCGTCTTCTGATCTCGTCTTCCTTTTCCTTTTCAGCCAGGGCATCCGAAGGCAACAAGATGGATCGATCAATAGACGCAGGCAAACCTAGGTAATTATACGTCAACATCGCATCATGCAATTGCAAAATGTATCTCTGTTTACCTCTGTGTCTTCCTCTGTACATGAGAATAATCAGAACAAGCTTGCTCAACGTGCGATATTGAGCTGCCTGAGACGTGGCTGTGTTGGGATAGCCAGTGGACGCACCCACATTACCAAATGCTGACACGCATTCGTAAATGACAGTGGCTATGGTTACAGGGGAGGGCGACATGATGGATTCTGCTTCAATGACACAAATGCAGAAAATGCCCGTGATTACCCAGCATATATCGCTTGTCAGTTGTCGTTGGATTTGAGTAATGACAAAGAAATCAGGCCCCTTGAGCAGCTTCTTGGTGCCCTGAGCGATGCTGGTCATTGTCGAGTGTCGCTTCAGTTTGATAAAGGGTGCTTCTGCCAAATCGTCATCTGAAAACTTGACAGGTTCTTCGTCTTCGCCTCGAAAGATGCCTAGTGCACGTTCCTGTAATGGAGTGGTTAGTTTGTGGCATTAGTATACATCACACACACACACACACACACACACACACACACATAAAGAGTATTACCTGGTAAATATTACTGTTTCGCATAGAGATGGCCACGGGATAGACACTGATGTACATGGCAATGATGTACACAAGCTGAGCACCAGGGTTCAAATCTGCAAGACTGACTACACTGAAACCAGCTAAAAGAGACAGCACGACACATGTTAGATTTGCATGAAGATACACGTCATTTACGGGCAACTTACCATTTCTAGTGGCCACAGATTGAAACAATCCATCTAGAAATCGGGAGCCCCAGCTTATACCGGCCAACACAGGCAACCAATAGTTGAGTGCTAAGAAACAAATCAGTTCCACCAGTGTGATGGCAATCAATACGATGAGCAGCCACCATGTTTGCGTCGAAGGAAACAGTGTGGTGTAGCAGCGTCTAGGATGATCCAGCAAGTAGCGAAACGTTTCACGGCGCATCACCTTTCGTTCAGGTGTTAACACATAGCAGGTCCAAATAATGAATCTGAGCAGAATGGCAAATGCCGTGTTGCCCACCAAGATCAGCAGTATGGCCAGGATCAAAGGCGCAGGCGCATTCTGAAAGGGTGCCATACTGGCATCCAGATGGTTCAAACCCAAGTTGGTAAATGCGGACAGACTCATAAAGAAGCTAAAGAACCATGGATCCACAGGGCCAGTGGGGTTGGAGGTGGCCAGTACTTGCTGAGCATAAGTGGAAGCAGCGACATAGATACGGAAAAAGAAGCCAAAGCCAATGATGAAGCCCAAATAGTACAGAGGGACGATTCTGGCAAGCATCTCCAGGGCACGGTATTCTGTGCCGCCAATGCGGTAACGTTCGTTCTTTGTGAGCTCGTGTTTGGCGGATGGTTGTCTCATAATCTCGTACTCTGAGTTGGTGCGATGTAGTGGGAGCTGCTCCATGTTGTTGTCTTCGTTTCTGTTCTGCAACAGCTTTCTGCGTTCGCGTTCACGAAGAACGTTGGTATCTTCTCTAAAGGTAATTTGGTGGTTGTTGTTTGTGTTTGTTGTATTGGATGTGTTATTTACAGGTTTGTCGTCTTGATCGTCTAAAAATGATATAGCGTTTTTTTCATGTTCTTGTGATAAGTTGTCATCACTGCTAACATTACTATTTCTTTTGCTGTTACAGGGTGTGGTATCACACGGATGCGTGCTGGCAATGCATTCTACATCATCATTGCCATTACCGCTGTCATCACCATTGGCAGCTTCACCCTCCTGTTGCTGATGCTGCTGTAGATCTTGGCTGTTGGGATAGTGATCCATCTGGATGGAGCTAAAGTTGGTGTCGCTGGGACTCGTGCTACCATTGCTACTGTCGTTGTAATTGTAATTGGGATGGTGTACCACAATGTCTCTGGTTCTCGTTGCATGTGTATCATACGAGCCACGCTTGTTGAGGTTGAAGAAGGATAGCTTTCGAGAGTTGTGTGCAGGTGTGGATCGCACAGAGAGCATAGACATACGACGTCGGATGGGGCCCGTAATGATGTCAGTCTTTCGACTTGCTTTGGTAGTGGTGGTGGTTGTGCTGCTACCATCCGAAGAGAACCGCTGCTGTTCCTCTCGCTCTCGCTCTTGCTCCTGCTGCTCTCTCAACAGTTTCTGCTGTCTGTATTCCTCTTTGCGCTTCTTGTTGTACTCTAATTCCTTTTCGAATCGCTTTGAAAAGTAGTACCTACGCACCATCACCACAACAAATGAGACAGTAACATGTGATCCCAAAAAAGAGCTGATGTACAGCAGCACCATATGGTATGTTGACATGGCCGACATGGCAATTGTGTTTAGGCCGGTGTCCGTGGAGCCTGTGGTAGCCATGAACAAGGCATCAATGTAGTTCCAATCTGTGCCCGGCTCACAATAGTACAGGCCTGAAAAGAAAAAGATTAAAAACAAAATGTACAGGTAGTGGAGCTCGAGAAAGTGAATGCGAGTGTCCCAAAATCGAAACAATGCTCCTGTGAATCGATTCATTTTTTCTTGCTGTATCATGTTTGTAGAAATGGAAGTAAAAGAGAAGGATAAATGGAACAAACAGAAAACGGAAAAGAGAAAATTTATAGGGAAAACAATTGAAAAAGAGTCATTTCATTAGTCCAGAGCTTTCAGTAGCCGCCTACAACATCAAGGCATCCAAATCATCACATCCGCTTTCTCACTCCTGTATTTTTTTTGGACTCTTGACATGGTCTCGATTATAAACAAGTGCAACCGAAATGGAAACACTTTATCCCAGTGCTCCAAAATGACCATATAAAGAAATCTGTGCTCACCTCCACCCGAGAATGTTGCGGCTCTCGTGTAGAACATGTTTGGTTTATTTTCTGTATGTGTGTGTTTTGTGTGGGGGGGGGGGAGAGGATAATTTTACTACTCCCCGTACGGTTCGGAAGAAGGGACTAGGGGACAACTTTGAAAAGGGAAAGGACGGGGTATGTTCTGTCAGTCTTGTGCATCCAGAGCATCAAAACATTGTTGCGCTAATTTCGCCCCTGGGTCTACTTGTTGGATTGTAGTGATGAGCTGCTGTGCTGCTTCTCTATCATCCATATCTTTACACGCATTGATGATTTTACACAACACTCGGCTGCTCGGATTGTATCCCTGTCCTACCAAATCATACATCAACGACAATGCGGACGGTAGTTGCCTCTTGTTGCAGAACCCAATGATGATTTTGTTCAGCTGGCCTAGGCATCGTCGGTCCAATTTTTGATGCCGTGATTTGACATCCAAGTACACCTGCTCACCTCTTGATAGTTCGCCATGTAATCCATAATACGATAGTAACTTGAATATCATGTCGTCTGGTATATTGTGTGTGCTTGTCAAAAGTACTGCCTGCCATAGTCGATCCAATGTGCGAAAAGTATCGTCATTTGTCGGTAGTGACATGTAATAGCTGATGAAGGATTCAAAAATAGGAAAATCGGCTGCCACATTGTGCTGTATCATGAGTGAGAATATTCGACTCGCGGACGGTTGATCTTGCAGAAAGAGGTAGACGTCAATCAGGATTTGATAGCTTTCCGAGCTTGCCAAATTCCTCTCCTGGGCTAATGTCAGCAGTTCCTCAGCATCTTGTAGTTGCCTGTCCCTGACACATCCCATGATTGCCGCATTCCAACACGCACTATCTTGTACTGTATGTAGACTATCCAGCTTTAAAAACATGGCCTTCATATTCGGATGTCCCTTCAATGACATGGCCATGACAGCCTTCTTCAACTTTGGCCATGGATTCCTCTTGAGCAATTCCAGCCTCAGGAGCTCTTCAAACCACAATTCCATGCGCTGATTCTGCTTGTGTGTTCGATGTCGTTGTAGCGAGATCCCCATTAGCAGTTGCAGATAGTTCTGGCTGGTAGGTTGAAATCCCTTCTCCTTCATCTCTTCAATAATAGCTACCGCATTAAGTTGGCTTTGGTCTCGTTTTCTGAATTTCGATGCGTGGGCCTTTAATCTCTGGTTGTATTCGCTCATCTGCTTGCATCGTGCTATTTTCATGGCTATGGTATCGGATGCGATGGCGTTCATTGATGTGGTCTCGGTGGCCAGTGTAGTATGTTTGACTTGCTCCATAATCAAAGTGGAGAGCTTTCGTCGCTGCAAGTTTGGCTTTGTGGTCGCCATAAACAGAGACCTGAATACATTATGGCAGACAAACTTGTTGCCACAGTGAACGGACATAAGGAATAGAGGGGTATGGAGGGGGAGGGGGGGCTGTGGAAAAAAGTGTAAGAAGAGCAAAAAGAAAAATTCGAGGCTTTGAATGACAGACATTTCGGTATACAGTTACCAGATTTACTTGATCATTAAGCAGCGACCCCAGCCTCTCACCCTTTTGCCGGTTGGGACATCCACCGGGTTTTGAATAAGTTTTTGGATGTGCAAACCTCTTTCCAAAAGGTATCACGGAGAGTTGTTTAACAAAGGCTGACATCACTCATGAAATCCACATTTACCTTGGTTCAGACAGAGTGCAAGCCAGAAATCTCGAGCAAAAGCAAGCAAAAGTGAATCAAATGACCACTCTCTAAGAGCCAACTATACAAAAAGCGCACTTTCTCGAGGATCTTTGCCATAAATTCAATGGAAACTCCTTGATTAAGGATGGATTAAGCAAGGCTGACATTCAAAAGGCAATTTAGATGAATGAATGCAACCAACCCTAATATACAAAAAGATTTTCTTTCCTCTCTCTTTTTTTTTTCCTCTCCTTGTTTCTCTTTCTATTCTGTAGTGAATTGATCTAAATTGTATATCATGTCTGAAGAACACAACTGGAAATTTGCTCAGTGCTTTGGTGACAAGGGTGACTCTGATGATATTACGGATGGTAAGTTGTGGTTCGACGCTGGAGAATAGTTTGCGCAAAAAAAGGGGAGGAGAGGTGTCGACATTAGTATAAAGAGAAGCAGGAGAAGCGCATAACACAACCGCACTGGATCATGACAAGAATATTCATCCCTCTATCTTTAGCTGACATCATCTCAACTGTTGAATTTGATCAAACTGGTGATTACCTTGCTACAGGTGACAAAGGTGGACGCGTTGTTTTATTCGAGAGAAATGAGAGCGTAACGTATACACCAAGCTGTTGGTCTGGACACCTACTGAGCTCCTTGTACATGTAGAAAAAGAACTGCGAGTATCGTTTCTACACCGAATTCCAATCCCATGAAGCAGAATTTGACTATTTGAAGAGTTTGGAGATTGAGGAAAAGATCAACAAGATCAAATGGTGCAAAAGACAGAATTCAGCCCACTTTCTATTATCCACCAACGGTAAGCTAGCGACGTTTCCCGATAGACGATACCCGTACTGAGCTCTCTATGACTAGACAAAACCATCAAGTTGTGGAAAGTGTTTGATAAATCTCTCAAGCTGGTGACTGAAAACAGTATCGCTCCAAACAACACTCCTGTCAATACCCTTCGTTTACCAAAATTGACTCATCACGATACCATTGTCGCTGCTGTTCCCAGAAAAGTCTATGCGAACGGTAACACTCTTCTTTTGTTGGTAGATGAAGCATTGACTAATATGTCGCTGTAGCACACACCTATCACATCAACTCTATATCCATCAATTCTGATGGCGAGACATACATTTCCGCTGATGATTTGAGAGTGAACCTTTGGAATTTGGATGTTTCAGATCAAAGTTTCAGTAAATATGTCAAAAATAACAAGGAAGCGTCATCTCACTTGCAAAACTAACACCTTCTTTTGTTAGACATTGTGGATATCAAACCTGCCAACATGGAGGAGTTGACCGAAGTAATTACAGCTGCTGAATTCCATCCTGAGCAATGTAATGTCTTTATGTACAGTTCTAGTAAGGGCACTATCAAATTGAGTGATATGAGAGAATCTGCATTGTGCGATCAGCATGCTAAAGGTAAAGCATGGAGATGACTGTTGTTGATGTTGGCTATTCACGCAATACCTAGTCTTTGAGGAAGCTGAAGATCCTGCCCACCGTTCATTCTTTTCTGAGATCATCTCTTCTGTTTCTGATATCAACTTTAGTCATGATGGTCGATACATTCTTTCAAGAGACTACTTGACATTGAAGATTTGGGACATCAACATGGACAATAAGCCTGTGCAAACCATCAACATCCACGATCAATTGAGAGCAAGATTATGTGATTTATACGAGAATGATTGCATCTTTGACAAATTTGAATGTACTTTTAGCGGTGATGACAGGTAAGCGCATTTGGCAGAGAATGGATTTTGCGCTGGTGGAGTCTAATATTCGCAATGGAATATACTAGTCATGTTATGACAGGTTCCTACAACAACATGTTCCACTTGTATGATCGTGAGGGCAAAACCGATATCGCTCTTCAAGCAGACAAGAGTGCATTCAGATCCAAGCGCCTCGGTTCTTCAAAGAACAAGATGTCTATGGCAAGAAACTCAAACCCCAATGCTGATAATATGGACTTCAACAAAAAGATCTTGCATTCTTCTTGGCACCCACAAGAAAATACCATTGCTATTGCTGCAACCAATAATTTGTTTATCTTTACGTATGTTTATTGACAGGATTTATGGCAAAATTCCAAAACTAATAACGCTTTTCTATCTAGGGAGCAATAATCTTTTTATGCGATTTTGGCAATCATGTAGCTCATTCTTACTTGCTTTGCGTATCATCACTAATATCTGTGGAAGTGTCCTTTTTCATGATTGCTTCCTCTCTTTTTTTTTTTTCTTATCAAAAAATATGTATTCTAAACCGCCATTGCCCTCCTCTTCTTTCTAGCTTTTATTTCAAGATTATATGTTCTAATTAAACCAATTCAAAAATATGTATATAAGTGTCAAGTTGGAAGTTACTACGTCAGAAATACTGCATTCATGATAATTTGTTAGCTCAATGATCTGAATAATTAGGACATCAGTGACGTTAAGCTGTCAGACTAGCGATTGTTTTTGATTCCTTTTGATACACACTGAAATTTCATTTTTTAGCTGTTTAATCGCATAAGAACGTTATATATGCGACTGCTCCTTGTGGATCTGACTCTTCTAGGATGTTCTACGTCTACATCAATGGGAACAATTCATAGATGAGCACACAACAAACTTGCATCACCTCATGCTACTCAACAGTATGCGAAGCACAGCGAAATCTGACTGCATTCGATTTGTGATTTCTCGTGTTAAAAGCCGTTTTAGACTGTCAGAATAGCGCCAAACAATCACTCTCGCCGAACACTATCTTGCTGACATCTTTACTCAACTTTTTTGGGAGCACCAAAAATCGACCTCAAACCATGAGGTATACCTCATGATTTTTATCAAAAATCAAACGATTGCGTTTTTCACCTTGATAATGAAGACTTTTACTATGATATATATATTGAATCAAAATGTTTCTTACGATCCAAAGCAGCCTCTGAAACCACTTTTGTAGGTCCTTCATATGCAATATTTCGACATTATGGTCAAAAACCTCATTTCATGTTTTTCAACATTGCTCAATAGGTTTATTCAAAACACCTTTTATGATTAGTACCATTGGATGCGCCTTGAAAAGCTCTTTAAGAATGCATTAGAAAGTATTTTTTTTGTTTTTTTTTTGTAGGGGAGTCGAGCTCCAGGCTTATTTAAAGTCGTTAAAATGTCATACTGAAGGAAAGAAAAGACTGTTGGTGGACTCAATGTCTGCAATGAAGGGGAATAAGAAATTTTTGAACTAAGTTGGGAAAGAAATCTACTACTAATAAGCATTAGAAAGTATGGGATGATCATCACAACTTTCATAGTCGAATCTCGCAAAATAAATCGAATCGCGTTCAGAAATAACAGAAATGAGCAAATCGGAACAGAATGTCAAGCGAAGCCTTAATGGGTTTGGCTACCAAATCACTCATGCCTACACTCTAGAAGCAATTGATGTTTTTGAAATTAATTATAAAAGGATTACGGATAAAAAAGCACTATTTATTAGCCTGAATTACATATTTAATTTCGGCCTGTTTTGGTATGTCTGACAAGCATATTCATTGCACATTGTTCATTTAAATGAGCAATGTAAATCATTGCCGTATTTGAAGAAATACATTGATTTTTCTAGGTGAGCTATCATTTTCTATACCAAAAAGACTTGTCTATTCAGACTGAATATAATGTATTGCAAAAATGGTCTGTATACGATTCCAAAACTTGCCTTATTATATCACAAATTAGCAAAAATTACAGAATGTTGTGATGAAATTGGATTCAATGCGTTTAATGCATTACACACATGCTCAGTATCCATGATACTCAACTGGATCAAAGCAAATCGAGAGACATAAATGATAATTATCCCATCGGATGTATGTTGCATCATATATAGTCTAGCATTGTATAATCATATTATGCATGATCCCAAGCCTTTTGTCAATCAGGAACAGACTACCAAACTTAGTCACTCTCCAAGCCACGATGAGCATTGTCAAATCTTGTTTTTTTTCTGAATGTTCATTTCCCTTATTTACATCTTGAATCATCGCTAAAATGGAAAAGTGGAAGGGATCATTTGCACAAACTCAATTAGAAAAGTTTGGTTGGGAAAAGTAATGATAGTCTATCTGGCAACATTTCTTTTTATCTAATCTCATTCTTTTTTTTTTCTTACACAGTGGTGAAGGTCTTGGTAAAAACAAAGAGGGTAATGCCAAGCACATCAGTGTCTCGGTAAAGAACGACAAGAAGGGTGTTGGCGTAGGCCAAGGTCAATGGGAATTTGCTTGGTGGGATCATTTGTATAATAAGAGTGCTAGTTCTGTGGTCGTAGAAAAAGACGAAGACAAGGGGGAGATCAAAGTGGCTACAAAATCCAAAGGAGAAACTCGTCGTTCAAAGACTGGCATCATTTCAACACAGCGTCCTACTGGCAAAAGCGTCAAGTCGACAGAGACAACTACTAAAACTACCAGCACTAGCATGAGCTCCATGGCGGATTCTCGAAACATGATGGATTCAGTCAAGGATGTGCATGTCAACATTGCTCAGCGTTTAGCAAGTGCATCGCTTTATGGTTCATTCGTAAAGAGTGCCACCGCATCAGCTGCTCCTACACCAGGTGCCTCAGACGAAGAAGTGGATGATGAGTTGAAGGATTATTCAATGAAGGTGACAGATGCTGAATTATTTGCTGCATGCGAGGGACGCACTGCAAGAAAGGGCGGTCGTGGACTAGTAGATCAGACTGGTAAATTTAAGCGTGTGATGCAAGATTTTGTGAGACCTGTTGACGAAGACGATATCGTTGCTGCTACCAAGAGTAAAAAGAGAAAGCATTCAGACGACAAGGAGGATAAAAAGTCAGCAAAGAAGCAAAAGAAGGCAGAAAAAGCTGCTCGAAAAGAAGCCAAAGCAGCCAGAAAACTAGAAAAAGCAGCTAAAAAGGAGGCCAAAGAGGCCAAAAAAGCAGCCAAGGCAGCAAAGAAAGAAGCTAAAGCGACCAAGAAAGCTGCCAAAGAGTCCAAGAAGAGCAAGGACTAATATCACCATTCCATAAATTTTAGAGATTAGTTCTGCATTAGATAGCATAGATCCATTCCCATTCTTTTTGTATAAATTATTGTTTTTGTTCATATTTATTACAGCAAGTATATCTGTTTCAGTACTGATATAAGCATAAAACGTGCAATGCCCACTTCTACTTTAACACTGACAGGTTGATTAACTAGTAATATCACTGTATGAAAGGTAGCTGGCCTCTACACTTTTATTTCAAAAATTATACAAACCTATATTGTAAATCAGAAAATTAGTAAACATGATAGTTACATTGTACTTACCCTTGGTGTATCCTTTGGACGAAGAGCGGTGGCCTTCGAGGCTAAATTATATTATTTCTTCTTGACGACGGCGACGAAATTGTGGGGGGAGGGGGGGGAGAATTTGAATCATATTGAAAAGTACAGACAAACCACGATTCTACAATCTGTAGATAGTGCCTTATGGGAGATGATGGGCTGGGTGGTTACGATCTGTACATCTGATTGATAATGCCAGTAATCTATCAAACACAGTTCAAATATATCCTTTCAAGAATTTAAAAAATTGAGTGCCGTACAAGGCGAATGAAACCGGCATTGGGAGGGGGTTTGGAGGAGGTGCTAAGCCCATTCAGCAAGAGCATAACGCATCTAATTCAACATTTGGTAACGGTAACCTATGATGCAGTTTTACCGTAGCGAAGTGAAGGTGCAAGACCATAGTGTTCAAGCAGCAAATTCGGTTTTTTATTTTCATTATTAATAAGCTTACCAGCAACATATCGCATCAAATTTGCATGGATCAGCTTTACCAAAATCAATATGCCTCCTATTTGAATTAAAAATTGCTCGAGCTACAGAACTGCCTATCCAGAAGATTTCAGCTACCAAAGAGGTAATTTATGCCGTGTAAATAAACTCTATAAAGCAATACATAACCAAATTTGACAGCTTTCAAGCCTTCATATATTGACATGTAGGCCTTTATGAGCCACAGGAATAACGCCAAACAATTGTACTTGAGTAGTAGTAACTTCCTGACACCTTTGCTCAACTTTTTGAAGGCCTACAAAACATGGCCAAAAATTGATCAAAAAGCATGAGGTACCCCTCATAGTTTTCATCGAAAATCAAACGATCGCGTTTTTCACCTTGAAACTGAAGACGTTTACTATGGTATATATTACATCAAAATGTTTCTCTCGATCCAAAGCAATCTCTGAAACCATTTTTATGAGGTGTTCATATGCAAAATATGGCTATTTTTGCTGAAAACCACTTTTCATATTTTCATAAATTACTCAAAACATTTATTCAAAACATTTACTTTACTTGGTACCATTGGAAGCGCCTTGAAAAGTACTTCAAGCATGTATTAGGAAGCGCGGGGCGATCGTTACAGTTTATATAGTCGAATATGATAGAATAAATTAAAGAAGTCGAAAAAAGACAAAATCTGTCCAATCTTGAACAGAAAAAATATTCTGAGTTTTAATTGTGTTTGGTGGTGGCGGCATTGCTGCTGGCTGACCTAAATGCCTTTCTTTTGATGACAATGATGATTGCGATGCTGATTAAATGCGGATCATGGAGTTGAAAGGACAATTGCTTAGCGCAAATACTTTTTTTTGGGGGGAGCTTTGCCTCGTGAAGGTGTCTTTTGCAATGATAATATCTCAAAAAAGCCACCGTAGATCTTACACGTCCTGTATTTACTTATAACTAGCTTTATGTCGCCATCTTATTAAGAGCATCGGCAGTAGCGAATGATATGACAATTCTATCATCAGAAAATAACAATTGTGATGTACAAATGCTGCATAAAACTTGAATCTTCTTTCATATCGTCTCAATAATAGGTTTCGTTTGACACCAGTGTAAGCAAAAAGGATGTTGAGGGAGATACCTCCTCTCCTCCTCCTGATGGCTCTAATATAACCTTTCTTTTTTCTTTTAGTAACTAATAATAAATTGTTTAAAATCTAATTGATATACCAAAATTTTATTATATCTGATTTAAAATGTCTTTGGTGAGAGCCCATAAGGCAACACTGACATCAAACGTAGCGAGATAGATTGGCTAGTAGTCTATATATATACATTAAAAGTCCATGTCTTGTCACAAAAGCACTGTATCTACGCTGCTGTGGTCTGCGAGGTCGAGGGTTGCGCACCGTCTTGAAGGTCACTGCAGTCTCTTGGTGCTATTCCGGGAGTATCTTGCTAGTCTTATATTCACCTATAAGGAGCACATTGAAGCCATGCTTCCTCAAGAGACGGCGAAAACCTAAACCACGAATTGGCTCGTAGAAACGAGCCATAGGAGCCGACCAATTGCCCATGATACTGTATATGTGGCGTCTGGGAATCGTTCTTGCAGCTTGCTGGTCAACTCCTTGTCTGCTCGGCCTCGATTGAACTTCCCAGATAATTTGAGTTTTCGTTGCAAAGCGTACTGATTCTCGTTGGTGTCTGTCATTGTTAAATTATCGTCCACAATGTTGCTGTATGACATGTTCTTGGTAGTTCTGCTAATTAGGCCTACTTCATGCAACACCCTCAAGAAAAACACAATAAGTTTTGTCAGGTAGCCTCTTTCGAACTGCAACCAAGTTAGAACTTTGTTTGTCAAGGACGAATATTGCAAGCTCTTTTATCTTTTAGAATCAAGTGCTTGAAGATGTTCTGCAGCATTTAAACACTTTATTTTGAGAAGACTGGCGAACAGTTGAATAATTTCGTAGCTCTTCTCATCCGATCTTTTATTTATCTTGACGATTATAGTAACAAAGCACCATGTCACCATACAATTTAGATATATAGGCTCTCTCGCCCCAGGTAAGGTTTGTCATTTTTATTTTAATGAATCCAAGTAATTACTGAAAGAGATATGCAGAAAGTATAACACTGTTGAGTTTATGTCAATGGCCATTTCGGGATATGTATAATGAATGCGAGCGTGCCTTTATATCCGAGTAGCATTACCGCAAGACCATTTCAAAACTCTCCACAACACAACAATAGCACATAACCCTGCCAAAGCAATCCCGCCGTACAAAAACCCATCATGCAACACCTGAGTACAAAGTGTTCTGTTTGCTTCCACATAGTCATTGGACGCGGCACATTTGTCCCCTACTACCTTTGCAATGATGATCAGTGCTACTCCAGCAAACAGAAATACAATCAGAATTAGCGTCCACAAACAGGAACACAAGGTGATTCCGAAACAGCAGCAACCATCTCGTCTTCTAGCATAGGAAAACTTGTCATTGAACAACATGGGGGGCGGAGGCGGTGGAGGAGGCATCATGGATGTCATTAGAGATGGATTGCTCGACTGCTGGCCCAATTGAGGTTGACGAAAAGGCGATATGAATGGCTGCTGCTGCTGCTGCTGCTGCTGCTGCTGTAGCGGTGGTGGAGTAAACAATGAGGACGGCTGTTGATGGCCAAAGATAGGTGGCAGTAAGGGAGGCATCATGATAGGTGAAGATATACTGTTACTGTTATACAAAAGCTGGTCATCACTATATAGTGGATTGCTATTATTATAAAATACAGGTTCTGGTCTTGGAGGAGGATGATGATGTCTATACGCATCACTCATATCTACTGCTGTTGTCCCAGACGCTGCCGGGTAGGATGGCTGAAGTTGCTGATTTTGTTGCATTTCCAATTCTTGTTGTCGAAGCTTTTCTTGTCTTTCGGCATAGAGATAATCTCTTAGGTTCACTGCCTCTGGATCTTCGTAATCGCCATCCTCGATGATGTTGTTATGGCTACTGTTGGTGTTCTCATAGTAATGAACTCGTTGCTGATCTTGGATAGAATGGGTAGACGAGGCTACCGTGGACACATGAGCAGTTGATCGTGAGTCCTCATGAAAAGATAGTCTTTTCGAAGATGAAAACGAGTTTCTTTGGTTTGATGATGAGGATTGATCGACGATATAGAATGGCTGCTGCTGCTGCTGCTGCTGTTGTTGTTGTTGTTGTTGTTGTTGCTGGTACATTTGCTGATTTTCCTCGACATTCAAGTCATTTTGAGTCAATGGCGGAGGAGGAGGGTATTGACCAGCATACGGATCAGATGTGATGGATGTTTTCTTTTTTCTAGGCTCATTGGACATTTTTAGGTAAAATGCAACAAAATAACAAAGCAGAGAAAGAGGATGATTTGAAATCACAAAACTTGTTTTGACATCTAAAATAGGACATTGTCACGCATCTAAGCCTAAATAATGCAAGCATGCGCTCTACACTGGATCTCTCAGTGCGCTACTGAAGCATGGCGACAAGGCAAAGTGCTCTAAAAATCCAGTGCTTTATCATTGGCATAGAGGGACATTGCTGATTTTTAAAAGATGATTGTTTGCCCTCACTGTTCTCTTTTGTTGTTGTATCATTCTAGCCTGCCGTTCAATGCTCCTCCCGCAACTACACAATAAGTTGCTATTCTTAGTAGGCATTCAGTTGTGCTACAATAATATTTACTTTTTAATATACCTTATATGGGGTTGAAAGAAGAAAAAAGTGTCAATGCGCTTTATTTCGTATCAAGAAAGATGATGGATGCCAATGATTAGGTAAATTAAAAGGTAAAGCTATACAATTTATGTAGACGCATAATGTGAGAATATGTAGTAATCAGTAGTGGTTATGAAAGGTTGCAATAGAAAGCATGTTGAAAGGTATAAAGTGAGTGTTTAGAGATATGGTTAACGCAGACATGATTGTCTGTCTTCTGGATCAACTCTGATCCCCTCTGCTGTGGAAAATACGTCCCAGAAGCGCAATGTCTCATCGCCAGCGCCCGTAACCACCGTGCTGCCATCGTTGCTCATGGCCATATACAGTACACGAGATGTATGGCCCGTCAACGTGGCCAGTCGTTGCATTCTGTCGGATTTCCAGACAATGACCTGATTGGAGGAGCTCACTGCATTGTTGGCATAACCGTGTGTTGATACAATATCGTCCGTTTTTTTAGACCAAGTAATATTACAGACTTGAGAGCCGGTGTCATGAGAAGAAGTCAAATTGCCAGAGATGGTGTTCCAGAACTTGATGGTCTTGTCTGCAGTACCGCCACCACTGACCAGAACACCACGTCTGTGTGGATTCCAAGCAATGGCTTTCACGGCAGCAATATGCTGAGAGAACTTATGTGCAATGGCATTCTCATGCGAGTCCCATACAAGCAGATTGTTGTCATTGCCGCCTGAGGCAAGCATGGTGCCTTCTGGGTTCCATTTCAAACCACACACCTCTTGAGTATGACCTACTAATTTGCGGAAATACGGCCTTGACGCACGAACATCATGGTGATAGATGGTATGATCTCGACCGCCTGTGGTCAAAATGTTGGATCTCCACGCCATCGAGCCTAAAAAATTAGGAATAAATCAGCACAGCGAAATATCTAGATGGTCAGAAATGAACGTACCAATTCGAGAGGGATGCGTAGACCAAGTTCTGATGCGTCTTGAGTGCTCTGCGTCGTATAGAATGGCTCTACCAGAATTTGTCCCGACGGCTAATATAGAGCCTACGGTTGCCCAACTCACAGATGTCACGTTGTCAGTAACGAAATCACAAAGCTTTGTTACTCGACTGGTATTTGCATTCCACAAGTAAACACATGTCCCTAATCCAACTGCTAAGCAATCATTAGCACCCCAATCTACGAGATTCAGATAGAAATCGTCTTGCAATTCTGGCGCATCCAAGATCTTGATAGCTGTGGTGTTGATATGCCGAATGGTCTTGTCAGAGGATAGTAGGATGCGGCGACCAGCTTCTCCAATGGGCGAGGTTTGGAATCGAGATGCGTTGGGGTGATCTACTACGGTTGAATAGTCTGTAGCTGTTGTCGAGGGCGACAGAACTGGTAGTGTTGAAGAAGAAGATTCTCCGTTTCCAAATGGCTCAGGAGAGCGTCGATAATGAGGAAATAATGAACTTGTGGATGAATTACTGCTGCTGCTTGTGTTGTGTGCAGAAGCTATAGTGTAGGAGCTCTCAGCAGCAGAGGATGACGAAGATGATGATGCTACTGCAACTGTGTTATTATGCGAGATGCCATTGTTGTTGCTGTGGAATGGGTTTGTATAGTGCAGTACTCGTCTGGGTGTTCTTGCTGGTGAATCTGGAGACACATACTCCTCCACAGCTGACAAATCATCTAATAGCTCTGCACGAAAAAACGCACTCATTCGTCTCGATTCTCTACTGTTTGATGGCGTATTCGATGCACTCACATCACTGGATCGTTTCGAACTGTTGGATGGAGATTGCTCCATCATTTGAAAATCTCTGGTCAGATTGCGATCTCTGGAAGGAATGAATCTGTCTCCATGAGGCTGATGCCTTTTGCGACCAAATGGCGAGGGAGGGAAATACGATTCGATGCTCTGTGTTGGTGGTGTCTTTGGGCTCTCTGGATCTTCTTTGTACAGTAAATCATCTTCATAAAGCGGCTCCTGCTTAATCTCTCTCTTTTCAACGGCGGCTTCTTCTTCTACCTGCTCAATCGCTGTTGTTTTTGAAGACCTTAACTTTCTACGGTAATCTCCCATGATGATGAAATACAGATGGTAATTGATATATAAGTGTGCTGTTTCCGTTTGATGACAGTTCAGAAACCTTGTTTTCGTAAACTGGATACATAAAAAATTTTTTAGTTCAATTGTACCTTTTTGCCCTCCTCCAAATTTCTGAAAAAATTGTTTGACTTTTACCTACTTTATGCACGGAACCAACGTTAAAATGGAATAGAAACAAACAAAAGCCAAAGAAATGATAGGAAAAGTAATGATAATGTTAGAGCTCAAGTTGATTTCTTCTCAGTTGATCGAGAATATCAATTTAACCAAATACCTGTTTCAAATTCAAACGCAAATGTTGGTATTTTATCTTTCTCTGTGTTGTATATGTTTTTCACAAAGAGTTACAGAGAAAAACGACTATTCCAGGATAGTGAATAGAAGGGAAGGGAAGAGAAACCGACAGAAAAGAAGAGAATGAGAGAATGAGAGAAAGAGAGAAAGAGAGAAAGAGAGAGAGAGGATAAAGAAATAACGACTATAAGTTCTGATACTCCTTTTGCCCTTATTTCACTCATTTCACATTTGAGAGAGATTACAGTAGAATTTCGTGGTACGTCATCAACCATTGAAACCCAGTGTTGTTGGATCAGGCATTTGATCTCTCGAGATTACAATGAAAATCAAGGCAATGTCCATCATCTCGCGGCGATGTAAATTTTTTAACATTGATCATTACTCATATTTTATATGCTTTCCGTGTGTTTGTTCTAATCACTGTACATGATTTTATTTCATCCGATTTCCAATCATTTCATTTTGTGATTCTGTGCATCATATATGCAAAATCAAACAAACCCAGATGGTATTTTTGTCAGAGGGATCGTTGCTCTGTGCTTAAAGTAATCCCAAATGACATTTACGACACAGGCACTGGCTTATAAAATGTAAAATCGCTGTGTCTAGACATCAGTCAAGCTATTTTGGCTTTAGTCGCCAATACATGTAGACATTAGTAGATCAGTAACAAACATTAAGTGAAAATTAGATATGTATTGGAATGGACCCAAACCCTATCTAGAACAACAACAACAACCTTTGGATTTGGCTGTTGTAGACGAATGAAATAGTAGTAGTCTAATATTACAAACAGATCTGGCGTACTGAAGCGATTGGACATCATAATTGCAGGCATTTGAGTTCGTAATGATGATGCCCTGAGGGATCTACAAGAAGAAGTGAGCTCGCTTAATAACCAGCAAAGCAAGAGCTATTTCAAGCCGTAGTCTTATTTATACATCCAAAATCAGTAAATTCAATGCTTTGTTGATATTATTTGTAAGTAATACGAGCCTTTCGACACTTCGGGTGGTTTCCACCGAAGCGAAGCGTAGGTCAGGAAACTAACCTACGTTGAGACGGCTCGTGCTGCCGTGGGCCTTCGGTTAATATCGCAAAATTTTTATAGCTAAAATGTTAGAAGAGCCTTGATTGTTGATTGATATAAAATTACTAATCGTATAAGAGGTTATGCTTCAGATGCCTCTTAATTTTCGCTTCGCTTCGGTGAGAGCCAACTTGCACAGCGGCAGCTCGCGCTACCGATTGCCCTTGCGTATCTTACCAAAATACTACTACTTTTATGTTGACTCTCTATTTACACATAAAAATCCTTCATATTATCTGTAAATCTGATTCTTATGTGATGCGCTACATCCATATATACGTAGCTACTTCATATACGGGCAAGTAGCGTACTGGTATTTCCCCTTTATAGCCAAGAGTGTGCCTAATACAGCTACATTTGAGTGCATTCGAGCTGCGTTTTCTTGCGTTCAAGGCCGTTTTAGATGGTCAGAATAGCACCAAACAGTTGCTCTCATCTGGCAGTTACTTTCTGACATCTTTGCTCAACTTTTTGAGGATCAAAAAAAAAACATGACCGAAAATCGACCAAAAAGCTAAGGTATCTCTCATGGTTTTCATCGAAAATCACCTTTCTTTCCCCTTTTCTACGAGATTTTTGGTCAAACGGGGTGATTCCCTACTTTTGTGCGGTAGTGGCGCACATTATGGTCTCTCCCATCTCGATAGTTGACAGAGTACATAGTCACTATGTTTTTCCCTTACCAAGGTTTTTTCAACATAGAAGAATAACGTCAGGAGTAGCCAGGGTATGTGATTTATCACATATACCGAGTCTCTTCTGCTCTCAACTGTGGATGATGAGTTTCACAGACGCGAACGTTTGCTTTGTTGTTGGTGTGGTTCTGATTGCTCTCTCTCTTGCTTGCGGCTTCGGTCGAGCATCTTTGTTCTCTCGCGATAACCATCTGATCAAGTGCTGACAGTACTATCCTTAGTCAAAAATCTCCTGGGCCCTTCTCATGGGAACAATTCAAATTAGTAGTCATGCCCTTCTTGTCCCTCTTGTGCACACACTTATAGACTAGTCGTTTTAGGTAGAATAGTCTTTTGGTAGCATGTTAATAACATAATAAATACGAGTGGTAGCCTGCCTTCCTCCATACAAAAAAAAATTTTTTTTTCATCGAAAATCAAACAATCGCATTTTTGACCTTGATATTGAAGGCTTTTACTATGGTATATATTGAATCAAAATGTTTCTATCGATCCAACGTAACCCCTGAATCATCTTTGTGGGGCTTTGATATGTAGAATTTCGACTTTTTGGTCAGAAACCTCTTTTCATATTTTTGTAAATTATTCAATAAGTGTATTCAAAACATCTATCTTACTTGGTACCATTGGATGCGCCTTGAAAAGCACTCCAGGAAAGTTTAAAGAAGCATTTTTTTTTTTTTGTAGGGGAGTCGAGCTCCAGGTTTTATTTAAAGTCCTTAAAATGTCATTCTGAGGGAAAGAAAAGACTGTTGGTGGACCCAATGTCTGCAATGATGGGGAATAAGATATATAATGAAAAGAAATCTACTACTAATCAGGTGCGACACCTAGAGCCAATACAATTATGCGAATCGTCAAAATATGGATACTGGATAAGAGCACAAAACACCAAACGAGGACATCAGTACTACGTCAAAATAATCACCAAAAATGCATTCACTGAGATTTGAACCGGGATCATCCAGATGGCATGTTGGATGCTTAACCACTTCGCCCTACCACCATGGGCGCAGCTTAAAGAAGCATGGGATGATCAGTATATTTTACTTGGTAGAATCTGCAAAAATAGTTCAATCGAGTCGAAAATCATCAAGATTTGTCCAACCTGGAGCAGACTCTAATTTTGGGGTTGAATTAATTTTGACTGGTGGGGCTAGTTAATCATATATGAGCCAGGCCTGACAGATGCCCAGAAACTCAGTTTTCATATTGGTGTTGTAAAAGTGTCTAGGGACTGAACATTTATTATAGTATGATGTGAGAGGTATTCACTGTTTTACGGTTGCCCTGAGCAATGAAACATCAGATCAAAAAACTCGCGATAGGTCAAAGTACGAATATATCTATCAGCATTGGGTGAGATGAAAAGTTTGATCTGGCTGCATCCAATCCTGGATGGCAACTAGACTCAGGCCATGTTAGGCATGCGATGCGCTTCGATTTGATTTCGATACATTTTGAGATATGCAGTCGAAATGCTGAATAGAAGAGCGGAGAAAATGGACAGCATTTTGGCAGTTGAAACATCTCTAATCATCTCTCTGCTGGGACTTTTAGCAACGTCTGGTCAAAGACATTTTCGATAGAGCAATAATCTGCCGAGGTGCCAAGTGTTCATATTGAGTTCCCAAGGCGAAACAGAGGCATTGAAAATGCACATTAAAAGCATTTTTTTTCTTTCGCCGAAATTTTTCAGCTATCTCTAATTGGACATAACAGAGAGTCCAATCCTTTTGCTCCTGTTTGAAGTGAAAAAGAAAATAATTTTTTTAATTTTTTTTTTTTTTTTTTTTTTTTTTTTTTAAAAACCTCTAAACTCAATTGTAAAAAAAAAAAAAAAAAAAAATTAAAAAAATTCAAGATAATCAAATCATAGATACTTCAAGTCATCATGTCGTTTACTCATCCTTATGGGCAACAACAGCACCATCGTCAACAGCAACAGCAACAACAGCAGCATCACCATCAACCTGCTCCTTTACAGCAGCAGCAGCAGCAGCAGCAGCAGCAGCAATCACAACATCATCAACAAACACAGCAATCTCCTTATGCAAATACTGCTTACATGAGCAATCATTTGCCAAGTTTACATGAGCAATCTCCATATCGTACTCAACAACAGCCTCCTCCACAGCATTCTCCTTATGGCAGTAGACCTGATAATGGATTGCCTCCTCCCGCCCGACATCAATTACATCAGCCGCAATCGCAACAACATCAATCACACAATGCGGAGCATTTTCATCAACCTTTACCCTCCATGTATGATTCACGTAAACTCTTCACTTGCAATGAACCAGGCTGCTCAGAGTACTTTGATCATTCAAATGGGCTACGAATACATCAAAGGTAGGAAAGGGATGATGTATGCCGATTCAATTTATCAAGATCATGTATATTCATACGGCTATCTGTTTAGAACTGTCCATGGCCGTAGTTTAGGAGGAGGAGATGGTAGTAACGATGATCATATTCGAAGCACACACAGTAGACCCTATGTAAGCGCAATTGTGTTGGGTGTGTGGACATTGTGGATCTAATACGAAATGATAGGTTTGTCCTTATGCTGAGTGTGGAAAATCATTTACACAATATGGAAACTTGAAGGTAAGCATACGTAGATCAGATACAAGAGCTGAAGCAACTCTGACATGCCAAATTGCTAGACACACTCGAGAAAGCACACTGGTGAAAGGCCATATCATGTAAGTCCTTAATCTATTTTGATATCATAATCATCAGTCTTATTAGTCTTTTTAGTGTACTTATGATGGATGTGATAAAGCGTTTACACAGTTGGGCAATCTGAAGACTCATGAAAAGATACATTGGCCCGTCAAGCCTTTCATGTGTGCATTTCCAAATTGCGGTAAAGGTTTCACGCAGCGTGGCAACCTCAAGGTAAGTACGAATGAAAATGCTGCAATCAGCACTGGCATTAACACTTCTGTCATGCATAGACACATCAAGTAAAAGTGCATCAAATTGTACCTCAGTAAGCTTTCTCTTACGACAGAGCCATGATCGAAGGCATCATCTAACATCACATTGCCTTTTTCTTCTTTTAATAATCCAACATCCCTCCCCATTTACACATACATACGTTATATATTCTTTCTTGTCTTTATTATCTAAAACTATTACTATTTTACTATTTTACAATAAATCTACGCAACGGTCAACACTTTTTGTGCGTAATAATAAATACAGTTGTGTTGCAAAGTGTCTAAATAGCGTGAAGATCCAATAACCCAAGATAATGCCCTCCATCGTAGGTCTACTTGTCGATCGTACTACTAATCAGTCTGCCAGAATGAGCAATGGCCAATGCAGCTGCAATGCAGTCCTGGAAACATAATGATACCATCTTGCCAGCATTTTCATGGATCCATGGATGCCAAGTTATCATCTCCCCAAATACCCACTGCTCTGTATTTCCAAACGCATACAGATAATGGTGCCAACTATATCTTAAAGGGCCTGGATCCACAAAGATCAATGACAATAAAAGTGATATTTTGATATTTTATACTTTTTTTTTTTTTTTTTTTTTTTTTGTTCAGTTTATTCTTTGATATGGTTAAGATATATTACTATTTGTGGTTAAGATATGTTACTATTTGTGGTATACTATCCTTAATGCATGATAGTGTTGTACTTTTTTTACATGTTGAAGGCTGACTAGGTATTTACATAATGAAGATGGCTCTGACGATCAGAAAGTTTGCCTGGTGTACTTGCGTGGTATATTGATGATAGTTTTGGTGAATAATTTAAAAGGGGTCCATGGAGAGAAGCTCGTTAAATAATCTTTTTGCTTCAGGTTGGTGATAATCAGAGTAGAAATCGTATTCATCCCTCTCATGGCGAGTTCGTTTCTTACCAAGGATGGAGACAGTCGTATACTTTGGAGCTGCTGCAGTAGAAACAATGTTGGTAGTTTGTTGAATAATTGGTTGAGGTGCAGCTTCAACAATGGAGGCTTCTTTGCAAGGTGTCTCACTGGTGTTTGCTAAAAGAGGTTGTTCCTGAATATTTGTTGTAAGGTTGATATTGTAGACGGGCCAATTTTCAATAACTTGCAAAGTACTGGCTTGAGCAATACATCGGCTAGCAGCATCAGATTGTTCGTTGACTCGAGGTGTGGATTGGTTATCAAGACTACTCAAGCTAATTCTTGGATAGGATGCAGTACCTTGAGCTTTGTTGACTTCGATGGTGCTTGAATCGTTCACTGACATAGTTTCTCCCAGCTTTCGTTGCTTTGGTGCATTTCCAGGCATATCAGCCCCGTCAAAGCTGCAACCATGCTTGCGTTTCAAACGGCTTGAGTAAGCTTGCTTGTTTTCTTTGTTCTCATTAGCGACACTTGCAGCATTGGATGTAGCAGTTGATAAAGGAGTAGATGAGCTGGCCGTACGGAATGAATTGCCAGAGATTAAATCCGTTGAAGCTGAGATGGAGGTACTTGGGATAGCTGTAGAGGTGGCAGACACATCAAGAGAGTTGACTATGGCGACATTGTTTGTACATTCCAAACGATTGTAGGTATTGTTGGTATTGTTGGCATTGTTGGCAGTGTTGGCATTGTTGGCAGTGTTGGCATTGTTGGCAGTGTTGCAGATTTCATAGCTTGATCCGTCCTTTTCAGCAGATGTTTCGTAGATAGTATCATTGAGATGCGAAGCAGTAGGTGTCAATGAAGCCAAATCATTGTACTCTGATTCTGGTCCATGAGTTTCATTTGATAATAGATAGTCAGGATCATCAGAGTTAAGTGTTTCAGGAACATCGTCTTGATTGGAGGAGGCAGATTGGTTTTGATGACCGACGTCCTCATCAATTGCTGCGTAAAGAGCGTAACTGTATTCATATTCGTTGCCCAATGAAGCTAGAGATGAAAGCTCTTCGTCACTGGCAAATCCATCAACAGAAGAGGAGTAAGATACATCAGTGTCTTCATCATAAGGGATGAAGTCGTCGTCTTCATTTGACGCGATTTGAGGCTGAGATTGTTGTTCTGGCTCTTGTTCCTGTTGTTGCTGAGGCTCTGGTGCGACTGATGGAGCTTCTTCTGGCATTTGGTCTTCCTCTGCAGCTGCAAGCCTTTGCTTAAGTCTGTGTGCTGCATTGCAAACGCTACCAAAAATTCAGGAGACGCACTACTTACTACAGGTCTGTAAATACTTACTTGATAATCAACAACTCGTGGATTAAAGAAATGTTCTTACGTTCCAGTTTTGCTTCGCCAATAGCCAAGATGCGGTCTAAAAGCGCGATGGGTTCCAAATTCGCCATCTTGAATTTGATCTGTTTGTTCTTTTCTTCAATTGATACGTGTAAATGTGTTGTCTGATTGAGTGTTTGTGAAAAAGAATGAGATGCGTTCAGAATTGATATGAAATGAGAAAGAAAAAGGAATAAATGAATTGTATCGCTTCACCCAATCTTTTAAGCAAAATTTTTGGCGTTTTTACCTCCGCGTTTGGCGTAGGTCGCTCCGCCAGCTCAACATCTTGCCCATGAGCCATCCGCTGATTTGACATTTGAATGCTTAGACAGACTTGGATACTCTGTTGCGATTGCTTTATTAAGGCCCTGTTGTCATATCCATGCTTCAGAAGATTGGGGCAGTTTTATACACGTTTTTTTTTTATTATATACATAGATGACTGATGCTCTTAAATTAGGCAGTTAATAATAATACTCTTTTGTTATCAAAAATTCCTGTTCAGTGTGCTCTGGATTTCTTTTCTTTTTGAGGTAATAGTCGATCGGGACCTTTGTATTGAGAAACTCATCAATCGGTTGATCTTGATCATTCGGAGTGATGGGAGATGCATAGTTCGAACTGCTTCTACGTCTTCTGTTCAGATATTTTGTATGCACTGGCGGCGGTTTGATTGTGGTTGTAGTATCCGTTGCAGCACGATTGCTGCTGCTCTCATCAGGAATATCCTCTTCATTAAAGTTCCAAGTAGTTTCAATGAAATCAAGCTCATCCCAAGAGTCATTATCGTACTCTTCGTCTTCATCAGTTGACCGAGGGTACTTTTTGGTGGCAGATCGGCTCATAAGATACGCTCTCTTGTTGAGTTCGGGACGACGCGCAAGGTACTTTTGCAAAAGATGAGGACCAGTAGCTTTCTTCAGGAATGGATGGTTTAGAGCGTCAGTAACAGATAAGCGAGTGGCTGGATTCTTGTCTAGACACCTTTCAATGAAGTCCTGGATTGAGTTTGAAGGGACGTAACGGACATGATTCGTATACAACGTAGGAGCAGGATCATCAATGATCATCGAGAAGATCTATATTGAATGTATGAATTAAATTATGCTAATGTAGCCTGTTTGCGGTCATCAACTTACAGTCATTGGATCATACTCTGCAAAGGGAGGCTTGCCACATGCCAGTTCAATTGAAGTTATACCGAGGGACCAAAGATCAACTTTAGTATCGTAATCTTGATTCAACAAAATTTCAGGGGCCATCCAGCACGGTGTGCCAACAAAGGATCTACGGGCCTTTTTGGGAACAGTGGGAGGCTGCAGTAACGTGGACATTTTGTGGTGGGGAAAGTTGTCAGCTGCCATTAACGAAATGAAAGATTCAGTCATGGACTCCATCGTTGATTCAGCATCTGGCACAGCAGCATTCTTGCGAAAGTAATTTGTGTTTTTAGGCACATCAGCCAGGTTGGTCAGCAAATGATTGCTTACACCAAAATCAGCCAATTTAACGATACCAGTGTCAAAATCCAGTAGCATGTTTGCAGACTTGATATCACGGTGCACTAGCTCATTGTCATGAAGATATTCCAAGCCTTGAGATACTTGCTTGATGATACATGCGACTATGCTTTCTTCGAAGCCAAGTTTATGACATCTGGACAGCAAATCATGACAGGAACCTAAGCATTAAATTAACATTAATTATCAATGTCTATTAATAGGGTCGCTCACTGGTGGCACCAACTTACCGGCTGACATGATCGGGGTGACAATGTATAATTGTGAAGAATGGACAAAGCTTTGATAGACTTCAAGCAAATGTGGGTGTCTACATAGTGTCATGATTTGGATTTCCTTGCGCAAGGCATCTAACCTTGAGTCATCGAGGCCAATCTCTTCTAAATTGACAGTTTTAATGGCTATGACAGACTGATTTGGTTTGTAGATGGCAGAATACACAGACGCAGTTGCTCCAGCGCCAATGCTTCTCAAAATATCATAGTCGTCTGCTTTTGAAGAGTAGGAAGCAATCATCGGATGTTGCTGCTGATGGTGTTTTCTTGACATTGGTGAAGACGTATTACTGCCAGTGCTGTTTGATCTGAGCGATAACTTGACTCTGTTGACAAGCTCAGAAATCGATCTCTGTCTTGACAAGGGCTTCTTGGGTGTAATTGTCGCAGTGGCACTGTTTGAAGGTGTTGCATTTACTGCACTTATATTGGTTTCCGTGATTGTTCTTGATCTTGCTCTTCGTTTTGTACTTGAAAATATGTGGTTTAAAGAAGATGTTCGAGCCACTGTCACTGATGGAGATAGAGGAGAAGAGCGTTGCTGATCCATTGGAAGCAATGATAGAATAAAGAAGAAAGAACAAGCCTTTTTTAAACCTGTTAATTAAATATTTATAGTCGAGAAAAAAGACAAATAAAGTTAATTGATGTTTATTAAACCACGATGCCAAATATATTTGCAATAAGGAGTTGCTAGTGGCAAATCAAGGAGATCCAAAAATAAACCTGTTGAATGACACACTGTAGATGTATGTCCACTCTTTGCGCGCTGAAATATAGCTACCAAGGCTTCATGGCATGCTTATCGCAACAAGGAGAAGGAGTCAGGGCCACCTCCACTCTTCCATGAGTTTTAAATCAACCAACAAAAAAGGCAAGTTATAATATCCTGTTCTTGTGTACCATCCAGGTCTACTGCATTTTTTCAAGAAGCAAATGAACTCTGTTCCCCTTAAAATTAGGAGAAAACAAGGAAAACACATCGGCCTATATTCTGTATTCAGTATTGCATGCGGATTCCGTGAATTCCGTAAATACAAGTGTTGCTATTATAGTTGAAAACAGGCTTCAGGGACGCATTTGATGTGATCATTCTAGTTATATGTATATTTTAATCAATAAATGTCATCAAATTGTTTATGAAATAGGAGATCACAATAGTTTCCTGTCATTGTGGTTGCTATGAGCGTATGCCAAGATTTGCCTAATTAACACAGCGAAAAAGCAGAACCTCAGGGAAGGTGATCCGAAAATGATCAGCATTGGCAATAAAGGAATCCATATTCCAGTTCCAAATCAGATCAGGGTGCTACTGCGTGGCATCCAGCAACATCCCAAAATGTTCTATTCCAGAAAAACTCTATTCCATGTTAACAGACAGCTGAATAATCGAGTAGAGATGGAACAACAGTAACAAGTACCCTGTGTCTATATCTCTTCTGCATATAAAAACGAAATGGTACATCCCCAAGGATCTCGGATCAAACATGCGAAGGTTGCCATGGAGACCATCACAAGCTGTCAAACAAAAATCCTTGCAATTAATTAGAGGGTCTAGACGCATGAGCCATGGTTTACTGCTTAATGTGCTGCAATGTGTAATTTATTGTAGAAAAAAAAAGTGATATGAAAGAGATATGTCTTTGTTGTATTAAAGATGTAAGTGTTGCTATAATCTAAATGTGTGGTTTGATGTTAAAATAAGAGAAAACTAAATGACAAAAAGTGCCTAGGCCTTGACGTTCTTGACCAAATAAGAAAGCAAATCAACCTTTGTGACAACATGCTTAACCTTTTGTTCATCAGTGACCAAAGCACTAGAGTTAGTTTCAAAGAAACGGGTCAACTTGTCGAGAGGCGTATTTTCAGTGATTTCTTCAAATTTGGCAGAGCCTTTGGTGAAATGGAACATAACATCAGAGACATGAGTTTCAGCCTTGGCACGACCAGAAGCCATACGAGAGAGGATGTTACCCATAGTGACAAGACCTCTAAGACGGCGATGAGGACCAGCAGTAACGGGCAGTTGATCGAAACCGTTCTTTTCCATAAGATCAATAGCTTCCTTACAGGTAGTCTCGCCATCAATAGTAACAGCAGCAGCCAACTTCAAATCACGGACAGTGGCACCGGCATAATCCTTCTTGGCCTTGTTCTCAAAGCTTTCACTTTCAAACTTTTCATCAGTGAAACCACGCTCTCTCATCCAGTCGTCGTTCAAGAACTTGGTCATGTAGTTACGAACGGAATCAGGCAAAATGACAACACAACGTTGGCCCTCCTTGAGCTCCTTGGCAGCTTGAACAGCGGCATGCATGGCAGTACCAGAAGAACCACCGCAAAGGATACCTTCCTCACGGATCAAACGACGAGACATCAAGAAAGAAGGCTTATCTTCAGACTTCATCCAAACATCAATCAAGTTACGCTTCAAGACATCGGGAATAAAATCGTAACCAATACCTTCCACTTGATAAGAGCCTCCCTCAGTGTTGAGAGATTCAGGTTGAGCCAAGATGGAACCGACGGGATCAACACCAACAATCTTGATATTAGGGCACTTTTCCTTGAGCTTTTGAGCAATACCAGAGATGGTACCGCCAGTGCCTGCACCGGCAACCAACATGTCAATCTTACCATCACATTGCTCCAAAATTTCTTCAGCAGTGGTATCGTAGTGAGCAACAGGGTTGTAGGGGTTGCCATATTGATCCAAGATAACAGCATTGGGGATCTCATCTCTCAGTTTACGAGCGACACCAATGTGAGACTCGGGAGCATCCCAAGCAGCTTCAGTAGGGGTACGAATGATTTCGGCACCCAGAGCCTTCAACACATCAACCTTCTCTTGAGACATCTTTTCAGGCAGAGTGATGATGACACGATAGCCCTTGACAGCAGCAGCGAGAGCCAAACCAATACCAGTGTTACCAGATGTAGGCTCAATGATAGTGCTGACACCAGGAGTGATAGTACCAGCCTTTTCAGCCTCATCAATCATACGAGCAGCGATACGGTCCTTTACGGAACCACCAGCATTGAAGTATTCACATTTAGCCACTAGAATGTACAGAAGAAAAAAAAAATTTTCCATCAATTTCAGGCCAAACCCAGCCCCTTTTGACACTAGCTACTTACAAAGCTCACACTTTAAACCTTCAGCCTTCGCAATTTTGTTAACACGGACGAGAGGAGTACGGCCAATGTTATCCAAGATGGTATCAGAAATCTTGGGTGAAGGAGCAGAGCTGCGGAATGGTAGATGAGACATGCTATTCCGCTGCGACAATAAGAGGTACTACTTACTTGTGCTTGTGGTTGTATTGTTCAAAAATGTGCTTCAATTCAGTGGACATGCTGCGTAAAGATTGTATAAATAAATGTAAATAAGAAGAGGAAGAGAGTGATGTGTTGGCAAAGAAAATTTTCTCACTTTTTAAGGCCAACTTTCCCACCATTATTTTACCACACTCCATTCTGTCCTACATTTGCCATACCAGTGACTCGATTCGAACCGAATGTTTGAACGTCTATCAAATTGGTTTTATTGCAATAATTCACCGACTAAGCGGGTGTCCTCGTATTGCCAGTCTGGCGTGCAAAGCCATGTGAATAAGTGGGGGGGGGATAAGACGTACCTATAAAAAAAAAAAGTAAGTGGTCAAAAAATCTGCTGATAGATCCCAGTGAAACGGCCAACTTACTTATCAGGATTTTGAACTCGACTGAAAGGAGGCAACACCTTGCTGTCAAGTGAGGCCAGTGCCGAAAAACCAATGAGGGCAATGTTACTCGCTCCTTGCTCATCACGATTCATAGTAGTTTGTTTAGCCAGCCTTTTTGGACACTCAGGGTTAAAGCATGTAACGGCACCGAGGTTCCTCTTCATTCTATTATCCTCATCACGCACCAGTTGTTTCTGTGTCTCCTTGAAACATGAGCAGCAAATTTTTGTAGAATTGTATTCGTCCACCAATCTGACTGTGCTTCTTGTGGACAGCGTTGACATGTACGGCTTCATACTTCGAGTGCTGTGGCCACGGAGGTACTGAGCATTGCGATGCCAGTTTCCTACGAAGGAAACCATCTTTGGCTTGTTGAAGGCGGACATGGTTGCAGCAGATCTGGCTTCACTGGCTACCAAATGTTGGTGAAGTTTCTTCAAGCGGATTCGTCCAGTTGCCCTTCCTTTCTGTAGCTTCTTGACTGATGACTTCTTCCTCTTCTTTCGCCTATTGGAGAGGACAGCATTATCGACTACGTTGACTGTCATTTCATACTTGACGAATGCTTCTCTGTTTCCAAGAGAGGTTGCAGTGTCAGAATACTCTTGCAGTATTTGAAACCGATTGATCGACTCAAAAAGAGTGAGAGAAGCCACTAGAAACGAACAATTCCTAAACACTGGCACTGATGTCGTCAATAATTACAATGGGCTTGACACTCTTGCTCAAACCACAATCAAATAAATCAACAGCTTTGATGTCAAAGAAAGACATCTTTTTCTGTGTCGCATGTTGGATGAGGATAACATTACCATCTCTGAGATTGGACATATAGCGGAATACTGTATAGGCAATGTATTGTGTATATCATTCTACCACAGCTCAGATTTCGTATGATACCTTGTTACAGAGTATGGTACTTGATTCCATAAGCACAGTACTTGATGATGGCTATTAGATATTGACAAGGCTCATGTATTTTGCTTGCCTGAACATTTACATGAGGCACATTTCATGATTATTGAATAGTGCATGCCTCTTTTTTTTTTTTTTTTTTTAACTTCAAGAGATCTTGCAGCTTTTTTCAGGCACCAAATCAACAGTATTGAACATAGTAGGGTAGGGCTTGACAAAAATCACCTTTTATAGCTCTATGAAACCACTGCTTGAAGAATAATCACCTTTTATGTTAATGTTTGGATGAAAGCTTGTTCTGTTCTTAAATTGGTCACACCTACAAGTTTACAATAGAATGCAATTGTGCCCTGCAACATGTTATTGCCACCAAACAGCGACAAGTTGAGTTGGGTTGTGCCTTAATAACCTGAGGATACAAATTGTGTCCTAGCAGTGTCCTTCGCCCCTATACAAATAAAACTACTTCCAAATGACGTGCCCTGGTAAGAAACATCTGATTTTTATTAGCAAAATAGAAAGAGAGGTTTTAGCGATAAGAAAGCTAGGCGATAGATATCATTAACAGTAAGTTAAATGGTATAATACATGGCAGATGTATGGATATTCTTTGTTCTTGTTCAAACAGTCCGATTATCGCGAAAACATGTGGGTAGAGGGTACAAGCTCTGTCTTATCTGGTGACAGATACAGGTCGTGGTACTGCAGAACTTTTTTGGAGACGGTAGTAAAGACCTCGATGGGATTTGAGAAGGATTGGCCAACTGAGTGATCCAAGAAGATTGCTGGATCATGTCTATACACCCCTAGTTGCAGCGCAACTTTGTACACTTCCAACCCTATTTGCATGTTTTCTGGTGTTGGATGATTCGTATGAGCAAAGATCAGGTTGGTTAAGATGATAACCTCTCTGCTAGGTGTTCTGATACGTTCGTTGAAATCTTTGTAGAATAAAGTTGCATAATGCATGGCTCGTCCAGGTGTTGAAGCATATCGCACCATGGTGCCAGCAATCATTGCAAACAATCTGTCGTCGCTTTTAGTAAAGCATCCTTCTTTTTGCTCCCGGGAATGATAGTCGACCATCACTTCTTCATAAAGCCATTCAGCATTCGCAAAGTTTCTGTTATGTTTTGCTTCTTGTGTTATCGCCTTGAAAAGAAGCGATAAAGGCACATGTTCATGGTTGCTCTTTTTCTGTTCGACAAACCTTCTGTTGTGGATTGGATACCTCGATGCGTTGCTGTAATGGCTGTTGTCCATTGCCTTATTTTTTCTTTTTCTTTTTTTCTTTTTTTTTTTTTTTTTTTTTTTTTTTTTTTTTACAATATAGAATAAAAAGATATTTCCCCCCTCAAAAGTCAAGACGATTATTATTCATTCTCAGGCAACATTTGATTGATTTAACAAGTTTTGGGAGACTTGCCATAGCATTTCAGAGTAGTTAATCAAGAGCGATTGGTCTATCATGCCACTACTACACAACAAATGAACTATATCAATACTAGCACTGAGTATCCTCACTCATTTTATACTATATGCAGAGAATTCTCCTCCAAACCGAATATGCCAGAGCTTCATTCAGTGACTTAAAAGTCTCGAGCCAAGCTACACAAGGCTTTGCTTTGTCATAATCCATATAAATGCCCTTTTATTTTTGTAAATCCAAGCAAACAAGTGTTACAATTCATAGCCTTCCACTTTAAACAGTTCGCCATAGTCAAAGTATCGAGTCATCAGCTTTTGCACAGGTTTAGGCAGATTCATAGATGTCAAAATGTTCTGCATCTTGGAGAGTCCAGCTTTTCGAATCAAAGTATTCAGATTGCGCGAAATTTCTGTGGGATACTATAGCATCAAAGAATCAAATCAATATTTCTGGCATCACCGTGAGATCCTGCCCACATACCACTATTTCATGATACCATCTCTCGTGGTAAACTGTCAATTTCACAGCCGCTAGTAGAGCTTTTTGAGTGTTTCCTTCATTGGCATAAATTTGTAGCAGCTTCATCCACGCTTTGGCAGAGAATTTGTGATCCAAACACATTTCAAATGCCTCTTTTGCTTCATTCTACAATGTTGGCCAGGTCAGAACCTGATACGGCTTGCAATGTAACAACTCACCTCATGCCATAAGCGCAGTGCAAGATCACCCAAAAGCTCCCACTCCGTGCCAGTTTTTCTGTATATGGTTTTTTGAGCACGATAATGAGCATCCTCTGCTCTCCAAAATGTGTAAACTCGCAAATCTTCATAGAGGACCATGAAAAGGTTGTCCAACCATCGTTCACACAGTCTTTTGTTGCCAAATGAGATGCTGACCTCTGCTTGCTGCTCTGCTTCGCTCTCCTCTGCCGCCTGCTTTGGTTTCTCTACATTAGCTGGCTTACTCAACTCTGTCTTGGTATCATCAAGTGTGGCATCCTGTAGCTTTTGATTCAACTTTTCATCGCTCGAACGTACTACTGTGCTTTTGCGATGATCCTCCTTTGCTTTATGTTTGCGATATTCCTCTTCCATGACAAACACTTCAGATCTGCATCTCAATAACTCGTCCCATGTCAAGGCATTTGCTAATCTGGTCAACAGAGAGTACGCCTTTGCGAATGTGCCATGCAAAGCAGGTGCTGGAAGTCGTGAAAGAGAAGAATCCGCCTATACTGTAGTTATATAAACAGGGTCCCGTTACGATTATATACCAACATTACCTCTGATTCTCGGCCGGCTGCATCTTCTTCCATGATTCCTGAACTGATAATGTCTGGTTTGACGGGCAAATGCGTCTTTAAAGGTGATGGCATGCGGTGCATATCCCGCTCACTGTATGTGAACATTGGGCACGAGTTTAGTGTCAGTAAAGCCTGCGTTTTTCAAGCAGGTTAGCCATGTATCGTTTCGTTTATGATGGATCCTTACATTCTTATAGTCCTTGAGATCGATGTATACTTTAATGGAACTCATTAATACACCAAAGAGGCACATTTACTGTTGTCTAGTTACCTTCTGTGAGCTTGGCCCAGGTCAAATATTCAGAAGGCGTAGTGTCAACTGCATATTTGGCCATCTTCAAAGCTAGATCGTATTCACCCTTGAAATGCACGCATCTCATTAGAAAATGCCCCTTACACATGCTCTGTAAGGACACTTACCTTGCTTCTCAAAAAGTCAACCTGCGTATGGAGTAACGGGAAGCTCATTGACGAGAGTTTCAAGTCTTGGTAGAGAATTTTCACTGCTTTGATTTCCTCGTTCTGACCAATGTAAGCCTTGGCTAGCAAGGAGCCCACTTCAGGATCTTGTTTGTGCAGCTTCTTGAACAGTTCTATCGCAGGCGCATATCTGAAGCTGTCACTAAAATACTTCATGACGCCGTCTGCAAGGTGATTGTGCACAGATGTTGCCACCTGAACTTCTGGCTTACTACCCAATTGCCACCCCTTCCAGAAGAGTGCTTCTACAGCCTCCAAAAATCTACTCTCTGCTGCCAGGTTCATGATGGGATCCACTTTTCTGTATCCTGCTAATCGATAATAGCTGTCATCCGAGTACAAAATGGCCCTTAGCACGGCTGATAGATATGTTTCTTGCCAAATGTCAGCAGTAGCTTCATGTCTATAAACATGTTAACATTGAGCTAAATATATACATTTGTGCGACATGGTAACAGGCGCCATACCTTTCCCCACGAACATCCACATAATAGCTTTCGACACCACCTGGGATCTTTACCTCAACCCTAACATCAACTCGGGAGAACGCATTGAAACAGCTATCATCTCTTTAGCAAGATATCCCCTAGTCATGCAAACCTAAACCTTACCAATAGATACCGGATCGAATACGCCAAGAGTTTGATTTCGTGAACCAAGATTGAGTATCATCCTATAGCAAACACTGTAAATCTATATCTAGGGCAATAAAAATATAGGTCTCTTTACCATAGAGTATGTCAACGAATTCAAGTATGCTGCTAATGAGGCTGACGACGATGCATCGACGCCAGAGATATAATGAAAGCTTCCAATCTACATGGTGTCCCTCGGTGAGTCACTTGGGAATTGTTAGTAAACACGGTCAACATACTTCTTTGATACCAGGCTTAGCATTGAATTTGATGATATGACATAAATCAGGCGGTCCAAGCTCACGGAAAGAACCTACAACGTTGCTATTTAGACATGTTGTCCCTGAATCTGTGAGTTTGCATATCGTACCTAAAGCATCCGTTCTGGCGACAATAGACTCTCCAAGTTCTGTTTCAAAAAATTCAGGGATATCTTTTAATGTATCAGCCATATTTTTCAAATGAAATAGCCTGGATGGAAAGAAGAGGAATAAGCTATTTTCAGCTTTAGTGGCATTTTTATATTAAGTGTGTATGTGGATTTTCTTGTCAATGTGATAGGTGGAGAAAACGCCGCTTGCAGTTACAGCATTGTCCTGAATCAAAGTTCGTTGTACGCATGACAGGGTTTTTATGGCTCTATCTTTGAAAGAAAACCCTCTTTGTATACTAGAAACTAGCTAATCTATCTCGCTACGTTCGATGTCAGCGTCGCCCTATGGACTCTTGCCAAAGACATTTTAAATCAGATATAATAACATTTTGGTATATCAAGTAGATTTTAAACAACCAATTATTAGTAAAAGAAAGGTCATATCAGAGCCTGGAGGAGGAGAGGAGGTAACTCCCTCAGCACCCTGTTTATTTACACTGATATCAAACGAAGCGTACTAGTGAGACGCTGTGAAAGAAAATTCAAGTTTTACGCAGCATTTGTAAACCACATTCTCCATTTTCTGATAGTAGAATTGCCATACCATTCACTGCTGCTGCCGATGCTCAAAATAAGATGGCAACATAAAGCTGGTCATAAATAAATATAGGACTTGTGTAAGACCTACAGCGACTTTTTTGAAATATTGTCATTGCAAAGGACACATTCATGAGACAAAGCTCCCCCCAAAAAAAAAGTATCTGCGCTAAGCAATTGTCCTTTCAACTCCATGATCCGCATTTAATCAGCATCGCAATCATCATTGTCATCAAAAGAAAGGCATTTAGGTCAGCCAGCAGCAATGCCGCCACCACCAAACTCAATTAAAACTCAGAATATGTTTTCTGTTCAAGATTGGACAGATTTTGTCTTTTTTCGACTTCTTTAATTTATTCTATTATATTCGACTATATAAACTGTAACGATCGCCCCGCGCTTCCTAATACATGCTTGAAGTACTTTTCAAGGCGCTTCCAATGGTACCAAGTAAAGTAGATGTTTTGAATAAATTTATCGAGTAATTTATGAAAATATGAAAAGTGGTTTTCAGCAAAAATAGCCATATTTTGCATATGAACACCTCATAAAAGTGGTTTCAGAGGTTGCTTTGGATCGAGAGAAACATTTTGATGTAATATATACCATAGTAAACGTCTTCAGTTTCAAGGTGAAAAACGCGATCATTTAATTTTTGATGAAAACCATGAGGTATCCCTCATGGTTTGGAGTCGATTTTTGGAGATGTTTTTTGGATCCCAAAAAAGTTGAGCAAAGGTGTCAGAAAGCAAGTGCTAGGTGAGAGCAACTGTTTGGTGCTATTCTGGTGGTCTAGAATGGCTTCTAACACCAGAAATCACTGCTCAAGTGCCTCCAAATTATGCTGTGGTTTTCATACGTTTGAGTAGTAAGAGGCAATCCAAGCATGCTATCTGTTCGTGTATGCATCGTTCCCACTGCTACAGACGTGAAGCATCGCGAAAGAGTTAGATTCACAGTTGCACTTTGTTTAAAGAGGGTTCTCACATACTGGACAAAAAAAAAAAAAAAAAAAAAAAAAAGCAAAGCTCCAATATAAATTAGTAGAATTATGTTTATTAGATGTAGTTTTAGTTTTAAAAGTATTGTTCCAATGTATCGCGATTAGATGTAAGAAGCCATTCATCTGTTTCATCCTTGCTGAGCATAACAGCATCAGCACCAGTACCACCAACTGATGTTTGATAGCAATCGAATCCCTCTGACTCTAGTTTTAACATGACTTGATCGATCAGCTCTTGGGGAACATTATCACGAATAAACGTAACAGCACAGCCACCGCCTCCAGCACCCGTTAGCTTGGTTTTGAGACCTGATTGAGCAGTGATGGATCTGACTTTCTCCAAGCTTGGATGGCTCACACCAAGTCCATCAAGTAAACAGTGATTTAATGTAACCAAATCCTCAATCTCGTCCATGAGTGCTTCGGTAGTCAATTCATTATCTTGTAATTTCTTGAAAGCATTACGACAACGAATGGCGATACCGTGCATTGAGTCAAGCATGGGCTCAACAACCTCAGGGTACTTTTTACGCTTCTCACCCACACCGGCTACCAATGCACTGGTAGATCTAGGAACCTTTGTGTTTGTAAGCAGCAAACGCAGTGATTTGAAGCCTTCCAATGTAGCAAATCCTTGTCCACGCATAAATGTCTTTGCTCCGCCGTATGTTGCCACTGCATTATCGACGCCGCTGGGATTACCATGAATCACTTCTTCTGCCTTGAATGCATAGGCGTTTACCTTCTCAAGGTATGTTTCTCTTTCGGGTCTCGAGTTGAAATCAACGGGAATCTTGTTGTTGAGCAGCAATAAGGCTGTTGCAATAGCGACGGAATAACTGGCAGAACTACCCAAACCAGCACTCACAGGGAGAAAAGAACGCACGCAAACGGTCAAACCATGCGTCAATGGCTCTTCAGCTTTGGATTCCATGATGACCAGGAGGTATAAAAAGGCCATGAGTGCCTGAATCTGAGAATCTTTGGTGGTAGGTCCAGCTATTTCGACTAGACGAGCCTTGAGTTCAGCGGGCATATCATTAGGATGACGGGTATCTAATATACAATGAGATGTAAGATGATTTTGCACCAGGCACGAAATTAGACTTGTAGATCAAATTGTACCTGAATCAGGATATGCAAATCTCAATGGAATGTCGCTGAGCTTCCAGCTTCTTTCGATGCCAACGTCCGGCAGAACGAGCTTGATCAAATCGTCCTTTCTGTTCTCGAGATAGAGATATGATTTCAATCCCAACGATGCAGCTACTGCTGTCTAAAACCAAACCAAACCATCAGTACATGTTGAAATTTCGCGTAGATCACATGCACCTGTACCTTTTGATAGACAACTGAGTGCTCACCAAATAAAATTACTTTTCCTGGTGCAGACACAAGTATGCGTTCGTTTTGTTCAGTTCCAGTCATATCGATATTGCAATTATAAGGAGAAGAAGCGCTCCCAATGTTACAAGTAAGTTTGACAAGATATATCACCATTGAAACTCAAATAAATTTTAGTGACTACACAACAGAGATGTTAAAATTTTTTTTTGACACGGCACATTTGATTTCTCTTTCTTTTTCATTTACACTAAAAATGTCTGCTATTGCTGTATGTGATGCGATGGATAGGAAGGGGACGATGGTTATTTATCATATTTTTCTGTACAAATAGGCTAAGTCTGCTGCCAAGCCCGGATTGGAGGAACAAGTTGAGGCCAAGTAAGTTTTGCCATGACAATTGATCCAAATGTTGGAATTGCAATGTTGACTCTGTATGTAGGATCCATCGTATCCGTATCACTTTGACTTCTCGCAACGTCAAGAACCTCGAGAAGGTTTCCAGTGATCTTATCCAACGTGCCAAGGACAAGCAACTTAAGGTCAAGGGTCCCGTTCGTCTCCCCACCAAGGTTCTCCGCATCACCACCCGTAAGTCTCCTTGTGGTAACGGTTCCGAGACCTTCGATCGTTTCGAGATGAGAATCCACAAGCGTTTGATCGACTTGCACTCTCCCTCTGAGATCGTTAAGCAAATCACCTCCATCTCCATTGAACCCGGAGTTGAGGTTGAGGTCACCATTGCCTAAATCTTTTGATTTCATCTCTTGTTTATACACAATAAAACAATTCAATAACCTCATATGATGATGACTTTGCATGGGCGAGGATCAATGTCAGTTTTTTTTGTTTTTTTTTGAAAACATTGATATGGGGTAGTGTTGATTCAAGTGTATGAATGTTTACATGTTGGAACATGTGGCTTAGATTTGATCGGTTATTCACACTGACATGTATGGTTTTGAACATCTTTGAGGTACGACATGGATAGCTTCAAAAACATATCTATTACAGTGATGAAGCTCTTTGTGATGGGAGGTTCGGCCGTCCCTGTCGACCCAGGATAACATCACACTTCCATCGCAAATAATTATTACTTTTCTGCGACATCTCGAGTATCAAAGACTCATCTTTTCGAAAAACATTGGAAGGACTACTATTTTATGATCTTACATCATTTCAGGTATCGCGAGTCTCTGCTTGATTGGAATCTACAAGCGTCTTTCGAGATTCTATATATTAAACTTGCTGCCCTGAAGTATGAACTGATGAGCCACATGGCAGTGGCTTTTTCTTATTCAATTTGTATTGAGCATCCGATGGAAGCGTACTAGGCTCTACAATGTAACAAGACAACTGGCATGCAGGCACTGATGTTTACCAAGAGCTTGCGTAAATGCATGCCAATGTATAATGTGGAGTTCATTGGACAAGCACCGAGGGGAGGATGCTATTGACTCAGAAGCATTCTAACGTACTGATAGCCCATCAACCTCAGGAAATTAAGGTGCCAACAGTCAAATGTTACAATTCTAATTGACACACTATACGATGCATGATTTCAGTTGCTGTTGTATAGTTTCCTTATACAACTTGAAACTTTGTCGTATCGATCCCTATTTATATACGCTAATTAGATGCCTTGGCGTTTAGATAATGCTCTTGATTGCATCAAAGCGAATCTTTCGTGGTCAACGGTATCTACATTTGACATGCATTTGGCATCTATGAAACACATTTATCGCCTCACACATGCTTATTTCTGATACTATGCTTCGTGTTGGCATTTTGTCGCATTGGAATCCTCTCAACGAATGCCCCTGAGTTCAAATTACCAACAACAAGAAGCGTTACAGGTTGTCATCAACACAAAGCTACGGGAATCCAATATTCTGCACCTTTTTAAGCGAGGTATTTTAGTCTTTTTCTTCTCTTGATTCTTTTATATCTTGAGGAAAAAAGAGACTTGTACATACTAAATTAACACTCTTTCAAGATTTGACGCCCAAGTTTGAGAAGTATACATTCAAGCATCATGGTGGAAATCAATTCAAATGCTGCTCATGTGTTTACAGCTCTACCCACAGAGGAGCAAGCCGGGGAAAGCTCTTCCACAACGCTAGTTGGAACAACAGACCAGATATTAGATGGACTCTTGACTAAAGTCGGATATGGCTTGTTTCAAAGGAAGCTCTTGGTAAGTGTTCTGCTCGTTGCTTGCCTATTTGAGCTTATTCCAACCTTTTCTTAAGATATTATGTGGATTTGGATGGTTAGCGGACAATGTAAGTTTGTATCTCTGCTGTGCCATTGCTTGCATAGTGCTAATGGTTGTAACGTAGATGTGGCTTCAGGTAGAATACGCTATAGTATATAGATATATTGGGATTTAACATGTTTGCATTTCAGACCGTTGCAATCATTCTTCCTCGAGTACAAGGTAATATTGAAATAACAATCTAGCTAAATAAATAGTCTAAATTACTCAATTTCCAGACCACTACGATGTTCCTGATAAATGGATTGGCACTGTATCAAGCTCACTTTTCGCTGGTATGACATTTGGTGCGTTCTTTTGGGGAACTTACTCTGATACAAAAGGCAGAAAGGTGCCCTACACAATGACTCTTGTGATCACATCAATATTTGGGCTGTTATCAAGCTTTACATTCAATTTTGCAACGCTGTGTGTAACGTTGTTCTTCCTTGGATTTGGTGTTGGCGGAAATATGCCAACCGATGGTAAGCATTCAACACAGATAGTTGAGCTGTCAATGAACCCTGCCATCCATTAGGCGCACTGTACCTCGAGTTTTTGCCCAAAGAATATCACTACTTGCTTACATTCATGTCTGTATTTTTCTCATTTGGAGCTGTGCTTGCATCCATCATTGGCTATTTGATCTTACCGAAATGGAGCTGTCCAGAGACGACATTAGAGCCTTGCGACATGCACACACAGAACAACGGCTGGAGAATCATGCTATTCACAGTGTCCATGGTGACATTTGTCATGCTGGCGCTCAGAAGCCTATGGTTGAAGCTACCAGAAACCCCAAAATTCCTAATGAGTCAAGATCGACACAACGAGACTATCATTGTACTGCAGGACATTGCAAAGATAAATGGAGGACATGTACATATAGGCAAGGACGAACTACCCAACATGCGGCATAGATACCGACACACCACATCCGATGAGGAGGCGGAGGAAGAGGAAGGAGAGAGCTTTGATATGATGGAAAGTCTTAGTAGTAGCTTGAACGAAGACAGCGATGAGGTCAATCGTGTACTATTATCGAATGGACAGCATGCCGAAGAGATTGTGGTCAAGGAAAAGGAAAAGACCAAAGCATTTAAATTACTGATGAGTCCTCAGTGGCGATTGACAACATTGCTGATCTGGTCGATCTGGACATTTACATCAGTTGCCTATACCATGTTTAATGTATTTCTGCCCAAATTTTTGGAAACATTGGGATTTGAAGGGGAAGCAGTGCCGACTCGAGAACAAGTGTATTGGGATTACATGATTTACTCTTTAGCAGGTGTGCCTGGATCTGTGGTAATGTTGTAGACATTTAAGCTGTGTGTGCAAGGGCGTCATCCACTTATACTTGTTTTCTGCTAGATTGCCTCATGGATGATTGAAACAAGACTAGGCAGAAAAGGCACAATGGCAGTGTCAGCATTTGGCTCATCCATTGCACTCTTTTTGTTTTCCATCATCAGCTCCCGTGTTACCATGGTACTTTCCAGCTCATCCGTGTCCTTCTTGGCCACCTTGCTCTACGCAGTAATCTACGGCTACACACCAGAAGTATTCGATACCAAGGTGCGCGGAACAGCAGTAGGCACAGCGTCTGGCTTGGGGAGAATTGCGGGTATTGTCAGTCCAATCATCACGGGCATCCTACTCACGATCAATACATCATTACCGCTCTACATCAGTGTGATTGGATTTGCGATTGTTGGAGTATGTGTTATTTTATTGCCGTTTGAAACTAGAGGCGTATCACACTGAAAAAACTACTGCTAATTATAAAAAAAAAAAAACTACTTCTTGACAAGCTTATTCTTGAGCCATCCCCAGTTTTTCAACCGTTTAGCGACAGCAGGTGTTATGGCAGCTGTGAGAGACAATCGAAATGGCAGCAGGACCGTCTTGTGGATGCCATAGGCAATCACAAATATAGACGTTAATGATGGCTTTTCATGCGCTTGATTCTTTTTTAGTGGTGTATGTTCCATGCCAATCCAGCCCTTGGCCTTTCCAATCATGTAGTCTTCTACTTCTTTCACACGATCTGCGCCTTTCACGCTAATGACCGCCATCGTGGTTGTCAAATCAACAGTGCCCAAAGCCAGATATACGCCGATACCGACGTAGCCATACTTCTTCATGAACTGCTTTGTTTTGGATGCTGGTTGTTGTGGTGCTGGTGGTGGCTGTTGTGTTGCTATAGTGCGATAGTGCACTGTTCTGGGTAGAGGTTGTATTCTTGGAATGATGCGTTTCAACATGAAATAAGACATGTTTGTGTATAAGCAGAGGAGATAAGTAGCAGAATCTTTTTTTAATTTGAATTAAACCTTCAATATGATGTCATGAGGTGTTTGCAGTGAGCGCTACCATATGCTTCATGGACCATCATTGGAAATGTGCGGCACTCATCGGAAGGAATCCATTAACCCGTGCAAAATTGAAGTGCCATGCTGATGGCTGGAGTGGCACTTTTGCAAGCACAACAATAACGTTGAGTTCAGAACGGCTATTCATTTCAGACATAATCCTTTCTGCAGCTGGTGGCTTTCAGATGTCTCATTTAGGTTCCTGATTGTGGGTGTGGAAGGAATTTTCTCTCTTTTCTCTCTCTCTCTCTCTCTCTCTCTCTCTCTCTCTCTCTCTCTCTCTCTCTCTTCTTTTTAGCTCTTTCTTCATCTCGCCAAGCATGATTCGCACTCTCAAAGTCAACAAGGTGAATCATCCCGTCAGTCTGTCCTTTGACGGAGAGGGCCTTCGTATCGAAGGAGATTTCAATGCTGCTAAAAACTGTAATACATACTTGTGCTCTAGTGCGTATCTGACACTAACCCTCTCTTCTTACAGCAAAGAATACAAAAACAGTGTGCTGTATACCTGTGCCAGCTGGAAAAGGGCCAGACCCAACATTACTGCCCATCGACCATGTGTATATTATCAACGCTTTCTATCATGAGCGCACCCGTATGATTCAAATTCATTGCGTGCTACCGGAAGATAGAACTGTGGAAGGATCGCCTTCTGACATTTACAAGTTTATCTACTCTGTGGATGATGACAAGAAGGAAGATGCCATTGGTTTTTGCCAAGAACTAGTCAAACAGGCCTACAGCGACATCAAGTTTGGCAAGAAGCTACTGGTGCTGATCAATCCCTTCGGTGGCCAAGGTAAAGCCAAGGAGATATTCGAGTACAATGTAAGGCCCATTTTTGAAAGTGCCAAATGCGACATTGAAGTGAGATGTACGTGAGTTGTGGTTGTCTCTGAATGTGAGCTCATGGCTCTTGTATTAGGCACAGAACATCAAGGACATGCTTTGCAAATTGCACAAGACTTGGACATCCATGCATACGACGCTATAGTTACTGTCAGTGGCGACGGTGTGATTCACGAAGTGATCAACGGCTTTCTCAAGCGGCCGGATGCCAGAGAAGCAATGAAGCAAGTTGCCATTGGCATTATTCCCGGTGGCACTGGCAACTCGCTTATTATCTCGCTGTTGGGTGAAAAGAGAGGATTTGACCCTGTGTACACTGCATTGCAGGTCGTCAAAGGAAGATCGATGGCTCTGGATCTGTGCTCTGTCGTGTACGACGACCACCGCTACTTTTCCTTCTTGTCGCAGAATTACGGCATCACCGCTTATGCTGATCTTGGTACAGAGCACATGCGTTGGATGGGTGATACGCGTACTGTAGTTGGTTTAATGCAGGAGATCTTTTCTCGTCGTTCATACAGAATTGAAGCTGCTGTTCAGGTGGTGGAATCAGACAAGAGCAAGATTCAAAGAGAGTATGTCACTGCCTTTGCCAACGAAACTCGTGTGCCTGTGAATGATTTAGACGGCCAAGTAGCAGACACCATCCCTGATCTATCGCAGCCTGTGCCCAAAGACTGGATGGTCATTGACGATGACATTTCGTTCTTTTTAGCTAGCAAAGTGCCTCTTTTATCGAGAGGCATGCTGTCTCATCCATGTGCACTACCCAACGATGGTCAGATTGATCTGTTACTGATTCGAGGATCACCCAGCATCACTAAACAGCTGGATGTCTTTACCAAGGTTGAAACTGGACAGCACATCAACAGCGACATTGTAAGTGTTCCTTGTGTTTAATGGAATGCTTGAGGCTCATTTCTCTTGTTAGGTTGAGTACTACAAAATCAAAGCATTTAGATTGACACCCGTTTTGAAGCCTGGTCAGAAGGCGTATGTGGCTATTGATGGAGAGCATGCTCCCTGTAAGCCTTTCCAAGTTGAAGTGCACCCTCGTTTAGCTTCTGTGCTGACTATCAGTCCCTCTTACATTCGGACCAATGTATAATAAGCAGCTGTCCATATAGTATCAAACGCAATAAACTATTATACCTACAATTGGTTTTATTGCAATAATTCACCGACTAAGCGGGTGTCCTCGTATTGCCAGGCTGGCGTGCAAAGCCATGTGAATAAGTGGGGGGATAAGACGTACCTATAAAAAAAAAGTAAGTGGTCAAAAAATCTGCTGATAGATCCCAGTGAAACGGCCAACTTACTTATCAGGATTTTGAACTCGACTGAAAGGAGGCAACACCTTGCTGTCAAGTGAGGCCAGTGCCGAAAAACCAATGAGGGCAATGTTACTCGCTCCTTGCTCATCACGATTCATAGTAGTTTGTTTAGCCAGCCTTTTTGGACACTCAGGGTTAAAGCATGTAACGGCACCGAGGTTCCTCTTCATTCTATTATCCTCATCACGCACCAGTTGTTTCTGTGTCTCCTTGAAACATGAGCAGCAAATTTTTGTAGAATTGTATTCATCCACCAATCTGACTGTGCTTCTTGTGGACAGCGTTGACATGTACGGCTTCATACTTCGAGTGCTGTGGCCACGGAGGTACTGAGCATTGCGATGCCAGTTTCCTACGAAGGAAACCATCTTTGGCTTGTTCAAGGCGGACATGGTTGCAGCAGATCTGGCTTCACTGGCTACCAAATGTTGGTGAAGTTTCTTCAAGCGGATTCGTCCAGTTGCCCTTCCTTTCTGTAGCTTCTTGACTGATGACTTCTTCCTCTTCTTTCGCCTATTGGAGAGGACAGCATTATCGACTATGTTGGCTGTCATTTCATACTTGACGAATGTTTCTCCATTTCCACGAGAGGTTGCAGTGTCAGAATACTCTTGCAGCATTTGAAACCGATTGATCGACTCAAAAAGAGTGAGAGAAGCCACTAGAAACGAACAATTCCTAAACACTGGCACTGATGTCGTCAATAATTACAATGGGCTTGACACTCTTGCTCAAACCACAATCAAATAAATCAACAGCTTTGATGTCAAAGAAAGACATCTTTTTCTGTGTCGCATGTTGGATGAGGATAACATTACCATTTCTGAGATTGGACATATAGCGGAATACTGTATAGGCAATGCATTGTGTATATCATTCTACCACAGCTCAGATTTCGTATGATACCTTGTTACAGAGTATGGTACTTGATTCCATAAGCACAGTACTTGATGATGGCTATTAGATATTGACAAGGCTCATGTATTTTGCTTGCCTAAATATCTACGCGAGGCACATTTCATGATTATTGAATAGTGCATGCCTCTTTTTTTTTTTTTTTTTAACTTCAAGAGATCTTGCAGCTTTTTTCAGGCACCAAATCAACAGTATTGAACATAGTAGGGTAGGTCTTGACAAGTTTGCAATAGAATGCAATTGTGTCCTGCAACATTTTATTGCCACCAAACAGCGACAAGTTGAGTTGGGTTGTGCCTTAATAATCCGAGGACACATATTGTGTCCTAGCAGTGTCCTTCGCCCCATCTAATTCATCTTGACAAGCGTTGCTTACATCCACCACATCAACACACAGCAGCCTCTTCGAGTCGCCGCCTCAAGCGTTGTGTTTATTATAGTACACAGGCAAATCGACCCAGCTTTTTCTTCCAAAACTCTCTTGGCTTTGTGTTAAATTTGCATAATATCAGCAACATGGAGCAAAGCACATCGACGATTGTTCAGGAAGAAGCGTTTGTATCTACAGCTAGCAGCCTTTACTTATACTCATCACCACCCGTAGTCGCAAAATCAGCAACAATATAGTAGCTGTATTCGTGGTCGAGTTTGATGTTCACAAAGGAAACGTAATTGAATGGCAGTACCCTCCAGGTAAGTGCAAACAGTCAAGTGCAAAGCATCTACTCACTGTGTATGTAGAGTTTGATTTAAAGGGAGTCGAATACCAAGCCATATGCAGTGGCCTTCACAGAGTCGAGAATGATATCATGTAATTTATAGCCAACATACGGCTTGTTGACAATAGTAACAGGGCCTTGTTAGATACTTTTCTCGAGAGAACGGATACGGAATCAGCGTGTTTCAAAATATGCCGACTGATGTGGAGAGAGGAGCCTACATGAAAGCTATCGGTGTGATTGTGGAGCCCACACAAGAGACAGGTATCTGTGGCGAAGTGTGGAACCATCAAGGATTTCTTCAACAAGAACTATCAAATCACATGAGTCTGTCTGATACAATTGCATCAGATCGCTACGAACCGCTATTACAGTACTATACCCATCATCAATACCGCAGTTCAGCAGACAACACGGCCTCGAAACACCACACTATGCCTGACTTGTCGCTGCATGAGTCGTCATTGGACCACACTGTCAACTACAATCTGAAGCACACATTGCACACGATGAAACAGCCATCTGAATTCAGCATCGACTCATGTACACATTTCGTCGACACGCTTGGCCTTGACATATTTGTATTATGGAAAGCTGCTTTAATGAGAAAGAGGATTATGATGATTCATATGCCACAAATGGAGATTGGGTGCCATTATGGTGAGTTGCTATGATTGTGAATCACTTGGAGTGTGATACTCAATATTTTGTTTAGTGTACCTCGTCCATTTACTAGGCCAAGTACCCGCCAAGTTTCAAAACTCGATACCAGCCATCAAGCCTAAATTTACAATGGGTGTCAATGATATCCCTCAGCTAGAAAAGACACACTCGAGCTATGTGGCATGTAAGCAAAATCCTTAAAATCCACCCTGATGTTGGTATTCATGCTTTGTTCTATCACACAGGTACGCCTGACTCTATTTTTCAGGTGAAATCAGACCTGTATGACATTTTAGTCACATTGCCAGCACCATCGTTTCATCACACTATCAAGGGCGGCAGCAACACATCAACGGCGACAAATAAGAAATCAACACAACACATTGCCTTGTCAGATTTAACTTGTCATCAGCAGCCCCATTTCAAATCCACTGTCATTTCAACAAGACATAACGCTGCCGATTTCACTCGATTCCGCATCATGTGGAGATTGTTCCACACACGATCGTTTGAGGCAAAGAATGAGCCAGATGACATTCTGAGCACTGCCTCTGCGTTATTCACTGGTGTTTGTTATTGGCTTTACGAAGACCAGGACGCAACATCCACATCGACCGTCTCATCCAATTGGCAAGGTCTATTTGCTGGATCACAGCGAAAAGGACAAATCCGCTTGAATGCGTCCTCAGAGACAGATATGCTATTGATGCAAGAAGAACAAGACGCTGAGGAACTGAATAATAATGCTGTGTTTGAGGCTGTTACAGCACGAGCATCCACTGAACTGCAACAACAGGAACAGATCAAGGAACAAAATGTAGCACTTTTAAGGTAGAACATTTGGGAGAGAGAGAAAGGAGGGAGAAGGGATGGCATTAAGCTCGTGCTCAAATCTTTTTTTTTGTTGGATCTCTAGTTTCTTTCATAATCTCACGTCGTTTTTGCTCGAGAAATTGCACTCTATTCTTACTGTGAATGAAGAAGACGGGCTTGCACTGATACCTATTTATCCCAGAGACATGGTGCACATGGGATTAGATCCACAAGCAGACGCTGCATTCGTAACAGAGCTAGCTCAACTTTATTTCAAGAAACGGGTTCAGGTGTTTGGCTGGAACCATGTAGGCTATATCAGTCAGTGCTCTGCTTGTTGCTGTGCTTGTCAACAGCGACCATCTCTTCATATATAAGCTGACTCCTGCTTGGTTATTTAATAAATTGTCTGCAATGCCATAAATCAATAGCTAGTTGAACTGTGTCGATTGATTTAGGTACGCCGAGTCCCAGTGGTGTGTTTTTGGGTATATTGAGCTGTGATTTGAGACGGTCCATGTCCTCTGGAGACCAAATGCGATGCATGTTGTAGCAGGGTACATGCTGTTGCGTTTCTGTTTGATGATCCAGCTCGCATAGGGTTATCTTTGTCGTATCAAACGATAAAATGCATTGATATTCTGCTGATCCTTTGCTTTTCCAATGCTTGGCTGTAACGGGTTCCAGCGTATCGTACATTTGTATAGGATGTTTGCAAAATTCAGTGTGAGTTTGACGAAATAAGACATCCTGCACATGCTCCACCATGTCTGATCTGTAGGTGGCTGCTCCTCTAAACGTTGCTTGGTATGCTATGCCAATTCATGTTAGGCACAGCACGGCATAGACACACACATCATTACCTCCTTTCTGCAGTACTTGGAGAATCTCTTTTTTGAAATTGACATAGTAACCAAACCCTGTTGTTTTTCGCAGTGTAGGAAACGCCCAGTTGCGGTTTGTTTCTGGGTGCCATGCTAATCCAAAGCGAAGCAGTAGTTCTATAGGATGGATGAGCTATTCTGAATCAAACCTTTGCAGCATAAATACTGTACTAGAAGGAAATATACGGCTGTGAAAGGAGCATTTTCTTAATGGCGAGGCTAATATAGCAGCTAATACCGTAGAATGTATGTCAGAAAAAGGTGGTTGTTTGGTTTTCCAATGCATTACCATATGGATTCGTGTATAGTTTTGCCTCTAATGCATCGGGATCCTGTCTAATGAGCTTGCGTATTTGATTAGGTGATTTTCTATTCTCTCGAATTGATCTCTTATGCCAATCTTTGATGATAGCACTCAGAGGTCTTTTTGACATGTTTGCAAAAAGGAGAGAGTGAGAGTATGAGGCGCTGCTTTCCATTGAAAACTGGTCACCAATGAACCCCAATTTAAAGCTCACATATTTCAGCATTACTTTTTTGTTTTTTTTCAATTAATCATGTTGGATGCAGAAGAAGAGAAACGAAGATTTCAGATTGAATTGGAGTTTATTCAATGTCTGTCGAATCCCTGGTATTTGAATAGTAAAGTTTCTTTTTGTGCGCAACTGATACAAGGGATGTTGAACTCAGAGATTGAATAGATCTAGCACAACAGCAGTATTTCAAAGATGAAGCCTTTATCAACTATTTAGAATATCTTCAGTATTGGAAGCAACCAGAATATGCAAAATTCGTAGTGTACAGTATACCCACTTGAGCCGCACAAGCCAAGATGACTGACACCGTTGGATAGCTATCCACATGCGCTGTACTTTTTAGATCTGTTACAACATGCTCAATTTCGTGATTATGTCAGTACTTCAGAAAATACCCAAGAATTGCATCGAATGCAGTACTATCACTGGCAGTATTTACGTAATCCACCCAAATCAGCATCTCCATCAGCAGCAATGGAAGAGCTGATGTCATTGAAACCCGAATCAGAAAAATAAAGAATTGAACGTTTTCTAATATGGAGGTTTATTCATGGAATTCAAATGTTGAAAAAAAAAAAATCAAAAAAAAAGTCGAAAAAAAGGTAGGGATGACAACAGTAGTATCCATGTTGGAAGGATGGATACATTGAACCCATGTACGCATCGAATGATGATTATATATATATATATATTAAAAAAAAAAAAAAAAAAAAAAAAAAAAAAGGATGTCGATTTGATTATGCAGTGATGGGGCTAGCAGGCAAGCATGTAGATGAAGCCAATCCTTTCTTATTACGACCAGTTACCATGGCTGCATTGCGCGCTTGCTTCTTCATCTCTCGAACAGCAAATCTTGCCTTGGCCCGTCTCTCTTGTCTAGATAACCCCTTTATATTACCATCATTATTTGATGAAGCATTGGATATGCTGGCAGATGTTGCACTGGTAGCAGCAGAAGCAGTAGCAGAAGCAGTAGCGGATGTCATGTTGCTATCTGCGATCGTAGTTACAGAATGTGGTACCATGGCAACTGTATCGCTGGTTGGTTTTTGCTGCCGAATGGACGGTGTAATGACCTGAACCCAATCCTCTTCTCCTTCTCCCACTGTCTGTTCAATGTGCTGAAATGACGATTCTTGTTGTGATTGACGTTGTTGTTGTTGTTGTTGTTGCTCATTTTGTTGATACCAAGAAGATAACCAATTAGAAAGCATTTATTAGAAAAAAAAAAGAGAGAAAGAGTGTTTAGAGAGAAAGATTGTGTAATATGCAGATGACGATAAAACGACAAACGACAACAAAGTAGAAGCCCAACGCAAAGATAGCCAACACGTTTTTATATGAAATACCGGATAACGTGATAAGATCATTTTGCTACCATGTATTTTAGAATGTTATCACTTGATGATAAGAGAAACAATTCTCACCTTAGTCATAAAGTGTATTACAGTGGTTGAAAATCCCCTTTGATCCCCCCCCCCATTTGATATGCTCCTATCTCGACATGGTTGTTTTTGGTGTACGTCGTTTTAGCGTCATGCATTAAAAATGAAATGCTATAGTCGTAATAAGAATGCTGCTGGAATAAATTTTTATTTTGTATCATCATGGGACGAATGACTCATAAAATGTGTGTTTATACGCTTTAATGTTACCCTGGAGGGTGCAGCCTATCGTGGTATGTTAGTATAGTTGTCCAAGCAAATGCCATCATCATCACTGAGCCCATGTACCTTTTCCCAATTCGATATAATCTGGACTAGTTGATGTTGAATCATCTTTTTGTCCACTGCAACTCTCAAGTCAGCCATCTAAAGTTAAACATCATGGTGCAAGAGAAACTTACCACGTGGCTTCTCTGCTGTATTTAACTTGAATTCCAAGGTATAGTAGTGGATCAATATCGACAGCAAGATGCCTACAGAGTGGTCTTTGCCTTTGATCCAATGATATATAACCGTGAGTACGGGTGCCGTCTGTGCACATGAAATGTATGTATATGTTACCTGTAGCACAATAGACGAGAATCTTTTTGTTTTTCATAAGGGGATCACGCACAAAATCGATTGCCTTTTGTATACAGGCACCAAATATGATTTGGCCCTTCTTTCCGTCTGGTATAGGCAGATGCAAGTAATGCTCATGCTCTCTATTCAGTTCATATTCGTCTTGACTGCAATCGATCACACAATCAAACGTATCCCAACATTGCGGAGGCTTGCCACTGCGATCATCGCCAATGGCCAGTAGTGTGGATTTGATAAACGCATAATGCCTTGTGCTGTCATCATCATAGTCATCATCGCTCTGCCCGGAACTATTCTTTAAACGTGCAACAAGCGACTTGACATTACGTTCGCATTCGTTTGAGGTGGTCAATATGTCATGACGATGTTTCCAGAATGCCAAGTGAGTCAATCCCAATGCCCAAGCTTCCTCATCATCCGCAGAGCCCTGAACATACAGGTATCCGGGTCTCAATTGGTATCCTGATTCAACTGCCTCTGAAGCACTGAGACAAACCACAGGACAAAAGGAAGCGTCTTGAAAATCTGGTGGTGACTCCATCAATGCATCATATGATTGTGGTGTAAACCAGATGGGCCTCAACGGTTTCTTGAGTTGACTGGCGAGATGCTTTATATCCACACCCGAGGTGAGCAGTTTATCCACAAATCCATCCAGTCTCGCCTCAATTTGCGCATGTTCTGATCGAGATACGGCGGACGGTAATGTGTGTAGATCCAGGTCCCAGCCATCGTCTGCAGTGTAGCCAGCATAGGTTGCCACTGCTCTGTTGACTGTGCAACACCAGATGGGGATGGTCTTTGATAATGCATCTGGAATACGCTTTCCTTTTCGAGTGGAATCCACAATAAGACAGCCATTGTGACGCATTAAGATGGGTATAAGATGAAGGTTGTTGCGACGAATGTTGAAATCCCAAATGTGCATATGTCCATCTGTTGACTTGAAATAGGCGGAATAAGCTTTTCTCTACAATGGGTTGGGTGAGCAGAAAACTTGGCATGAGAAAAAAAAAAAAAAAAAAAAAAAAAAAAAGGGCCAACCTTTGTACGATCAATGTACCAAGATCCACAACGCTCATTTGCTATTATCTTTATTTGTTAACTAAGAATATACAGTGTTGAACAGGATGAGCTCACCAATTAATGCTAAACTGGGCATCAAGTCTGCTACCTTCATGACAAATGTGGCGTCATCTACAATCGAGCAGAGGCGGTTGTATCTGTCCATTCAAGTGGATGAGATGTCAGTGATTTCAGCGTGTTTGTCAAACGTACATGTTTTTGTTGTCATTTCGAATCAGTTTGGATTCAAAGTTGAACTCATTTCTTTCTGTAAACAGGTCTTCCTCCTCAAAGTCCATGGTGGTGTACGAAAAAAAAAAAAGGAAGAGAAAAATCCACTGGTCAGATATTGCTCGGGAGTCTTGTTGCCCATGCAATGAAAAAGCCACACAAATGATGTTCTACGGGTTTGGAGAGCTTGTTGCTGGATTGGCAGCAAGAGACGCCTACACGACATGTGTGTATATGAATTAGATGTACCTTGCTCTCCTTCTCCACCTTGCTGTATTCATGCAAGTAACATGGCAAAGACAAGATGGATCAAAAAGTAAATATCAACATCAAGCAGACGGACTTTTTGATAGAAGCAGAGTTACTATCAGCCTTTTTTTTTTTTTTTTTTTTTCGCTTCTCTTGTCTGTTATGCATCCAAGAAATATTTACAACAAGGAGCCGGATTTTGGCATATTGGCCAAAGAGTTTGCATCATTCAGGCCATTGTATGTCATTTCATCACTCGCATTTCACAATACCATATTAACATTTGATGGCCAGTGTTAAGCAGACTGGAAGTGGTAGAAGTTATATTGATTTCAAGAACCCTGACGCCAACAGACAACTATGCAAATGTCTGTTGAAGAAAGATTTCGAGCTGGATGTCGATTTCCCTCTGGATACATTATGCCCTGCTGTACCCAATCGACTGAACTACATCTTATGGCTGGAGGATTTGATCGAGGACACACTATCTAGCATAAAAGACTGTCTTGGTATTGACATGTAAACTGAATATGAACAAAGTACGCACCCATTGTGCTCATGACATGATGTTGTATATAGTGGTGTTGGAGCTTCCTGTATATACCCTTTACTTGGATGTGCGACAAATCCCACATGGCGCTTTCTAGGCACAGAAATCAGCCAAAGATCAGTAGACATTGCACGACAAAATGTAGAAAGAAATCACCTTGACAAGCAAATCACAATCAAATACAATCCAGAGCCACGCAGAATATTTCTAGTGGAGGAGAATACAAAATACACATTCAGCATGTGCAATCCACCATTTTACAGCAGCCAGGAAGAGATCGACCAAGGCTTGCTCAACAAAGAATTGGAGCCATCAGCAATTTGTACTGGATCCGATAACGAGATGATTACCAAGGGCGGCGAGTTTGCCTTTATCAAGCTCATGGTCATGGAAAGCCTGCAATTGCAGCAACAAATACACTGGTATACAAGCATGATTGGGATGAAAAGAACGATCCGGCCTTTGGTGCGATTATTAAACGACCAAGGCATCACCAACTACACAATCACAAATTTTACTCAGGGCAAAACTGTACGATGGGCTATTGCATGGTCGTTTCATCCTGAGCGTCCTGTTCATGTGCATGCCATTGAGACATGGCGGCCTGTTTATCAATTCGAGATCAAGCTGCCCAAGGAAATAGCATTTGTGCAAGACTGTACAAACGATATATTGCAAGATTTGGAGATTGATTACTCGGTAGAGGAGGAGGATGTGGATGAGATCATTTTATCTTGCACTGCACCTAAAAACACATGGTCAAGAGCAGCAAGACGTCAGAAAAAAAGACAAAAACTACAAAAAGAAGACCCTATTGATACCAACACGGCAATGGAGACTCAAGAGCCTTTTGTGTTTCGATTGGATGTGTCCAGCAGTCGGTCGAAATCGAGCACTTGGTATCAGATTGTGTGGCTGTCAGGAGGAAATAAGCAGCAATTTGAAGGCTTTTGGTCGCATTTGAGAAAGAGAGTGGAGGAGCAATGCGGCATTCATAGTGGGACAAGATTTAACAAGTGATAGTTTATTGAAGTTTGATGCAGTCTGCTTGAAAAGAATCACCAGCCCAACGAGCTACTTGCTTCATGGCCTCTATCTTCTTGACGGTGGCATCTTCGTACCGAAGTTCATAGAGTGTACACATATTCATGATGGCTGTTTCGCAAGTGCCTGCTGAAGTGGGGTTGTTGGACGTCAATGTCTCCAAGATATCGATTGCCTACACATATGCCATTTCAAAAAGGTGAGCTTTTGCATGTCGGCATACTCTAAACTATCATTACAAACCTTGACCAAATTTCCCAAATAAACCTCACAGACGGCCAAATTATTGATAGCCAACAGATTCTCATTATTGGACTGATACACGCTCTGCAAAATATCGCGTGCCTGAGCCCATTCACCTTGTGCCATCAATGCAAACGCCTTGTTGGTATCGATCGCCTCTTTTGTACTATCATCGTTGTCACATTTCTCTTCCATACGTCGAAATATAGTTTCCGCAGATTTCAAATCACCCATTTGAAGATACAAACGGCCCAAACCGGATAGCAAATCAATATTATCGGGAGCCATTGTAGTTAAAATCAGTTGCATGGTCGTAGCCGCTGCTGAATACTCCTTCATGTTGATCCAATGTGTAGCTAGCACAAGATATGTCTGTATTTCTCTCTGTTTCCAAATCGCATCGTGTGATTTCTTTTGCATTTTTTTACAGTAAACAGCCAACATTGTTACTCGTTCTAATGTCAGTGCTGGGTATTTGAGTTGGGAGGGTAGTGTAGCAAACAAGATACGTAATTCAAAGGGCACAAGTGATTGCTGATTGTTGTCACAAAGTTCAGGTCTATCTAAATCGCCAATCTTTTCAAATTCGGCTGACGCCAACTGACAGAGACCCAACTTTGTTAATGCTAACAAACGAACATACCAAAGCTACATTGCAAAATGAGTACGTTGTCGTCGTTGGCCTGTAGACTTGCTTACCTGAAGAATCGATTCGACATGTGTCGGGTCAGACTGAATGATCTGTTGACGAGCATATTTGGCTATTGACCTCCACATATTATTCATCTGCACATGATGAGTGCTGCGAACATTTGGAGCATCCCTCTACCTTTACTTACCACCATGGTCTCGAGTCCCTTTTGTTTATCAATATCTGCATCTCGTGGTGGTCTTTCTTGAGGAGGAACATACCGCTCGAGAAGTTCGTTAAATGCATCACTCTAGACATCTTTCTGTTATTTCACGCTGTTTAATCACTAATTGCTGCTGCAAACCTACAACAGGGATATCGTAAAAGTTGGCGTTGCTATTCAAAGCGTAGCCGATCGATAGTGTGCGTTGTCTTTCTTGCTGCTTTGTATGGCTGCTAGCTCTGGCTGGTTTGACTGGCGGCTCTTCTATCACTGACTGTAATAAGTCGTTCTCCATGGTATTTAAAATGTAAAAGAGAAAGAAAAGAAGCTCTTGCTCTAATGCAAAATCAAACATAAAAAGAAGTGATGATATTTAATGACCCGATCGTTCCAATCTCAGTGGTATGCTCAGACTGATAAAACGACCCCTTCATGACCATCCCGAAGCATACCTGGTTACTGTGTTCAGTTGGACTAGCAATCGATAGAGCAAGAGGCTGCTTTATATACGCTACTTGCAGCATGTTTCGGACTGGTAGCTTGGACTTAGAGTGGCATTCAGGTATGCTTCCCTAAGCGACGACCAGTAAACCAAATTCAGATGATGGTCGTTATAAATCTCTCGTTTCCTGTCAACCACGCGACCAGTGAAAGAGATATATATGCAAGCTTAGATGTTCTATTTATAAAGGAGTAAAACAGCTCTAGCAAAAGACACACTATGAAACTCCAAATCAGACTTCCGTCTACAAGGCAGTCCAACACGACTATGACATTGAAAGTCGTGGCAGCTCCTCTATACATTGGAATCATCGCTCGCGCCCCTTTTTCTCTATTTCTTCCACTTTTCTCTTTTTCATCTCTTTTGAATTCTCTTTGAAATTCGATTTTGAAATTTGGATTGAAATTGGCAAGTTCTTGTAGGGAAAATTTGCGAGGAAGAAAAGGATAGTGTAGTTGTTGGATTTAAGATTGGAGGATGGCGAGTTGCTATTGAGAGATGAATGATTTTTTTGTCTTGAAGCAAGACAATTTTGATGAGCAAAGTAGATATGATGAAACCTATTATTTGCAGGATGATGTTAATAATTTTAAATGATGACGAGCCATGGATAGATGGATTAGGTGTTGGGAAACGTTGTTGTATATTGAAAACCGCTTGGTGATATCTCGTTTTGGTGTGATTTGGCAAAGGGCTTGAAGCTGTGTTGTGTATTTAAGCAAAAGGAGGGAAGGAGGAAGGAGGGGGTTGCTTTTTCATGCCCCATATTGATGCTAGAGACTTGATATCAGAACAATTATACGCCTACTCTGAGATGTTTGCAAACAGATGAAGGAATCTTCAGTCGCTACTACACATTGGTTGTTAAATAATCAGGCGAGCAAAGTATAAAGTAGCCAATATATAAAAGAACACCCCTTGTTTCAACACTATTACTGGTACATTTGTCAATTCAGCCAGGCTTCTTGTCTATTGACTAAATTTTGCTTTCCGGTTTTTTGCTTTATAACATAAGGCCTCATTTGGGCATCTCTTACGATACTTGTTTTGTGAAAAAGTTGAGTTTTCAACCGTCAACTTGGAGTTTACAATGGCAAAACCATGCTTTTCTGTAACGACTACAGCACAGAAGCGTCCATAAGTTGCTCAAGTCCATAAAGTAAATCCAAGGTGTGCATTAACTAATGAAGGCATACAAAGGGAAACTGATATGCGCCACTGTAGCAAAACTTAGATTTGAACGATTGACTTTGGATAATTTGGCTGGGGCTGACCTTTTCGGCAGTATTGGCTCCATGAGAACTGATACTACTACAACTTTGGGTAAGACCTTAAAGAACCTCCAAAATACATGAAAAACAAGCTTATTTGTGTACAGGCTATATAGCATTACTAATATGTGTAGTACCATTTGATGCGCATTTCAATCCTGTACCAATTTACATGGTTAAGGTAAATCTATTCGGAATCTTTGCCCAGCATTTCTGCCTAAAGGTCGTAAAATACAGGATCTTGAGCAAAATCATAAAGAGAGCGTACATTTGGAATTTAAAGCTCTTATAGCATAATAGACCCAAAGTAGAGCTACTAAATGATCTTTGTTTCATCTAAATACGATGCGTCTTTCACGAGATATGACCAAAAATTTCCTCGTGAAAAATCACTGATTTTTGGCCAGAATTTGCCTATAGTAGCAAGGCAAAAATCCGGATGACAATTTCTTTGAGATACAAAACTGTTGGTATCTCATGATAAAATCATGCTAGTTCTTTGACTAAGAGCTCATTCGATAGGTTCTTGTCTGTTCTACACTATGATAAGTATTTCAAGTAAAACTTTGATGACAGAAACCTGGTAATCTGCCAAAAACAATAAAAAAAAGCCGCAATAACTATTCTATGAAAAACCAGCCTAATAAAGTTGGCCAAAATACTTAAAATTGGTATCATTAGATTCTCCTTTAATTTCTTCCCCAAGTTTTATTTAGCTGGAAAGCAATGTTGTTATCAGAATCGCATGATATTAAGGATGAACGATTTCAGAAATCCATGAATCCTCATTTTGAGTATTATGGAGGCTGGGCTATTGATAGTTTAAAATACCGCCTTTTTTTTTCTTAGTATGTAGCTCAATTCAAGCGTAAATTCGCTACCCTTGTCAAATATAACCTCTTAATTACATGTAACGGACTAATAGATAAGGTGTTGGCGAACCTCATGGTGAAAATTGCTAATTCATATCTTGCTTTGCTGCCTTGTAGCAAGCTATCAAATTCTAATACTTACCTTGCGGTACATTGATAACAGTGACGTCTTTTAGCCTCAGCCTTTTATTAGCATTTTTTTTTCCTTTTTTTTTTCGTCTTTATGTATATATATGTATATATACTATACTTCGCAAGCTCTCTACTCATGAAACAATGCTACCTTTGTGAATAGAATTGAAGCAAGTATAATTGACAGTTGTGCAATAGACGTAAGATACAATGTTAACGCGTTTTATACCGCGGTTTTACTTGGAATAACTCTACTAGGGATCTATTTCTGATCTTTTGCTGTGCACTGGCTGCACACTTGGCGGTGGCTGCTTTGATGGTATATCGTTGCTTCGGTGGTTCTTCTCTGGTGTTTGCTTATCCTATGGTCTGTTGTCTTTGATGTATGCTGGTTCTCTGGTCTATCTCTGGTTGTGATGCTGTGGTAAGAAGTGGTAAGTATCCTTTTTTTCTTGCGGTCGCAATGATATAAACTTCTTTGAACGTTTGTACTACTGCTTCCTTTCCCGCGATAATGCATTCATGCTGTTTGCTTTATTGCCTTTTCTTTCTTTTTTGTTGGCTGTGATATGATCAGTTCAACAAATACTTGCAATGTTGTTGCTTCGTATTTACGAATAGCAAGCATGACACACTGCTATATGATTGTATTACCCTTCTTGTGATACTATGTTATATGGCTGTGGATTGTTGTTTGTGTTGCCTCTGTCGCTTCACATGAAAACAACATTGGTCTTCATGTTGTATTACAACACTTATACTGCTGCTACTGTTGTTTAGAATAACGAAATATAGACAGAGTAAATACAATTAGAACTGAATATATTTATTATGTTATTCCAAGATTGAATAGGGATCAAAACTAGTGTAGATATCAAAGGTATTTATAGTTATTTGACAGTGCCGCAGCAATAGGACCTTGATCTTGAATGCGGGATAATTGTATAAGCCTTGAACCAGTAACGAGGATGTGCTGCATCAGAACTCATGAACCGCCAGTCAAGGATAAACAACAAAGATGATCCAGGATAGAATGTTCTTCCTAATAGCTTTGACGGAAGAACATTTGTCGGAATTGAAACCCACTTCCAGGGACGAAAGGCCATAGGCTACCACTCTCTAGGAACCAGGATATAGATTAGCCATTTGATGGCACCACTCATGTTCCTTCGTGCTGCTTGAATAAAGACCTCTCACTTCTACTATGCATCTCAGCTCATTCTCAGATCCTCTTATGTAATATACGACGCCTAATACATTTGCCTCTCAGAGATGATCTATATCCTCAACAACTGTTGCTCCTGCAATTGTGCGCATTTGTGTTCTTTTACATCATCAGACTGTTATCATGCACATTGCTCATGTATATATCTTTGTTGCAATAACAAGAATATAATAACGTGAACATTTTTAATGTTTTATTCATAACGTACTATACTTCTATAGTATTATTATGTTCGCTTCTTTTATTATTATTATGTTTCTTTGAAGCATACCTTTTTTTACGTTGCGTGGATGTGCCTATCGCTGAAGCTCAACAAGACTCTATCCGAGGCTAGGAGGTGGATAGGCTGCCTCCACTTGGTTATCGCTACTTACTTTAGTGATGATTGAGGGCCTCAATGCCAGTATTTAAAGCTAGGTGGTGTAAGTAAGGCATGCTCTAGCACCTGAGGGAAGTTTGATGATAGCAGCGGCTATATTGCTATTATAACGGCGCTTAAAATTTTGCCTCACATCAAAACCGGGGGAAACCCTCGCAAAATTTTTTTTAGGTCAGCGGAGTTTTCAAGCAATCTGATTGGCTAAGAGGTTGGAACAACGAAGGGTTACAACTAGTTAATCTCCTATTGATCTGTCATTTAACATTATAGTGTGTTTGTAATAAAAGTGTGTCTAAACTGTTACAATTTAAATTTTTCTTTATTCAAAATAACATAAGGTGCAATAATTATTAAATCTGGCATCCATTACACAGCTTTATGTGAGAGATGTTTATTGGATTTATAACGTGAGGAAAGTTATTTTTATATTATAGGTAGAGTAGTACGCTCGGTACTAGATCCTCCCAGCAGTACCAAATGCTTCGTCAAACATGTGCCTTTTATCATTGATTTACAATATGTGGTGTCAATTTCAAGGTTTGCCAACTTCTGCCTCATATCAACAAAGATTCTGGATGTATATAAGCGCTTTCGGCTTTGAGGTTTGGGCCTTCCAAAATCGAGTTTTGAAATTCGATTTTGAAATTTGGATTGAAATTGGCAAGTTCTTGTAGGGAAAATTTGCGAGGAAGAAAAGGATAGTGTAGTTGTTGGATTTAAGATTGGAGGATGGCGAGTTGCTATTGAGAGATGAATGATTTTTTTGTCTTGAAGCAAGACAATTTTGATGAGCAAAGTAGATATGATGAAACCTATTATTTGCAGGATGATGTTAATAATTTTAAATGATGACGAGCCATGGATAGATGGATTAGGTGTTGGGAAACGTTGTTGTATATTGAAAACCGCTTGGT